TTTTTTTGCGGTGCAGTGCAGTGCAGGGGCGGGTTGTTGCGTGGGCGGTGACGGTGGTGATGGTTGGGGTGGTTCGGGTTGGGCTAAGTGAATAGTAAAGACCACGACTACATAATAAATAGGCAACACCCGACCGCCTCGGGCGGGCGGGCAGGAATAAGGTAATGTCGCCACGTTTTACGTCTGTTCATGTTCGTGTTTTGGCTGGAGTCGGATCAGCGATACTTGTTGGAATAGTGACGATGCTGTTGTTAAACGCGGTACGCACGCCATTGGACAGAAGCTTAATGTTTGGTTGGTTCTATTTTATGCTCGTAACTACCAGTGAAATGTGATGTGTACCGGCGGGCTGCTGACCTGACTGCCTTTGTTAGAGAGGCACTCCGTCTCGGCGGGTATGCAGCACTGCGCTGTGCTGTGTGTGCTCTTGGCTGTCTACGTGCTTGGTTGTCGCGGTGTGCTGTTTGGTCTGCGTCTCTCGCAAGGGTGAGAGGAAGGATGGATGCTGTCTTTCCCATGGTTGGAGAATGATGGCGACGACGACGACGCCGCCAGCTCCGGCTTGTTTGCGCGTCGTAGGGAGTGGGGTGTCGTGGTCGGGCTTGTGAGTGCGGGGAAAAGTCAAGTCAGGCGCTGCAGATAGCCCTGAGCGATCAGGCGCTCGACGTCGCCCTGGCGCACGTAGAACTGGCTGTTCTTGGTCAAGGTGATGGCTCTGCGGTGGCGGATGGTGAGCATAAATAACGTCGTTTCGATTCGTTTCGTGCGTGCATGGCCAACAGCAGAAAAGAAACGGCCGCGGCAATCACGGATGTGTGTGTATGTGTATTCGTGGGAGGGGAGGGAGCTACGTCTACGTACCCGTATTCAGTCTGGATCTCACCCGCATCCTTGAGGACGCGCACGTCGATGAAGAGGTCCTGCGGCGGGGCCAGCGAGCCCGTCAGGTCGATATCGGTCCACTGGCCCTTGTACGCCGCGAGCAAATCGCCGTACTGGCGCACGTACTCCTCCTCCTCAGGGCTCAAGCTGCTCGCACTGCCCATATCAGCGGTAAGGTCCGAAGCCGAAGCCTGCCTGCCACCCTGCTGCTGTTGCTGAGCCTGCAGCTGCGCCTGCTGCTGCGCCAGCACCAGCGCGCTCTGGCGCTCCAGCACGTCGACGCCAGCCCAGCACATTTCGTCGAGCTTGTCTGTGCGCACGCGGTGGTACGCGAGCAGGCAGCGCTTGTTGCGGCGCATGGCGAGGTGTGCGACGAGCAGGGCGCAGGCGGTCGCCGGGTCCGCGGATGGGTTGAACGCCCCCGCCCCGCCGCGCTGCTCGAGCACGCTCGACACGTCGCCGTTCAGCTCCCGCACTTCGCGCGTCGTTGCGCGCACGATTTCGGCTTGGTAGGGTGGCAGGTGCGTCAGCGCTTGCGTGCGCTTCGCGTGCTGGACCTGTGGCGCGTGTGAGCTTGCTTGGTCGTTGCTGCTGCTGCTGCTGATGGTGGTGTGGTGGGCTAGGGAAGGGGGCCGCGCGCGCGCACCAGCTTGTTTCCGAGCTCGCCGTACATGGTCGTCTCGTGGCCGTTGGCGTGGTTCTGATGCGCCGGTCGTCGTGTTGGTGTGGATTGCTCGCTCGCGACGCGTTGATGTGCCCTACATAAACGTGGATGTGAGCTTGAGCTGCTGTCTTGGTGCGCGCGGGGAATAACTTACCTAGGAGGGCGGGCTCGAGGGCGCGGCTATTAGAAAAGACATCGAGGTCTTTTATAGCTGGGTGAGTGGTGGGGTGTCGCGATGGGTCGTCATGTAGAAAGTGGAGGCCCGTGCGTGCATCGCGACGCGGTCCAACTATAAAATAGCGTCCTATGTAGCTATTTATTGTTACTCTGAATGCCTCAGGAATTAGGTGCTCAAATTTCTCATTACTATCTAGCCAGTGCGTCATCGTGGTAACGGCAATGCTACCATACTCGTATATATATATATATGTCTGCGTATGTATATACATGCACGTATGCACGTATGCTTGCTGTGCTAGAACGCTGCATCGCATCGCAGAAGACAGTGTCCACCCAACCAGCCCCCGACAACCTAACCCCACGCCCATCTCCTCTTTTCCCCATACCTAATCCCATCTCCGATCCCTGCCCGCCTCGCACCTAGAAAGGTAGGAGGAGAAAAAAGAAGAGAGAAGGAAAGGGGACAAAAGAAAAGGATAAGCGAGTGGTTTCAGCGACAAAGGAGAAGGAGAAGAGGAGTGACGGCGGACCAGCGGACAGCGCCAGCAAAAACAGAACCCACAGACAAGTCAACCAATCCCCACACTCAATTCAGAAAAAGAGACCAAGATGAAGACGATGAAGATGGTAAAAGTGAAAGTGATGATGATTAAGACGATGAGAGAACCCAATATAAGGGTATGGCCGTATCAGCGTATCCATGTCGCGTTGTCGTCGTCGTTGTTCGGCTGTCGATCGTGTAGTAGGTACAAATACAGAAAGAAAACGAAGCCAAACAAGAAAAACAAGCAGGCAGAGCAGAAAATAGAAAAACAGAAAAGACGAACAAAAAAAGAGCAAACGAGTCAAAATCAAGGGCAGCCAGCCAAGCCAGCCGAGGACGCCCGTCCCCCACTCCAGTCAGCCAGTGTCAGCCAGAAACCAGAGCTTGACCTGGCACCTGGCCTGACTTTGACAAGGCCGAGCCGCCCGATTCCACCCGTTCACCCCAACCAGCACCGACCGACCCCCAACCCCAATAGACCCCACCCGCCAAACATACCGCCATTTTCGCCCGGACAAAAGGAGTACCGCGCCAGCTTCCGCCGCGCGCACGCGCAGAAGGCACAGCAGCAGCAGCAGCAGCAGACACGCGTCGTCTCGACGACAACGGTATGTGTGCGCGCGGGGCTTGCGGGCAAGCTATGGTGCTAGAAACAGAAACAATAATGGAAACAAAAGCACTTTCTATAGAAAAACTCCGTTGCTTGCCGTGGCGTGAAGAGGAAGAAGAAAACCCAATCGCCGTTCCCCCGACCCCGGCCCTGGCCCTTTATATGCGCCGCCCCTCGGGTATAGAAGAAGAGGGATGCGGCAAGGAAAATAGCCAGGGCGATTCTTTGTGTTGGCATCAGACGCGTGCAATCGCTCGCTCGCTCGCTCGCTCAAGCGCTCAAGTGCTGCTACAGCAGCAGCCAGGGAAAGAAGCAAAAGCAGAAGCGTAAGCAGAAGCAAAAGGAAAAGGTAAGAAATGCGCAAGGAAACACCGTCAACAGCTTTCATTCGGCCGTTCGTTCATGCATCTGTCGCCGGACGCGGGGGCGGGGGCGGATCCACCATCGACGACCCCTTCTCCACACTCACGGGCACCACCTCCACCTCGACCCACTCCGAGTCATCCTCCTCCGCTGCCACAAACGGAATAGGCTCAATCCACATGTGACCGCTCTCGCCGACGCCCTTCTCGGGGTGCACGATGACGCTGGCGCCAATGGGCGCCGTGTGGGTGCTGCTCGACAGAGGAAGCTGGTAGCGCAGGATGCCACGCACGATGAGCTCGAACGGGTATTGGATCACGCGCTCCCAGCGCTCCGTACCGCCCGCTTCCGTCTTGTTGCCTGGCTTCTGCAGTCGCAACTCGCCAATGCTCGAGTGGGGGCGTCGCTGCAGCGGGTCGCCCTCGAAGAGCAGGGGCGAGTCGAAGTGGAAAATTCGTCCCAGCAGCATCGTTTGTGAGTCGCCGGAGGGATCTTCAACGGGGTCGTGCGGGTCGTCGTCGAGCGCGTGGACAGGAGAATCGGCATCTTGCTCACCGCCACCGCTGGAAATCGATCGAATCGATTTGCGCTGGCGACGACCGCGGCTTTCCGAGGGTCCTTCGCTGCGAGCCTCCAGGCCGTCGTGTTCGCGCCACCAGCTGTCCGTGCCCACGTGCTTGCTCTTGGCGAAAATGTTAACATCCATGTCGGCAATGGTGACGGCCACAATGTTCGGATTAATGGCTTCGACAAGCAGATCCAGCATAATTTCCTGCTCGCTCGCAAGCACATTCTGAATCTCCCGGACCTGGACGCTGCGGAGCGGCTTCGTCGTGGCGAAGAGGAAACCCACGGCTCCGAAAGCGAGCAACAGGACCATGATCGTCAGTACGAAACACCCGGCGAACTGCCTGAGACAGCCACCGCGACTGCGTTCGTAATGGTCGAGGTGTCGCAGACTCGCACTGTTGGGGCGCGGGCGCAGTGTGCGGTTGCGAGAGCTGCGGACCGTGCCAATCAGGGGCGTTCTTTCGTCATCTGCCCCCTCACCGTCCATGTCGTACGCTGACAGTTCGCCAATCTTCCTGCTGGTAGGAATGCCATGGCGAGTGGCATAGTGAGGAAATTTAGGGCTGGATGGAGCGGATCCGTGTCGCGACGCATAACCGGATGCACTGCGACTCTTTGGCTGTGGCAGCGCCGCATCCTCAAACAATCCTGAGACCATGTTGTTGCGCCCGTAGCGACCGATGTGGTGATGGTGTACGGAGTGGCTTCCACTGGGCCTAGTGTGGTTGCTTCTCATCGAGCCGTCGGGCCGGTCGTACGTATCGTCCTCAAGGTTGGAATTATAGTAAGGGACGTTAGCGAATTTCATACTTCTCTTTCCGGCAATGCTGCGATGTGGCTCTGCCTGGAGAACAGGGCGGAAACCGCCGCGTGATGTCTCTGCCAAGCTCGCCATCGAGTTGACGCTTGGGGTACGAGAGTGGTGGCGAACGTGTGGCTGGGTATCGGGGGGGTTCGACTCGTAAACGAAGGTTTCGTCGGAGTCGGACGAGTTGGCTTCATCGACGGCGCTGGCGACCTTTGCTTCGAAAATGTCCGCTTTCGAGGATGCTTTTCGAGGTGAACCGTCAGCATCTGCAGTGTATGTGAATCTGGGTATTGGCGGGGGGCTTTGCCACGACTGTGTTGAAATGTCGGTGCTTTGGTAGCTTATGGCTAGGAAAGATTGTATGCCGAGTTCTGTGTTGAAACTGCTCGGCATGGTTGGTGTAGTGTTGGAGCGCCCGCGGCAATCGGGTCTTACAATAGCATGCTGTTGATGACGTTGGGGTGTATGAACATGGTGATACCTACCAGTGCCAGAAACAATAGAAGGTGCCTTACGGATAGTCTTCTTCTTGTCCTTCTTCGGTCTAATGGTTTCGTTGCTCGCTTTCAGGCGCAAACTGCCGCTGGGCTCTGCGCGACCTGGGATAATGCGTTCCCCCTGTACCAAACCTATCGGCGCCTGGGGGATTGACCTGACCGTTTCCGTTTCTACCGTCATGTTCTTCGAAGGTTCGGTGACGGAGCGGGATTTCGAAGGCACGAGGCCGGTGAAGGAGTTTCTCGACGGGAGCGGTGGTGGATTCCGTGAGGAGCTACTCGTCTTCTTTTGCTCTGTCCGTCTTCCCCTGTCTTCGGTCCTGCTCCCCCCGCTCTCATTCCCACTCTCCCGCGCTTTTGAATTATTTTGTTCTTTGAAAGCATCAGTCGCGGGCGCAACAACCGTGTCATCGCTCGAGGGTTTCGCCATGGAGTTGTTACTGTGAGAGTGGTCAGTTGATACTTGCAGAGATTCAAGTGTAGATCAAGGGTGCAGGCGCGCAATCCGAGGCTGATCATCATGATGACAGCATCATATGCACCAATGCCGACGTAACCTTGACCGAGGCCTCTCCACAGGATATCCAGCAATCTACACAGAGCGGATTGTACCTTTGTAAAGTGAGAATGTCGAAGCCGGGCGTAGTGGGCAGACTGCCTTCTTGCACCGTCTCCAACATGGGCGCTGTGCCGCTCGCGGCTCGGCCCGGCGCCTTCATTATCATGCCTCCCTGATCCTCCGAATCGCTTGCGGTACTATCATGCCTTGATTGTTGTTGTTGCTGCTGTTGTTGTTGTTGTGTTGACGGAGGCGGATTCGGGGTCTGGGCTCGCTGCAAGACGATGTTGGGTGCCGAGGTAGTTGACGAGATTTCGGGCCTCCGCGACAACGAGCGCTGCGAGTTGCGGCGCGAACGAGTACTGCCCGAGGGCGGCGGCGACTTTATGCGCGGCGATATGGGCCAGTGAGGCGTGGTGTCGCCGGAGGTGGCGGCGGTGGTGGGTTTCTGGGCTTGACGTGGTGCTTTGGTAGGGTCTGCGACAGCGGCAGAGGAGCTGGCTGAGGCGAGGGCGCGCTGGATAGCGGCGGCGGAAGGCGTCGAGCCCACGCCAGACAAGGCGGGCGGGCGATGAGGGCTCTGGTCCTGAATGCTGTTCTTGCGCGACCTGGCGACGCGACGGACTGGGCCCGACATGGCCGAGTGAGCGCGTGGTGGCAAGCGGGCGGGCGAAGACTCTCGCGAAGTCATGGGCGAGCTGGTCCTGGAGGGCCGCGACGACCTCATCAAGGCCTGGGCAGCCGCTATGGCATCGGGACTCGCGCGGCCCTGGGCGGAGGTGACTGCGGCTGATTGGGCTCGGGGCGTGTTTGTTGTCGCACCGGTAGCACCGGCTGAACGAGCAGCAGCAGGGCTGCCATGCTCAGCTCCCATTTGCTGGTTGGCCGTTTCGGAGGTGGAGGGAACGCTCTCCTCTGGGGCGGTCATGGTGCAGGGTGCGGCTATGTAAGGTCATGGCAAGCGGGCCGGCGTTACTGGTGTTGAGGGTGCGGTGGAGAAGAGGCGTTGTCATTGCTGCATTACGCGAAGCGCTGCTCTCAGGAAGGACCTTGCCATCAACGCGGCGAGAGGCCGTTGGTGGGCAAGTCTAGTGAAACTACTCTACAATCGGCGGTCTGCGTCGGGCGCCCGACGGCTGTTCATGGATGGCTCGTCACGCTCTCGTGGGTGTTCAGCCAACACACGCACTAGCCGCCCGACAACGCATCCTCTTCGCATTCGCTACTATTGGCGCCACTCGGAAAATCCCCTCAGGTATCATGGTCGTCGTCACTAAAACAAAGGAACACACAAAGGAAAACCAGCCCCACCATCCCATTCCACCCCCACGTCATCCCCCACTTCATGCCCTATCAGCCTTGCCAATGTACAGTCAGAAGAGCAATCAACAGCATAACCGAGGTAGGAACGTCTTGTGCAGGCTGTGTTTTTTTGTAAGCGGCCGGCCATCTTCTATGCCCCGGCCTGGACGTGCGAGTTGGTCGATAATACAACGTATAAAATAGAAACAGTGTCTCTGCCGAATGGTACTTATGGAGAAAAGGAACGTCTGTGGTCGTCGGATCGTCGTGTCGTCAGCATGATCCGATAGTCCGTCGTCGTCGTGTGGCAGTGTCGTGCCTTCAAAAGAAGCGCCGGGAAGCAAAAACGCCGTGGTAGTGAGCTTTGTAAACCGATTGGGATATCGCAAAAGCAGAAACAGCAAAGCCAGAAGGTCACTGGAAATCATGCCGCCCGGGAGCCCACGCAGGCCTCTTAGCCAAGAGGATCTTTAGTGCAAACGCCCGTCTTCCGTACACCTAAACACCGGCAAGATGTGGTTCGTATATTTCTTGGAATTGCTTTCCAAGACGCGAGCCATGGCTCGCGTTAGGGAATCAATTAACCCCGGAGTTGGGAGTGATTCAGTCGGCATCGGCCATGTCAACGTCATGGTTGAGGACCTCTTCCGCAGGACCCCAATTGCCCTCGTAGATCGTAGCGCCGGCCCGACGGCGCCTTTCGACCCACTGAACACCCTCAAGATAGTACACTTGCTCGATGGTGGGGCGTTGCTCGGGCTCAGGATAAATCATCCATTGGACAACCTTATCCAGGGCACCCTCGTCATCCGGATCCGCCATGAACTTCGGAGGATCAACAAGCGCTTCGGAGCGGTGGCGCCTTGGTGATAGCTTGCGCAAAGCTTGAGAAGTCTCGTCCTCGTGATCGGATCCCAACAAGGTCTCGTGGGACAGAACGTGGTGATGATCATCCGTAATCGGATCGCCGGCTTCGTCGCGTTCGAGCGTACTCTCGGAGCTCCAGGTCAGGCTAGGAACATCGGTCATGTCGCCGCTCCTAAGCCGTTGCCACGAGACACCATTGTCGGGAAGAATGATGTTTCCGGCAATCTCAACCATGATCATGCCGAGAGCGAAAATGTCTGCTGGTTTGTCGAACTTGCCATGGAGGACTTCCGGGCCAATGTATTCACGGTCGCCCTCTCCTTCAATGCCATCAGGAGCTGGCCAAGTACTGGCAAGTCCAAAATCACCAATCTTGAGTACGCCTTCCCAATCAATGAAGACATTTGCTGGCTTCAAATCCAAGTGAATGAAGCCGGAGTCGTGGATGAATTTGACGCCCTAAATTACATCAGTATACTGTCTTTAGAGGTGTACGAAGAACATTAGCTTACCAAAGACAACTCCAGAAGGATTTTCCAGATTCTGAAGTCGTCCAAGCGAGCCTTGTCGCCAGTTTCACTCAAGAAGGTTTTGAGATTGCCATTCTCACAATACTCAGTCTGAATGTAGAGGTGGTTCTCCTCCACCCAGCTGTGCACAAACTCAATGATGTGTTCGTGCCCGCGAAGCGTTTTGAGAATCTCTACCTCACGTTTCTTCCGCTCCTCGTCTTTCGGACCAGCGAGCGGCTTTTTGGATTTCTTGACAACCCACCCTTTACTTAGCGACTGGGCTGATTGAGACTCAGTCGTGCTACTTCCAACCGGTTGGCCGACCAAGAAGACTTGTGAGAACTCGCCATCACCCGGAAGAAGCTTGACGCTCTCAAACCGGTTAGTAAGACTCGTGTCGACGTCATTCTTGGTCAACCCCGTGATTGGCCCAACGCCTGCTCCCGTACTGAAGTGAAACACTTGGTCACGGGTAGCAGTGGGCGTCGCTGGAGGGAAGCTACCTGCGCTTCCTGCACTAGAATTAAACTGAAGCGAGCCACGGCGATTGGCCTGTGCCGAGATTGACAGACGCTTGGTATCCGGCGTGAAGCCACTTTGAGGAGTTTGCGGTGACTGGCCGACCGTAGGTGTATGGATAGCTGAGGAAAGAGAGGGCTTCTTAGTAACGGGCGCAGGTGATGGAGTAGAGAGTGCAAGTTTCGGAGAGCGCTCGGTAAACAATGGAGTCCCCTTGTTCGGACCCCTACGGAATACGCGAGAATGCCCAAACGACGGAGAGCGACAAGGCGGAAACGTCCTTGAAGCAAACGTAGGGGATTCGTCCTCGTCCGCAGTACCGAAGTCCAAAGACCCAGTTGGAAAAGACTTACTCTTGGGGAAGCTCGGAGAAGTGATATCCCCTGGGGTTGGCGGGACAAATGTGTCTGGAGCAATGGAAGCACGGCGTCCGAAAAGGTTGCTCCTCAAGCTGTTGTCCCTAGAATTCCGACCACTGCTGCCTTGCTTGGTCGGCGTTGGAGGGAACTCGTCAAGGCTTGATTGGCTGTCTATGAGAGCACACGGCGACTGCAAGTGGTCGTCCCCGTCAATGCTTACGAAGCTCCCACGGCGCGGCAACGCATTCATCCGAGAGCCGAAGATACTCACACCCTGTCCAAAAGAGACGGGCGTAGCCTTCGCCGCGTTCGACAAGAAGGGCGTTGACGGTGTTCCGAATTCGTGCTGGGCTCCGGTTGACTTGCCGAAAGTGCTTCTTTGGAACGGTGTGGAGCTTGACAAAGGTGGAAATGATACTCTTTTTGACGGGGTGTCCGGCATCGCATAGTTTTCAAACCCTCCCGGCGGCGGCACATCAATGTTGCGATTCTTCTTCGACATTAATCCCGTCGACAGGAACGGGGCTTGGTGAGGCCTTGCGCCCTTGAACGAATCGGGAGTGGCAAAGCTCGACGGATCTGACGGATCGCCCGCTCTTGTGTTGAACCGACCGCCGGGGCGCGAGGCTCCGATTGGGAGTGATCGTGAAAAGCTGATGGGAGGCCTTGCAAACTCTGCGATGGTCTGTCGCTTAGGCGCTGGGGCCGCCGGCGTAGGCTGCTTGGGTGAGTCACCCACATCACTCATGCTTGAGTTCGATGAGGATGGAGTGAGCGCGTTCGACAGAGGATGCGGGTGATGTCCCGTGGCCGGGCCGGACATCGAGCGCTTGTTTGGTGGGAAAGAACGAGATACACCAAGAGGGGTGCGACGGAACGGCGATTCGATGACGTTCGCCTGATCGCTCATGGTAATGGCGCTGTCGAGAGACATGCGTGACTTCGATCGAGAGGCGGCATTGCCCGGCATAAGGAATTCGTGACCCTGGTCCTGTAGGAGGCGCGGTCGCGCGGTCGCACCGGAGCCATACCTCTGCTGGAGCGTGGACCGCCTGAGGGAGGACAACTTGCGGATCGGGGAGGCACGTCTGGGGCCAAGCGGAGTTGAGAAGGAGTAGTTCGACATTTCCCTGTCCTGGTCGTTGTTGCCGCGCTCTTCAATCTGGCTAGGCGGATGGTCGAAGATGTCGAAATCGGCGCTGAACGGACCACCGTGCAAACTGCGCCTTTTGGCGGTAGGGCTGCCCAAGCTTGCTTGGTCCAGATTCATGATACCATCGCTGCGCTTCAGAGGGCTCGATTTTGGCGGGTGGAGTGGGCCTTCCGTCTTGGGCTTGGCGAATTCAAATTTGATTGGGCCGTCGTTGAAATCAAGGCGTGCGACGGCCGGCTTCATGTCCGAGTCGGATTCCATCGGTTCGGGGTCTTCTTCAGTGTCACTGTCATCGTTGGAGCCCCGACCAGAGGAAGAGGGCGACTTGTTGGCTTGGTTCAACGAGTCGCTGAGGGCGCGGCGCGGCGGGCTTCGGGCACCTGCGCGCACGCGAGAAGAACGGAAAGGTGCAAGGCGGGGACGCGAGCCGGATTTGCTTCTCTTGGTGGTGGTAGTGGGAGTCGCTTCCAAAGGGGAAAATGGGAAAAGATTAGGCGCATTGTTTTCCTTGGACGCGGCCGACTTGGGGCTGAAAGCCCTGGACAGGGCCAGCGGCGAGAGGGGCGACTTTGGCGAATTTTGCGGCGACGTGTGCAGCGTAAAGCGCGACGCCTTGGATGGCGAGCGGGACAATGATCGCCGGATCTGCTTGATGGAGGGGAAGCCGTCGACGCGGTAGCTGTGCGGATGGGTTGGAGAGTGGAGGTGCAGCGTTCCGCCGACCTCGCGATGTGGGGAGTAGGCGAAGTCCATGCTCGCGGTTGAACTGCGGTCGACCGTGGCTGATACGCGTCGCGTCAGTCGCGATAGTGATGGCTTAGGGTCGCTCAGAGGCGGGAAACTCGTGACAGAGCGCGCCAGAAGGCGATTTCTGCGGTGGTGTCGCGTGTTAGATGGCAAGGCGCTCGTGCGGAGAGAGTCGCATAGGTTTGTCCAGGCGGAGGCGACGCAATCGTGGGCAAACAGTTAAGGCTGCTGCTGCGCGCTTGCGACCGCTCCGTAGGAATGTGAAGCGGTGTTTACAGACAACAGGAGGCGCTCCTGGGTGTGAATAGCTGAATTCCTTGCCCCCGAGTTGTAGAACCTGGCTACACCGCCCGTCTCAGCTCCATCCAACGCTCAGCATGCGTCGGGCGGCAGAGAGGGCGCGCAGACGTGTCGAGCGAGGCAGAGTCGCTCTTTCGCGGCGAGTGTATTCGGGGCGTTGGCGACGCAGCGGAAGGCGGGGGCGTGAGAGCGCGTGGAATGCGGTGCGACCGAGTAAACAATGAGGCGCGTCGCGGAGGCGAGCGGCGGGCGCGGTCAGGCGGACAGGAGGGCGCGGGAAGTGGCGCGGGCTGAATAATGGCGAGGGCGCAAGGCCGGAGAAGGGTCGAGTCGAGGGGAGGCAATGCGCGCGGCGAGAGTTGGCGGAGCGCAAAGGGAGCGGGTTGCGGATGGTGGACTTGGTGGCTAGCGGAGGGCGATGGGGTGGGTGGAATCGATCATTAACCGGGGCTAGGCGGGCGGCGTGGTCGCGTCTTAGGCCAACGCAACCGAACCGAACACGCACCGCCATCCCTGTCCGCGCTTGAGCTTCTGCCAGTCTCCGGTCCTCTGCCTGGGCACTGACGGCCTTGCGATGCGACACGCCGCCTCCTGAAGCCTTTTTGTGTTTTTGTTTACCATTGTTACTTACGGCCCGCCCCGGGGCTGATCATCACAACAAACCCGCTGCATTTCCGCCTCTCCCGCCTCCGAACGATTCACGCCCCCCTCCTCCACCGTCGACTCCCTCCACCATGCGCCCGCCGCTCTGGGTGCTGTGCCACACTGAGGTAGCCTCAAACCCTCCACCTCATCGCCAAGATTTAAACTCCCGATGACGTCGTTTTTCCGACGAAGCCGGCTTCGTTGACAGGACCCCAGCGCAGGGCCTCAACAACGTGGGGGGCGAAAGGGACCACCCCCCACCACCTGTCCATCCATCACCCTTGATTCTCGGCCCGTCGCCGTTCCCTAGCAACAGTCTTTCGAGAGTGGTGATGTTACTTTGATACTGCTCTCTCCCTCTCTCCCTTCCTCCCTCCCTCCCTCCCTCCCTCCTCCACGCCACAACGCCAACCGACTGAGGTGGCATCCGGTGTGTGCGCCGCTCCTCCCACCCCGGATCGGCTCCAGGCTCCAGCTCCTGCCTCCTGCCACAGTCATGGTCGGCGAATCTCCGGGGGCGCTGCCTTGTGCCAGGGCCCAAAGCATCCTAGGCCATGAAGCTGTCGCCCTGCCATCCTTTGCAATGCAGGTTAAGCGATCGCCGATCACGCGCAAGAGAAGGGACTTGCTCAGAACTGGTAGCTCGCGGCCGCCAGCGTGGTCACCGGAGACGAGTGCCACGTCTGACCTGCTCAGGCCGTGCTTTTTCTCCAGACAGGTTTCGAGCCAGCTTGAAGACAATACTCTGCCAGTGCTAACAAGGGCGTGACCATCGCGTGAACAGGTCGATCTGATGTGCTGTGATGGACGAGCGACGATTGCCGTGGTGTTTGTTTTGGGCTCGTTACCTGCAGCAACGGCAAGGCCGGCCAAGTTGGAAGATGCTGGCATTGCCTAAAAGGTCGACGATCGGTCAGGATCATCCTTGAATCCCCGTGCTTGCGCACATCCGAGCTCCACGGCAGCTCAAAAAAGGGCAAGCAGATCAGCGGCCCCAACCCAGCACAACGGCGAAGAACACCGGTTAGCCAGAGGTCGAGATCGTTAACCGCCAGTATTATGACAGCGAGACACACGGCTTCACGCCTCTAGCTCGTCTTTCTTGAGCAACTACCTCGCTCTCTAAGATCGTGTTCAACTCCACTATCAAAAGAAATCATGGTGAAAGGTCGTTATCAATGCATCATTGACGTCAATTGATCTGTAAATCTAAAGGTCATTCGTCCAGCGTCACCCGCCGCTAGTCATGAGGGCCAAGAGCCACTCTGTCGGATTTTTAAAGCATGACGGCGGCGACGACATCATGACTTGCATCCAACGGGCCGAACGACATTCCGACCATTGTATTTGCACGACAACTATGGAACGAGAGACCGACCCAGCCAGATGGCATCGCAGGTACAGATGATACGGATTGCTGAAGTTGCAAAATTGCCAACTACTAAGAATTCAGAATTAATTCCTTCCTATGCATGTACCAGATACTTTGATAGCATGGTACTACCGGTCGCCACTCATGCGCCCTCCTGGCGCTCCAACTCTTTTCAATACTTGGGCTTGAATGGCAGCGTCGACATCTGTAGCCCCGGGTTTGCCTTGATGCCGAAAAGATCGTAGATCCACTTCAAGATGATAAAGAAAGACTCTGGCTCGCCCATGTGCTTGACGTTAGGTACGAAGCTGGAAAATCGGTCAGATGCTTATTGTCAATATAGTCCGCGACCCAGAGAAAAACATACCGAGCCTCCTTTGGCGCACCATGTTGCAGCGCAATGTAGTAATCGTCAATTGGGAAGATTTCGTCCTCGGTGCCCTAGCGAAACAGTAAGGACGCATTTTCAAGCAATAAAAACATGAGATGGTAAAGAATTTCTTACGTTCACCAAAAGTAGCCGTGCACACTCAGGCTTGTCCAGGGTTCCATCTTTGAGGAGGGAGAACTTGTCCGAAGCTTCTTTTTTGAAGGTTTCTACATCGGTTCCGTAACCGAACTTGTAAGCAAGTGTGTTCGCCAAGCTATTCAATTTCTGTCAGCTTTCTTTTCTCGGGGATGCTTCTGAAAAAACTCACTCAAAGGGATATTCCAAGTGGTTGACCTCATTCAGCCACCGCGGATCAAACATATAATGAGTACCACCGCCCAACGCCACCACACCCGCCACGCGGTCTGGATGCGTATGAGCCAGTCTGATGGCGTAGAAACCACCGGTTGAAAATGCCCAAACAGCAATCTTGTTGCTGTCAATACTCTCCTGTTCATTGATCCAGTCTAGCAGACTCGACCATTGTCTGTCCGGGCTTTTCGGGTCAGTTGCGAGAGCTGGAGAATCTCCAGTGCCTGGTATCTCAACCACGACAACGCCGACGCCATTACGACGCCAGCCTTCGGCCCATACGCACAGCTCAGTCCGGTAGCCGTCTAATCCCGTCATGATAACAACCACAGGAGCGGGATTCTCTTTTGAGGAACCTTCAGGAAGCTGGTGGTAGATCGGGATGTGGCTACCCTCGCCTTCAATGGCGTACTTGTGCGGGACTTGGACCTCGTACACGGGGTGCTCTCGTAGATTCAAACCCTTGATGCACACCTCTTTTCCCTTCGTCCACGCATAACGCTGCTTCTCGGAGCGGGGCGCCGGGAAGCGCGAGATGCGCCAGACGGCAGAGGCGCGCAGATAGTACTCGGACGCCTTCTCTTTCTCGCCGGTCTTCTCAGCCTCTTCGGCGATGCTTGTGAGATTTTCGGCTTGCGGGCGAAAGACCTCAGCGTAGGCATCCCAATCGTAGGGCTCCTTCATGTCTAGCCTCGTCATTTCTTCCACGATGGGCTCGAAGTCTTTGGCGGTGCCAAACATGAAAGGGTAGACGCCCATCTCGGCCTGTGGTCACAATGCAGATCAGAAACTAGAGTGACAGTGCGAAGAGCAACCGCGAGCCAACTGACGGGCTTCTTCCACTTGGTCTCCCACAATTGCTTGAAAGACTCATGATGCGGGGCTTTGTCCTTTAGCTTATCTTGGATGAAAAAGTTGGCGTTGGGGGCGGCCATGATGATGGATTGTCTTGACACTAGGGCGAAGCCAACAATGGGATTCAGAGGCGCTCAAAGATACAGACTAGCAGCTAGCAGGTAGCACCAAGGACCGGGAGCAGTGAGAAATGTACAGACGAGCCAACAGCCTATTCAGACGGCGCGCGCGCCTAGTATTTGTAGCGGTAGACTTGCCGGACCTTGTAGAACCAGAAAAAAGCGCTGCAGCGCAGTTCAGGAAGCCGTTTCCTTGGATGACGCAAGCTGTCGCAGGGAGACAGGCATGATAGAGGGCTTGGCGCGTCGACGACGTGGCCGCCGTGAGGGGAGCCGACACTCGAAAACCAATGTGTCCACGTCTTAATGCGCCTCGGTCGCAACATCCGCGCGGCATCCATTGGACGAGCAAGACATGCATCCCGTCCCACGCCTCCTATGATATAATAAACATGGAACATGGACGAGTTCACGAAAGCTTTGGGGTGCCGGGGATTGGGGCTGAGCGAGGCCCGATGAGGTCGGGAGCAGACATGGAGCGAGATCCATAAACCACTGTACTCAGATAGGGTAGGGCGCCGTCGGAGAGTTGAACCGGTTCCGCCGCGCAGCTCCCTCGCTCCCTTCCCATCCTCCCTCGTCGACCTAGCAAACAAAGCGGCTGCTGAACAGCGAGCGATAGGGATCGATGGCGCCGTGCATCCCAGTGCCATGGTGCGACGGCGGGTAAAAGCAACGCGGTCGTCCGCTCAGCTCTCACGTCGCCAAAACCGCGCCCGATCACCCTCGCACATCGTCGTCTTCGTCGTCGTCAGCATCAGCGTCGTCCTTTGTCCCTACTGCACCGCACACTAGATGTTTGTACTCCCAGGTCTCGCTTTGGGAGCGTTACGGCCCGCCGGCGGTCGGGCGAGAGCAAACCTAGGTAGCGTGCGTCGCCCCGGCGCGCATGTAACTTATGCCCTCGTACGAGCTCGGGGCCTCCAAAGTGGCGATACAATACCGCGCGGCTCCGCCACCCAAGAGACGCCGACTGCCGCGCTGGGGGTGAGATCCTATCTAGATACGACAAGCAGGCATCGGATCGACAGGCCCGGCTGGACGTTGTAGGGAGGGATGCGCGCCCGGAAAAGGGGGCGGGCGTCGCTTCCGGGCGATCAGGGGGAAGAAGAAGAGAGCGAGGGGAACGCCCGCCGCCGCCGCCGTTGCCGCCTGAAGAGCCCCTGCAGGCGAAGTCCGCAGGGCTGCTGTGTCGGGCCTGCCAGGGGCTGGTGCAGGCCCGCTGCTGTGCCTTTGGGAACTCTCGCCGGTTTCTGCTTGCTCGATCTAGCATGGACTGACATTGACAGGGGAGCTGGCCTCGACTCATGGGCAGATGAGGGACGTCCCGAGCCGAATGCACGTCATTTGTCTGTAGGTAAGGATACCCCTTGTTTTTGGTTCTCTTAATCCGTTTGATAATCATGTATAACATGGCGGAGCTATAATTTGCCTAAATCGGCTCTTGGTCACGCAGCCTACAGCTCGATGATCTTGTCTCAAGGCCGACTCGCAAAGTTTGGGGGCCGTATTAAGATAGAACATGAGACCAAACGGAACATCTGTCCGACTAGTCCAAGAAGATGAGCCTAAAGCGCTCCACCACCTTACATGGTAAGGCTTTATCATTTGTTTGTTCTAAGAACTCATCAGAAATAAAATATAATCTGGGCCTGATAGGAAGTACAGCCGGAGACTGTAGTTTTGGTTAGGGAAAGCTGAGAAATATTAAGGCAACGAAAGGATTTACAGCGAAGTAAACTAAACCTTACGCTCATGTGGATATGGTTATCGAATAACTACCGAAGCATGCTTTTCTCAATCGCCATTAGTCAACATTCGCATGAAACGTTTGCACGACCATTCTGTACAGGTTTCCTTTATTATTACATGTCATTGCATTCATTTGGTCTTTGTGATGGGTTTCGAGAATAGATGAGAGAGAAAGACCCATTAGAACAAGGGTCAAGAGGTGGGACATGATAAGTAGGTAGGTGGAGTCATTCACATCCAAGGGCCGTTATTCCTCTTCGTTCCACATGCGCTTTCTGTCTAGGTAGGCATCGTTCTGTCACTCCGGACTTCTTTAAGCGCATTCAATTCCCTTGACGAAATCAAAAATAACAAAAGTATAATACTAAAAAGCATCACTCAGAGAGGCAAAAATTCAGACCCGAAAGTCCTATAAACCGCCGGCCGTGCAAGGGCGGTTTCCCCAGCGAAAACGCTGTGGTTCGAACACTCGAACTCCAGGTGTTAAACCTTGAAGTGTTAAGGTACCTTTACGGTGGCCACTAAACCACACGACGCTTCTAACTCGTGTTCTTACTAAGTAGACCGCCAACTAAACTTATAAGGATGGTAGCTAGCGCCCTTGGCTGGGTTGCCGGCCATCCCAAGTAACCGCGCCTGCTCGCGCAAGGCGCAAACTTCACCGTGCTTGAGGTCCTTTGCTTAGTTGCAGACTCCCCGATCTTTCTCCTCATACCCCGCCTCTACTTACCTATTTTCCGCTTCACCGGTACTGACTCTCGCGTCTACCTCACACATGCTCGTTGCAGATGCTGGCGTAGTGGTACCAGGTAAGCCTGCGAGTCTAAATAAACCCTCCTCTCTCTTGCTCCCTCACTCTGTCCCTCTCTCTCTATCCCCCGACATTCCAAGACACACCCAGTCAATTTCACTCTCACAAATCAATAGTTCAATTGAGAAATGCCTTATTAATGGTGTAAACCGCAACAAACTCAACGCCCACTCCGCCAACGCCCACTCCCACAACACCCACCCCACACCACGCACTCACTCACTCTCACCCCTCATGACAAATCCCACAGCCCCAGTCCTCCGCTCAACCTCTTCCCAATCCCTCACCCTCACCCTCACATTCTCCAGCACCAACTCTAAGAGGCTCTCCCACACAATCGCCGGCGCCGAGAAATTTCTCCCGCCATACAGCGCGTCCAGCAGCAGCGGATTCGGCCCCGGCGCCCCCACCCACGCAAACCGCAGCACCCGCAGCGTATGTCGAAACGCAGCCAGGTAGCCCTGCAGCGACTTGAGGAAGTCGCGCTTCGTCATCGCGTTCACGCCGCCCGGGAGCGGGTTTAGCAGCCGTATGTCGAGCGTTTGCAGACTGCGCCAGAAGGGCACCGCCGTCCACGGCGCGGATATGTATGCTGCGCCGTTTTGCCAGCGAAGGAGAGTGAGCCCAATGGGGTGGATGGGGTGTAGACGTAGGCTGCGGAGATGAGTGAGCGTGGAGGACTCGAGCGCGAGACGTAGCGCGAGGAGCTGTGCTTCGAGGAGGCTGAGGACTGGCCAGGTTGCGCTGCCGGGGGAGGAGATCGTGAGGTGTGTTAGGTGGGGGAGCTGTTTGAAGAGACGGGTCCAGCGATCTTGGAGGATGGTTACGGGTGGTGTTGCTGTGGATTCCTGGTGTGGAGAATGGAGGGTTGGCAGGGCGTCTGCTAGGCGAATCACCAAGTGGCGGCAGTAGGTAGCGATGTTGGTGAGAGGAGAAAGAGGTCGGTATTGCTGCCCGCTCATGCCGTAATGCCCGTCGATGTATAAGGTGCGAAAAGCCTTTGAGTAGAATACATTGATGCTGCCCTCTACCCAAGCCTTGAGCGCCTTGCTGGTAACGCGCAATGCGAGAAGATCGCTGCTGGAAAGAAAGCTGCGGACTAACTTTGCGGGAAAGCTCAGATCGAACGCCCGGTTGTAACTCCAAAGCACATTGTCTATTATTCCTAGCCCTACGCGCGGCTGCAGGAAGTCTTCAAGTATTGAAATCTTGCGGTGCGGAAGGACACGCCACAAAGATTTGGAAAATTTGTAATGGACCATGATGATTTGGTTGTTTGACCTCGGATATACAATCGAGCTTGTGCGATTCGGAAAGGGCTATATATAAATAAACCAGACAGCGGGAGATCGCGGATAGAGGGCGTAGCGAAGAGCGTAACTCGTGATACTGCAGCGATTCCGGCGTTGGGGGTGGAAGGAGGCTGATGCAGTAGCATGATTGTTGTTTGGTAGAAGTTGACCACGCAGGCTTTATACCATGGCTATAGACGGCATGTCGTGCCAGCGGATAGACACGGAGGAAGTAGGCGCCGCTGGAAGCCGAGAGTAGTTCAGCATGTGACTCTTAATCATGCCTTTGTATGCGGAGCGTAGCTGAACAATGGCGCAACAGTTAAAGCTCTTTAAGGCCAAGACCCGTCTGTCTGGTTGTTAAGTGTAACCCACCCAAACAACACTTCCGCAACAAGCACCATCAACAAACATACCACCCCTCCCGCTATAAGAGCTTCTTCCGCCACTTCACTCCCAACCGGCAGCCCGGTAGTCTAGTGGGAAAGAGACAAATTTTAGCAACCTTGTAGGTCTTCGGTGTTCCGTTACAGGTTTGCTCCTGTTCGAACCTGAGATTGGACTATCAGGCTGGGCAACTTTGTAAGTTCTTCGGCGTTCCATTTCAAGGTTGCTCGCCTATCATGGCGTCGGGCCACAGCGTGAAGTGCGCTGGCGAAACTCACATAGCGCGGTTTATAGGGGCCTACGGGCCTGATTTTTTGCTAAGGTTTGCCTTTATTGTTGATTATCGTTTTTGCTCTTGCTCCTATGCAGGCTAGGCTCTCAGATCCTTGGGGGGTTTCTACACCGAGTTTTTGGCGCATGATGGGCCCTCGTTCCATAGGTACGTGACTTGTGTCTGTGATCTCACTCTGAACAAGTTAAAATTGACGGTGAGAGACGCTCTGACTTTGGTGTTTCTATCAGACCACGAAAGGCTTACATCAAGCCCCCACGATTTGCGACAAAAAACAGTAATTGATAAGAAGATTCTTGCGTCATATCCTTGGTGTCTCTTTGACCGAAAACAACAATTTTCCCTTTGATTTTCTAGAAACTGGAGAGTGAGAAAAGATATAAATCGGTGCAGAGTAAACATATGTCAGCAAGGCCTCCATTCATTGTTATACAGATGTGGTCTGATGGACGGGATGATAGGCAAGAGGTTGACGTCGCAGCAACCTTTTTCCATGGCCGGTTCTCCACCGGGCAGGCCCGATGTGTCACCCGCGTCATCGTGAGGATCAGTCTCAACAACAAATTTCCCTCTCCACCACCTCTTCCTCCTTCCTACTCCCCGAACTTCCGCGAATTTCTTGTAAGTACACCTTTCCTGCCTTGCTACATCCCTTGCACCGCTTTGCGACAACGCCAGGAGCTCAATGGTCTCACCTCGCCCTCAAACGGCCGTTTGGTGGGGCTCGAGGGGCAGCGGGGTGAAAGACATAGCTTCACTAGTATGGCCGTGGCGCCGTTGACAGCCCGCAACCGCCCTGCACTGAACCTGGCCTGCTTCATCAGAGCTATTCGCACGATGAGAGGCGCAGTCATGGCGAGGACAGGCTCTGCGTTCGGCCTGGCAGCGGAAGCTACTCGGCGTCTTTTCAATCAGCTCAGCTGAGGTCACGTCGTCGCTGCAAACTCTCACGCTCCTCGGACGCACCTGCCCCTTGGGAAGCGACCCCGCTGACAGCCTATATTAGCGCAGTTTCTCGCTTTCTACCTCCCCCAACTTCCACTTCCTCACCGACTGTTTCTCTGCCCTCCGGACGAGCCGATCTCACCCACCACACAACACAACACAACCCATATATAACAATCCGCCAAAATGGTCGGTCTTGGTCCTAGGAAGCCCCCTTCGCGTAAGGGTTCCATGGCCGATGTGCCCAAGGACCTTCTCCAGACCATCAAGCGCCTGGAGGACACCTTCACCGTCCCTGCGGAGAAGCTCAATGAGATCACGGACCACTTCGTTAATGAATTGACCAAGGGTCTCACCAAGGAGGGCGGAAACATCCCCATGAACCCGACTTGGTGCATGGGCTTCCCCACCGGCCATGAGACCGGTACCTTCCTCGCCCTCGACATGGGCGGCACCAACCTCCGTGTTTGCGAGATCAACCTGCCCGAGGAGAAGGGCGAGTTTGACATCATCCAGTCCAAGTACAAGATGCCTGAGGAGTTGAAGACGGGCACTGCCCAGGAGCTGTGGGACTACATCGCCGACTGCCTGCAGCAGTTCGTCGAGTACCACCACGAGGGCGAATCGCTGCACTCAATTCCCCTGGGTTTCACATTCTCGTACCCCGCGTCGCAAGACTACGTCGACCACGGTGTGCTGCAGAGGTGGACGAAGGGTTTTGATATCGACGGCGTGGAGGGCAAGGACGTTGTTCCTCCTTTCGAGGCTGCGCTGAAGGAGAGGGTACGTCTAACCTCGGGGATTAGCAAATTGATGCTCTGACTGACAATCAAATGTAGGGTGTTCCCATCAAGTTGACTGCCCTGATCAACGACACCACGGGTACGCTCATTGCCTCCGCTTACACCGATGATCGCATGAAGATTGGCTGTATCTTCGGCACTGGCTGTAACGCAGCCTACATGGAGAACTGCGGCTCCATCCCCAAGCTTGACCACATGAAGCTTGACCCCGATGCTCTCATGGCCATCAACTGCGAGTGGGGCGCTTTCGACAACGACCACAAGGTCCTCCCTCTTACGAAGTACGACCACCAAATCGATAACGAGTCCCCTCGTCCCGGCCAGCAGGCTTTCGAGAAGATGATTGCCGGTCTTTATCTCGGTGAGGTTTACCGTCTGGTCCTGCTTGACCTTCACGAGGACCCCGGTGCGCACCTGTTCGAGGGCCAGGATGTCAGCAAGCTCAAGAAGGCCTACAGCATGGACGCTTCGTTCCTTGCTCAGATCGAAGAGTGAGTTGCTTCAATTCCACTTCTGAAATGGTATATTAACATTGCACAGGGACCCCTTCGAGAACTTGCAAGAAACCTACGACCTCTTCGTCAGGCAGCTCAGCATCAAGCCCAACAAGCCCGAGTTGGAACTGTGCCGTCGCCTCGCCGAGCTGATCGGTACGCGCGCCGCCCGCTTGTCGGCCTGCGGTGTCGCCGCTATCTGCAAGAAGAAGGGCTGGGACGAGTGCCACGTCGGTGCCGACGGCTCCGTCTTCAACAAGTACCCGCACTTCAAGGCGCGCGGTGCCCAGGCTCTGCGCGAGATCTTCGGCTGGGCCAAGGGCAAGCGCGACCCCATCGAGATTGTCCCCGCCGAGGATGGTTCCGGTGTCGGTGCCGCCTTGATTGCCGCTCTCACGTTGAAGCGTGTCCAGGAGGGTCAATACGCCGGTATCCGGGACCCCCAGGGCATGCTTGAGAGCGCGGGCAAATAAACGAGACCATTCTGAACGGCGATGATGATCGGGGGCGTGCTGGAAATACTTGATGATAAATAACCCCTAGCACGCGTTGTCTACCTACTGTGTATATGATGCGCGGCAAACAGGCCGCTTGGCGGCTACATTTGTGCGCGGTGTTGATGGCGCTATGATCCACGATTCTAGATAGGCGATAGACAATCGATGAACTTTCCTACGTGTCTAATTATAGTGTCAGGGAAAAATAAGTGCAGCTGGATGAGTTCATCGTCAGTCACCTCATAATGTAGGTAGCCAGGGGCGAGAAGCATGAACTCACGATATCTTCTTTACACCGCATCGACCCTTGGCACTCGGGCAAGGCAACTAGGCTGCAAGGCATTGAACCAACAGCCAAGCAGCTCGGCCTCTTTCCTTCTTAACCAAACACATGGTCCAGAAGATTCAAGGCGGTCTGCGCTGCCACACCGAATCTAGAAAGCTACGAATAAATTTAGTCTTCCGCCATAAAGCTCTCAACATGTTACACTTTAGCAGATGTCTATTGAGAGAGCGTTAGGCTATTATTTTAGCACAAGTAACTTTCCGAAGTTATAGGAAATATATAAACTAGTCTAGCTTCTGGTTAAATTTAGTTATACGTATAGTTCGCCTGGATGGGATAAGTTTCGCGACTGTATACTTTTCTTGGGAAAGGCAAAAACATATTTGTACACACAAAATTTTACGGAAAACGGAGGGTACGGCTGCGATTGTTGATGTGTGGGGTTCCGACGCCGGCGTTGCTGGAAGCAAGATGACGAAAGACGTGGAAGAAGTAGTTTTGTTGGGGATGGATGGTGGTGGTGCATCGGCGATGGTCGGCCATGGTGTTTACGGCAGAGACGTATATTCGGGACGGCCAACGAGTTGGATAGATGGATTTAGGCTATAGTCTTTTTTTTTTTTTTTTTTTTTTTGTCGGTCGGCTCAACGGCTTGGTTTAAGCTTATATAGCGTGTGGTTTTGGTAAGGCGTTGCTATTTGCGGCATGCCGCATGCGGTGCGGTTCCCAACGGTCTTGCTTCTGGATCTTTGGGTTCGGGGTTTGTCTTTTGATTGTTGGTTATGGGTTTGAAGGTGACGTTCGCAATGATGTTGGTTATTAAGTCTTCAAACATTCCATCCATTTACAGGAATAGTAGTTTAAAGTGTTATATGTACTATGCAAAAGCCGAGCCTTCTCTTAACGTAATGCATAAACATCGTACCAGCAAGCCATTTCACAGCCCTGAGTTGGTTCTTGGGTGAAGCTCCAAACGCAAAAATAGCGTTACTCAAGAAAGCTGTTTGCGTAGTTCGACACTTCAGTTAATATGTTTTATCATTCCAGGCATCGTTTGGTATGTTAAATCATCGCGACCAGCCTATAGCCCATTAGGATGAATATTCGTAACAGGGCCAATAGAAAGCCCAGCAAGGAACCATTGCCTTGACCGACTGTGGCTTTATCCGGGAAAAGTCCCTTAGGTCTTGAGTATGACTTAAGGTTGTCCTAATGGATCCACTCCACAGGAAAAATAGCGTTTGAAGAATGTCACGGGCACGTTAACGCTGCAGTACTTTGATACAATGGCTGAATTTGCAGGAGATATACAGACTATTAGGAAATCCGCAAACACACTGCTGGAAATTTGGGAAGTAGTCCATACCAAAGACGTAGAATTCAGTAAAATCCGAGAAGTCAATAGCCCAAGCGGCCTTTGCGTTTGTGAATACTTGTGGAAGGGGAGTTAGTCCCCACCCCTGACTCTCCACATTTGAAAGAGCGTATTTGGGATCAGTTGCTTTCAGTGTTGTCAAGAGTTGTGGGTAGGTATTTGGCATGCCTAGGATCATTGTCGCCGCAACTTTGATTAGAAGCTTGAGCCCCTGGATGCGCATTAACGGTGGGCTGAATACGAAGTTATACGTCTGGACTGGGCAAACCGCGAATTGCCATTAGAGTGCACATTGACCAACTTGTCCGGTCAACCAGCATTTGATCCATCTACCATCCTGGCCTTGGGCGTGTGTTCCCTCTCTTTTGAAGCGGTACCATACATATGATTTGCTTTCCGTGCAAGCCACGTGGTGCTATTTCGCTGTTGACGCCGTTCTGCCAATGGAAAACGACGGAACTGAACCAATTCTCTTTCGTTTTTTGGTTGTACAGTTCATTCTGTTTGTCGTAGGGCGAATAAGCAAGGAATCAAAGGAGAGTTACGTGATATCTAACATCGTGAGGAGCTCAAGCTCATGTATGCACTTCCTCATCCATTCCTGAGATTGCTGTCGTTGAATTTCGTTATGCTCGTCAAACACGGCAGATACGCCTTCACCTCTCGCTCACAGACGTGTACGATGATGTCCGTCTGTGATGCTGCCTCTTTGGTCGGAGACGAGAGAACATTGCGTTGAGGAACTTTTGGGTGATTTACCAATCACTGGACAGTGACTGTTAAAAGAATGAAGGCATAGCCTGATTCTTACACCCAGAGGCCGGGAGGCTACCAGCCAGTGCCGTCCTCAAAAGACCAAGGAAAATTATCCAAATAATTCCAAATCGTTCGAAGTTTCCTGCTCTTCTGCACGACACGAACCAGTCTGCCCTATCGCCCAGCTCCAAGAAGCCATCACTGACAACAAACCTACGTTTGAGTTGCGAATCCACGTCTCCCAAGTTGTTGTTTTTCGCACAGCACATCAATGATCGTCGCACGAGCATGCCTAGTGGGTTCTCGAAGGAATCGGCGCCAGATCCCCACGTGTAGCAAACGATGATCATTGGCGAAAGAAGCGACGAGCATCTGTACGTGCGCGCGCGTGGCTTGTAATCCCCAAAACTGCGGTGATCTACTCGCATCCTAAGATCATGGCCACGCTTTATCTAAAAATAAATTCTGGTCACCTACCGACTGGATTTACTGAACAGTAGTGATATCGAATCCCTTGCCGAAATACGGGTGGATTATGTGTGTCAAAATCCGACTCTCAGTAGGACTGACTTTCTAGCTTTCTGGTAAGTAGAGTTAGCGGCGAAGCATGATGTTGTGCCGAATAGACCACATCAACCCTCGAGAATCATCCCTTTAGCTGAGAACGATACCGTTTAATCGCTTCCAGCTCACTGAGCCAAGCTCCCTGTCGACTTTGTCTCGTTTGCGTAGGTTAATACTTCAGTTCCCATACATAACGCTCCAATACCACCCAGTGAGTGGCATCCACCAGACCACAGTATGACACTGCGAAGACTTTGTGAGAGCAAGCACACCTGTATGCTCAGAGTAGAACAGACAAGTGCACACCAACCAAACCGGTGAAACAGACAGTGCAAAGCACCAATCCCGCCAACAGAGAACCGGTTCGCACATCCCGACTCCCAGGGGAAGGTCGAAGACAGCAGCTCTGTTCAAAGCGGCAAAGCACGGCATTTAAACCCAGCGAGGCCAGCAGCAAAACCAGCCCGTCCGAAACATACCCGCGGCATTTCCACGCAAGAGAGGCCATGAGCGATAAAAAAGCACCCAGAGTCCAGACGACCGCGTCCGCACTTCACCACGTACCCGCAGCCCAGCGACAACAACGCCGCAACGCGGCTCCACCGGGTCGGAAGCGCCGGACTCCCCTACCTACAGAAACGACAGCGACGTCCCGGGCAGCCAGCCCTATTTGCAAGAATGCAAACAGCAATCTTCTGGCGTCGCGCGCGGACCTCCGACGTCGGCAAAATCGGGAGAAACCGGGTGCCCAAGGGGACGCGAGGTGGTGCGCGGGTGGAATGATCGATAACTAAGCCGGACTTAATAAATCTTTGGCCTTCTCGGACGTTGCGAGCCACGGAGCCCTTGTTTCCTCACAGACTTTCCGGTCCGCGACTTGCGGGTCTCCGACCGTGCTGCCCATGTAAGGCGTGGGCCCGCTACGAGTGATTCTCGGTCCTGGAACTCAAGATAGGGACGAGGTGAACCTGGTTTTGGAGAGCAGGACCGAGCGCCGTAGGGCCAGGTGCACGTTTAAGGCATTCTATTTTGAGCGGTAGTGATTGTGTTGGGCTCTGTTGCCACGAAGGTCAGCTACGTGGTCAAGCGATAAAGAAACTGTCAGGAGATACTGATTATTGTTGCAACGGTATCACACTACAAAGTGACCTCCCACGTCAAGTTCCACCAAAAGCCAATCTGTCCAGTGCTAATACTCTGGTGTAGAATCATAATGCCCGCTCCATTGCTTTGTCCGCCCGCTTTGTTGCTTGTCCGTTTCAGAGCCATATTAAATATTCATTAGTCGTTAATTCTCGTGTACCACATGTGCTTGTGGCACTAGACCTTCGTGGGCGTGGCCTGAAACCGGTCAAGTAAGGTTCCTCGTGTGGACATCGAAGATGTCATTCCTCCAACCACCCTGCTCGTAGTCCTCAATGCGCTCTGCAGCTTGCGCAGCCTCCTCGTTCCACAGCTTGACGACGCTACCAGGCGCGTAGACACCCTTGAAGACGCCCTTGCCAGGTTGTACGAGACCGACGCGGGTGTACAAGTCTGGATCCTCTTCTGGAGTCAGGCGTGCGATGATGGCCTTGACAAAGGTGCGTAGATCATCTGGATCAGAAATCCGGGTGGCGCGCAGACGCTCACGAGCATAGAGTAACTCTCGGTTTGCAGCATGCAAGCCATCGGCGATGGCGGTGGCAAGTTGCTTTTCCATGACTTTGCGGACGATGGGGCGCAGCAGTGGCTTGAAGAGCCAGCCTAGAAAACTGAATTTGGACTTGCTGGTCGTATAGTTGAGCTTGTGGACGTGCACGCGAACATCCTTCAGGCTGAGGATCTTCTCGAGTCTGTCCTTGCCAACTTCAACGTCAAGGTGAATGTCGATGCCCTTTTCATCAAGTTGGAATGACGCAATGCCTTCATCCGCAAGGCGGAGAAGGCCAGAATGCGCACGCAGCCAGAATCCAACCTCATCGGCACGGAATGAGAGTCCATCCAGCTTGATAGTAACTAGCGAGTTGACCTTGGTGGTCGTGCGGAAGCGGGCCTTCCTGATCTCAAGATCATTGTAGGTCTCGACTCGAAGCTTGTATGGCAGGAAAGAAGTGTGATTGACGGTTTTTCCAGGCTCAATGATGAGATTCTCGAGCAAAAGATCGATGTCGGGCGTAGAGACCTCGAGCCTCGGAATAGGAACATATTGTATGGCTTGTATCAGCACAGGCACAAAGACGTTGATCGCATCAGTAACCAACTCGCCATTGGTATACTGGTATTTTGGCGAGAGTATGTTGGCAATCCTGAAAGTTGTCCTGATAAGCTTTGCAATATCCTCATCTTTCGTCACAGCTTGAAGAGTAGTTTGAACCTGACTGAGCAGTCCGTCGACATCCTCCCGAAGCGAGGAGTCAGAGCCAACTCCGCGTGCCTTCTTGCGAAGCTCCTGGAACTTCTCGTCGGCATGGTCGAAAAATTCTGGGTCAGTAAGCAGCTTTTGAGTTGAATTGCCAACGTCTGTCATCAGATCTTCGAATTCAGGGTCATTCTCTTTGTGGGCCATAACGCGCTTGAACCTGTCTTCCAGCTCTTCCCACTCTTTGTGCTCACCAAACGAGGTAATGAACGTCCAGAAGTTCTTCATTGCTCTGTCAGTTTCTTGGTTTTCGTTGACATCACTTTGAGCAGTATCGAGAGTCTCTTGCACAGCGCGTGAGTATATCATGGCATAGCGCTTGATCAGGTGGGAGAGAGTCGAGACTGAATCAGAGTAGTCGTTGCGTTTTCTCAGCTTCAGAACAGCTTGTTTCAAGCGGGCGAGCATGGTATCCCTTTCATCACCGCTGAGATGATCTGCCAGGCTGTGCTGGGCTTCTTTGGCAACCTGGGCTGCTCCATTGCCGACAACCTTTGACATTTGCGTGACATCGTTCTCCAGGTCATCCCTGCTTGGCGGGGGCCCGGCATCCGCACCGGGCTCGTTTAGCTTCTTCTGTTCTTCCTGGGATGGCTCGAGCCTTCTGCCTGCCTCTTCAGCGACATTCGACAAGGTGAAAGCCGTATCCTTGAAGACTTCACGGCCAACAATGTTCAGGTCGGAGAGGAACAAGCGGAAGTCAGAGTTTGTGAGCAGAAGCGAGCCGACAGTCTGGAGGCTCTGGTATGCTATCACGTGCGTTAGTGGGAAGCAATGTTGCCCGTTTCGGATGTGCTTACCAGCTGCAGTGTCGGCCTTGCTCTTGGCCTTGACGGCCCTCTGGGAGATGTCGCCAACATCGACCGAGATGCGCGACTTTGTAAGGAACCAGATGAAGTCCTGGATCTGGTCCTCGCTGTTTTTGTGCTGCAAGAGCTCGATGAACTCGGTGAGCCACTGCTTAGTGTACCTGACCAGCAAGCGTCCGGAATCACTCAGTTCGGGTTCACTGGGATTGAGGAGGTCTGCAGCCAGCAGGGTGCGGATGTTGATGATTAGCTGCTCATTGGACGGCATGGAGCCCTTGGTGAGAGCTCTGAGCATTTGGTAGGAGTGCAGCTTCTGATGCAGCTCCCGCTGCAGGACCGTGTCATCGCGGTACTGGGGCAGCAGCGGCTCGCGGTCCTCAGCGCGGGACTTGCGAAAGCCGAAGCAGGAAGACATGATGGCGGGTGTGTGTGTGTGGTGTGGTGTTCAGGACTCACTCATGGCTGGCGGTGTTGTTGGAACCGGGCAGCGAGTAGGCTTCCTTCCATCAAGATGTCGTCGTCGCAAGCTGGTTGCGTCGGGGTGACGTCTTCGGTTGGCCAAGACTGGCAAGAAGGCACAAGCTTCTGGCGAGTGGCGATCCGTCGAGATTTCTGGCATGGATTTTTGCGGGGAACCAGCGCTAGCGACAATCGAGGCTCGAGAGTGTGGCTGGTACAACACAGACACCCGCTATCGGCCTCTGCGCCTGCTGCGGAAATCAGGCTTGTTTCAGGCCGACTGTCAGTGTTATCTTTACTGGGGCCCATGGCGTGAAGGTCACAGTACATCTGGTGGCGGTGATGCGACTACGGAACAGAGCTAGAAGGCGCTCCGAATAATGCGATCTGCCTGTTCTACCCCCCTGCTGGAGATTCGCGAGGCACAAGTGTTGTGTTGTGCGTCTCTTTCGGCCGTGCCCCCCTTTGCCGTCGTTCTAATTGCGACGCTTCCCGAGTCCATGTTCCGAAACCTCCTGTTCTCGCCGGGTCGTCTTTGGACTTTTCGCCTCTCTTCCGTGACTCAGCTTACGCCATCCTCCAGCGCCCGGCTAAAGATTTTTCAGCGCGGCCCAACTGTGGCAGTACATCGCACTATGCCGTGGGCCGCGGCCGGTAGCTGGGCTCTTCTCGACAAACGGCGAGTGGAGCGTGGAGGCTGCGGAGCGCGAAATCTCGGGCGGAAACGGAAGGCTAGTCTGGAACAGGCATCCATCTGAAGCTGTCCGTCACTTTGTCGCACTGGCAGAACCAGGGAGCATTCCGCGCACGCGACAGAGAAAGGTGGGCGACCGCCGGCGCTGATGAGACGCCCGCCGTCAGTACCCAACAAATCCTCAGCGCTGATTCGTACCTTGCGAGAAAAACCGTCTGCTCTGTCCGCGGTCCGGCTCCCCTCAGCGCGCTCTGAGCTTTCTGCGTCGCCATCTGTGGCTTACCCTCTTGGGCACTGCTTCCGCTCTTTTTCGTCACCTCGGGGCTCCTGTTGACCCTCTCTCTCCGGCAATTGCGTGACAGTCGGCTTCTACTCTCTCAATGCTGAAATCAATTCTTAAGCGGCCCTCCTCCCCCCTCTCGAGGATGTCCACCAAACTCTCTTTCCCCAATTCTACTCCCAAAATGTCCGTTGAACAAACCTTGGCCCACGCCAACGTCGCCAGACAACCTGCGCCCTCCATGGCTTCCAGGCACATTACCACCTCGTGCGCATTGACTGTCCCCTCTCACTTCCTTCCTCTCAATGCTAACCAACCCACAGCAGCGGCGACTACGACACGTCGAATTCGCCAGAGGTCCGTCGCTACCTTCGCACCTACGGCCTGACTCCTCCGGCTGTGGAGTCCTACAAGACCCAAGCGCAAAGATGTGAGATGCTCGCGCAATGACCTGCGCAGCCCTATGTACTGACTCGCGTCCCTCGCTCAGGCCTCAAGCTTCTGGAATCCAAGTCCTCGTCAATTGACAAGTTCCAATACCTTACCCACCTCCGCGCCACCAACGTGCATCTTTTCTACCGCCTTCTTGCCGACCACATCAAGGTAAGCAATTACCAGACCCAAAGCATGCGCAAAGCTCACACTGCTCTAGGACCTCACTCCTTTGATCTACACTCCCACCGTCGGCGAAGCCTGCCTCAAATGGCACGAAATCTACACGCAGCCCGAGGGCATGTACCTCTCCTACGCGGACCGCGGCAACCTGCACACCATCCTCGCCAACTGGCCCCACCACGTCGAGATCACCGTCGTTACGGACGGATCCAGGATATTGGGTCTTGGTGACCTTGGAGTCAACGGCATGGGTATCCCGGTCGGCAAGCTGGCGCTTTACACTGCTTGCGCCGGTATCAGCCCCGACGCCACTCTGCCATTGACCGTTGATCTGGGCACTGGCAACAAGGCCCTCAGGGACGACCCGCTGTACATGGGCAGCAGGAGGGAGAAGGTTACTCCCGAGGAGGAGAAGGAGTTCCTTGACGAGCTCATGGCCGCGTTGACCGAGAGGTGGCCCGGTATCGTCATCCAGTTCGAGGACTGGAAGAACCCCTTCCCTGCGCTTGAGCGCTACAGGGATACCTACACCTGCTTCAACGACGATATCCAGGGCACTGGTGCTGTCATTCTTGCCGGCTTTATCAACGCCGTCAAGTCTGCTGGTATTCCTCTGAAGGACCACCGCGCCGTCTTCCTTGGTGCGGGTAGCGCTGGTGTTGGTGTCGCCAAGCAGATCGTCGAGTACTTCATCAAGGAAGGTCTGACTGAGGATGAGGCCCGGAGAAAGTTCTGGTTCATCGACTCTCGCGGTCTCGTTACCAACGACCGTGGCGACAAGCTTGCGGACCACAAGGTCTACTTCTCCCGCGATGACAACGAGGGCAAGCAGATCAAGTCCCTCGACGAGCTCATCGAGTACGTCAAGCCGACCATCCTCATGGGTCTCTCCACCATTGGCGGTGCCTTCAACAAGGACATCCTCCAGCGCATGGCCGAGCTCAACAAGTACCCTATCATCTTCCCCCTCTCCAACCCTTCGTCCAAGTCCGAGTGCACTTTCGAAGAGGCCATCAAGTACACCGAGGGCCGTGCCCTTTTCGCCAGCGGCAGTCCTTTCCCCAGCGTCGAGTTCAATGGCAAGACCCTCTCGCCAGGCCAAGGTATGTCGATCCACTTGCACAAAAAATGTCGTGACGCATTTGCTGACTCATCCATCTCAGGCAACAACATGTATGTCTTCCCCGGTATCGGCCTTGGTGCTATCTTGTCCAAGTCTGTCAACGTCACTCAAGACATGATCTATGCCTCTGCTGTCGCTCTCTCCACCGCTCTCAACGCCGAGGAAACGGAGCAGGGCTGGCTCTACCCGGAAATCTGCCGCATCCGCGAGGTTTCCGTCACCGTCACCCGTGGCGTTATCCGCGCGGCCCAGGAAGGCGGCGTCGACCGCGAGCTCGCCCTCCGCAGCCTGGACGATGCTGCTCTCGACGCCTACATTCGCGAGAGGATGTACGACCCCTTCACTGAGGCCGACAAGACCGTCGAAGAGGTCAAGAGCCTCGTCAACGGCATCAAGAAGAGCCACTTGTAAATGTATTGAAAGGAGACGAGAGACTAGAAGATGTATAGACGGTGCCGGAACATCGGATACAAAAGAAGTTGCGAGACTTCAAAGAGCGCTTTGATTTAGAAGGATTGGGATACCCAGGTTGGAACAGAAAAAATCACACGAGCGCTCAGGGCGGCGTCGTTTTGGGGTTCTTTATTTAAGTTCCTGCTGCCCTTTCGGCCTGGGTGCTGTAGACTACTACCACTGGTGTTTTACGGAGTCAAATGGGAAAACAGAATGAATACTACATTATTCCACTATAAGCAAGCGACATATGCGACCGTGACCCATCTCTGCCTGATCGGCACTGCGACGGCTAGGCACAACGCACATCACCGAGGCTCCGCTGTCAGGCCCCAACAATCACATGGGGCCCGAGTTGAGTTTCAACAAAGCCCACGCGAGCATCGATCACATGCGCCGGGCAGCAACTCAACCGATCACGAAGGGCCAGACCGGGAACAGAGAGCCCCAGGAGAGAGAAAAAAAAAACACTCTAGGTTCGCGCCGAGGAGCGCTACCGCACGCACTCGACAGCCACAGACGTCCGGCGGCGCGGGCCTGGGCATGACGACAAGCCAAGCCTCCGCAGCAGCGCGGGGATGGGGAGTGCCGCGGACCGGGCGCTGGCTGGCGTCAGCGTCGTCGTCGGCAAAGCGACGTTTGTCCGTTCCGTTGGACGACGGAGAAGCTGCGGGGGAGGAGAAACGAGGAGGATGGAGAAGCTTACCCGTACATACGCAGGTCAGCACGGCGGGTACGGGTACGTTCGGGGGTAAAGGAGCAGCGCCTGCGCACGGGTGGTGGAGAAGAAGAAGAAGAAGGAGTTGGTACCTAACGGGAGGGACCGGGGGTTGAAGAAATATCCAGAGCTACTGCCGTACCCCACAACCCCTACGGCCCAGATGCAACGTCCGCCAGACTCTGGGGGAAACAGAATCCGATGCTAGTTAGCGGGAAGAAAACATTGGTATAATACCGTCACGTAACGGCCTTGCGAAAATGCGTGCAGTCATAAATCGGCCACGACTAAACTCGAAGGGGCCTCGTACGTAGGCGCACGTCGCCCCACACACAGCTGATGAGGCGCACCCCGGATTCTCGCACACGCGCGCGCGCCCACCCATCCCCCCTACCCAGTCTTCCCCGCACCGGAACGAGCCCGCCGTCCTATGTCATTGATCTTGTGCGCGCTTTGCACGCGCCGCGATTGGGCGGCGTGCGGGGAAGCTGGGAAGGCTTGTTTGACGGGGGCCGTAGCCTTGCTCGTCCGCCCGTCCTTTATGTACTTGTTGATTGCGTGGACGCAACGTCGTCCTCGAGCTCGTCGCTGCTTTTGCGCTTTTCCGGCTTGATCGCGACTGGGCTCGTATTTACCACCGCTTGTGTCGCTCGTCCCTTTGTCTCCTGTCACTGGCTTCGGCTGGACTAGACCTTGAGCCAGACGGCCTCGTTTGCCTGAGACAGCTGCCCCGCGAAGAAGAGTGTCCCAGAGTTTTTGCGTGCTTTGCAACTGCAACGTACCTTTTTCCACGACGACCATGTGCGAATCACGACCACATCTCCTGGGCCTGCCAGCCGAGGTCCGCAACATGATCTGGGAGTTTGTCTTCCCAGCGCTCCCTCTGCCTGCCGGAAGCAGGACGAGCTCTCTAGAGGAAAAGGGAGAGGGAGAAGAAAGAGAAGAATCAGCAACAGCAACATCACCATCAGCAGAAAGTAGTGTCGCTCTCCAGCAGTCCGCGTCGACCGACAACCGCACCGCATACGCCCAAGCCGAGAACAAGCGGAACCTCGCCGTCCTCCTTACCTGCCACCAGATCCACCACGAAGCGTCGCTCCTCGCCTTTGCCCGCACGACGTTTGAAATACAGCTGCAGCGGCACGGGCTGCTAGCTCACCGCCTGTCGGTGCTACGGCCGCCACAAGTGCGCGCGATGCGCTCGCTGGCCTTCACGGCGCCGCTGCGGCACCGCCTGACCAAGAGCGGCGGCGGGGTGGTGGCGTGGGAAGGCGACACGCGGCCGCTGCTGTTCCCCGTGTACGTGCAGTGCCGCAAGCTGCTGTGGGAGGCGCTGCGGCTGCTGCCGGGGGTGCGGAGCGTCGGGTTCGTCGTGGGCGAGGGAGGGGCGGTCGAGGCGGTCGGCGGCGCGAGGTTCTTCTTCGACACGGTCGTGGGCGTGGGCTTGGTGGAGAGGGGCAAGAGGGGAGAGCTGCACTCGTGGGGCGGTAGGTGGCAGGTGTTGGCGGGCGAGGCGGACAGGAGCGTGTGGCTGGTGGAGAGCGCGGACGAGGAAGGGTGCGAGAGGATGATGGGGCTAGAGTCTCGGGGGGTCAAGCGGCAGGTCAGGGTCGAGCTGGCTAGATTCTGATGGGCGAAGCAAATAATCGATTCGATGACGCACAGATGTCGGTGTATGTGGTGTGTGTGATGATGTTTTTGGGCTCCTTGGGACCTGTCGAACCCCCTGTCAACAGCCCACCCTCCCCCGCAAAAAAGATGGCCCCTGAAACTAGATGGAAACTGGAAGAGGTGGCCTCGGTGCCCGTGGGCCCGCCGTAGCTAGCGGCGTGTTCAACACGTGGACGGGGATCCAGCAAACAACACAACAACTTGCTCCCTGCGTACCGTGGAAAAAACAAGCCAGGCCTGATAGCGGGCGTGCGATCGTTCTAGAGTGTTGCTTTGTTGTGGGGGATCGGCCTGGATCGGCGGGCGGTTTGGCTGCGGGAATGTCAGCTGCCAGATCCGAGCAAGGGCCCTAAGAGTAGAGGCATCGTCTGAGCTAAGCCTGCTTGCCCGCAAGCCGGCTGGGGGGTAGTCATCCTCTACTGGCCCAAAGGCACGAGGGCCCCATCCATCATCACCTCCACCCGCTCCGATCCCTCACGTCCCCTCCTACCACCACCACTGCTGTCGCTCCCCCTATACACCCTCTTCACCGCCGTCCGTCCTCGTGTTCGCCCTTTACCCCTGGCTGCCGACACCCCGGTTTCTGTTGTTGTCGCAACCGAGCATTCCAGCGACATCCGCCTCCAACACACACAAAACATGGTAGGCTCCGAAGCCTCCAGCCACTCCCGCCGCCGGAGCACCTCGTTGATTGGAGGCACTGGTCTGGGTCGCTCGGGCTCCCTGAAATCGCAGCGTGGCCACCGCCGTGTCATGTCGGAGCACATCGCCGAGGCCGCCAACGAGGACAAGCGCCAGCCCGAAGCCAACGATTCCGACTCCTTCAGCGACGACGTCGAGATGGGCAAGTTGTACGAAGACGAGGGGCTCGAGGACGACGAGGAGACGGGCTTGACCAGCAACGACAGGCGGATACGGCGGAACAGGAAGAGGCGAAACACCAGACTAGACGAGAGGATCGTGGGCGACGTCGCCATATCAAAGGAGGAGGAGAAGGTGGCCTCGGCGGCGTTGGCAAAATCCATATGCGCCAACGGGGCTCTGGTAGGACTATGGTGAGTGCGACGTTTGTCCTGAAGGGCCGAATGACGTTGTTAACGCGCGCTCTTCAGGTATCTGTTCTCCATATCCATTTCAATTGTAGGTGTACATTCCCGTCTCGTCTCTCCGAGCTTCCCGCTGACAAATTTGGGCAGTACAACAAGTGGATGTTCGCAAAAAGCGACGACAAGAAAGTCAATCTCAACTTTCCCTTTCCCCTCTTCACCACGTGCCTGCACATGGTTGTGCAATTCTCGCTCGCCTCAGGCGTCCTGTTCTTCCTGCCACATCTTAGGCCACGACACGATTCGCAACCGTTTCATAATGAGCCCGGGCGGCCACCCCCTCGTCAAGATTCTGACCCGAACAAGCCGCTCATGACCAAGTGGTTCTATTTGTCGCGCATCGGGCCATGCGGTGCTGCCACCGGCCTCGATATTGGCCTAGGAAACATGAGCTTAAAGTTCATTTCTCTGACATTCTTCAGTAAGCGCAAAAGAGTCTCCAGAATCCCTTTTGATACAGTTCTGACATGACGCAGCAATGTGCAAGTCTTCAGTGCTTGGCTTTGTCCTGATTTTCGCATTCCTTTTCCGGCTTGAAAGGCCCTCGTGGAAGCTTGGCGGAATCATAGTGATGATGACGATAGGCGTCGTTATGATGGTCGCTGGCGAGACGGCGTTTAACGCGCTCGGCTTCATACTCATCATGGCCTCCGCTCTTTCCTCTGGATTCCGGTGGTCGTTGACCCAGATCCTTCTGCTCCGCAACCCCGCAACCTCGAACCCGTTCTCCTCCATCTTCTTCCTCGCGCCCGTCATGTTCGTGTCGCTCCTCGTTATCGCTATCCCCGTCGAGGGGTTCTCCGAGCTCTGGGAGGGCTTTGCCAAGCTCACCGAAGCCAAGGGCACTCTCCCCAGCATTCTGATCCTTATTTTCCCCGGTACTCTCGCCTTCCTGATGACGGCCTCTGAGTTTGCTCTGCTGAAGCGTACCTCGGTCGTCACGCTTTCCGTATGCGGTATTTTCAAGGAGATTGTGACAATCACTGCCGCAGCGCTTGTCTTTGATGATAGGCTCACGGCCATCAACTTGTCGGGCCTGCTTGTCACCATTGCAAGCATCGCTCTTTACAACTGGATCAAGTTCAAGAGAATGCGTGAGGAAGCACGCATGGAGGCGCACCTGCAGGCCGAGGACGCCTATCAGCCGGTGTTGAACACGGACGATGACGAGCAGCTCGCCATCAGGAGGCCGAGCACAAGCAACCTGATCCGCAATTCGCTGAGCATCCAGACGATTGGGCAAGAGGAGAGGCAGCGGCTAATGAGCGAGGTGCCACCTCGCGCGAGCCCGGTCAAGAGACCGGAAGATCTGGATTAAAGGAACAAATAGTATAGGCGGCCATTATTTTTAAACGAGGGCCGGCCTCTGCCTCACGGTTTTTTCTTATGGGCACTTATAAATTTTCGCAAGCGAAACTGATACCTGCGCGGGTGACATGGGGTGTGTCATCTGGGCGCTCTCTCTCTGGCTGCATGGCATCTTTGCCTGTTGATAGGATAGACGCGGCACTTTTTTTTTGTTGTGTGTGTGTCTTTTTTTTTTTTTTACATTATCAGTACACCTGGGCAAGTGATCTTGCGGCATTCTCGACTTGGTCTCTCTTCCTCTCTTTTGTTTGCGGGTGTGAGCATTTCTGGGCTGGAGTGGGATGTGGGATGGGAGGAAGGGGTGGGGGCTGGGTTGACAGATGCGCGCGCGGTCAAAGATGCACTATTGCTGCTGCGGTTGTTGCCACTGCTGTTTGCTGGTCACTTTTAAACAAGGATTGGCTTCGGTTGGAGAGATATCAGATTGGACTTGGGATGGGCGGCGGCGACGAGACGGGTCTGGCTGCTGCGAAGAAAGTGGGTAGGTAGATACTCCATCATAACGTATCCTTGCCACTGTATTCTTTTTGGGTTCCTTCCATTCATGCTTTTGTTAGTCACATGACTTGGTTGTGCGCTGGGTTGAAACCTCGTCGCGGAAAAGCTGGGCGCAATAGGCTTTGGAGATGCGCTGTTGAGTCGTGGTTTGGTCGTCAGGTATGCTGTATACTCGCTGGTTTTGGGGGAGTCTTGCTGACGGAATCAATGCTGCTGGCGTGGTCGCCCGTCAACGACACTGATGGCTCAAAGGTCTTTCGTGTCGTTTAATCTTATAGATAAGAAGCTGACTGGTATTATTAGAAACTTCGAATGTTGTATGCTGCCGAATGTCGTTGTCCCCTCTCAACTGTAGGGCGTATGCCATATAGTTGTGTTTGGTATTTCACTGACGTCAATCCGCTCTTTACCTATCCATACCACGGTTAAAACCACAAGTCTACCTTAACATAATCAAGGCCGAACTCTGAGTGTGATTGGACCTGCCTTTGCGCACGGCCCTGGGGTTTCCATTTAGGACGCATCCATTCTGGAACTCTTTCCTCCCGTTTTAACACGCCTTCTCTAGAATTCATTGCTCCGCTTTAGATTCCATCACTTCCATTATTCCCTGCATCACAGCAGACCGGAAGGTAAATCCGGTCACATCGTAATTGCTAATGAATAAATGTTACTATGGAATCCCTGGATATGGCTGCCGGTGTGGCGTTGTCGCTCGGCTTCAGGCCGAAGAGTCCTGTTATCTGGCCGGCATACAGGCCATGTCAACTGCGTATCAACAGTTGCCGTGTGAAGGGGCCGTCGGTGTCGAACAACCTTCGCGCCGCCATCGTGTACGCACCCTCGCGGGAGCGGTTTCGATCCCGCCTTCTCCACAACCCCGACTACCCCCAGCCTTTGCACAAATGCCTCTGTCCACTGAGCCCGACAACAGCAATGGGTCGTCGCAACGCTGCAACGACTGCGGCCCATCGCTCGCCTACAACTGCAAGCACCAACACCCACTGGGAATGCGCGACCCGCCTCGACGCTTCCGCGTCACCGTCGCCACCAGTGACCAGCTCGCGCAGTGGCTCGAGAAGAGCGAGAAGCTCGCTGCGCAGAGAAAAGTAATCGTCCAATACCACAAGCTGATCCGGAGGCGCAAGGAGCCTGAGACCGCCGACCTCTGGCCCTTCGGCATCCACCTCGAGGAGAAATCCGTCCCGGAGCTCAGTATCGTCGATGGCGGCGTCGGCGGCCTGCTGGCCCAACTCAACCTGCTGCACGCGGAGGATTCCGAGCCCTGGCTAGACGGACGCTTGCATCCGCTGTCGACGCCCTCGCTGGAGCAGATGGGCCGCGCGTGGGCCGACGCAGAGTACGACATCGTGGCGACCCTGGTCAAGAGGGTGCTGGTGGCCTTGGTGCCGAGACTGTGGCATGACAATACAGCGCGGCAGTTGAAGTCGTTGCTCAAGACGTTATTCGATGATAAGTGAGTACCCCCGTCGACGCATAGCATAACGGTTGCGAGTTTCCTCGCATTGTACCATGGACTCTGGATGAAGATGAGCCTGGACTGACTCCCGTGCAGAGGGAAGCGCCGCCTGCAGCAAAAGCCGTTCACACACCGCACCAGAGGCCGCTTCAACTTGCTCTCCTGGGACGACAACCACCTGCCCGCGGGCGCCGTATACGACGGCATAGTGAACAAGACATGGTCCTTCTGCACCGCCGTGCGCGAGCTCGTCACCATCCTCGTGCGGCAGCACAGACAACTGCCCAATCTAGGCGTCTACAAGGTGAGTCAGCCATGCAAACACGCACCCCCCACGCCAAAGTAGGTACCTACTAACGCCCCCAACCTAGGCCTTCATCGTCATCAACAAGGCTGAAAACAGCTACCGCGTCTTCTCCGCCACCGCGTCCCGCGCCTGGCTCATGGCGCTCCTCGGCACCGCCCCGGCCACCACTACTGGCTCCCCGCACATACTGCCCCTCGGTCTCAAGCTCCAGCTCACGCGCTTCTCGTCCTGGGCAGCCAAGTCGCAGCTGCTGCCGGCCTCGCAGCTAACCAATGGCTTGCTGGTCCTGTTGGCCCAGCTCCTGCACCCGTATACAGAGCAAGTGGAGCGGGGGGCGCGCGAGCGGCAGATGCGCTTGCTGAGGAGGCAGCCGGTGGGTGAGCGTGTGCGTGCTGCTGGAGGAGGCAAAGACGGATATGGTGGTGGTGCTGCTGATGATGGGGGAGTGGACCAGGCTCCTGCCAGTGGTGGAACTGACGAAGATGATGGTACTGGCGGGGATGATGACTGGGATGTCGATGTTGATATTGACATGGAAGCTATTGGCGAGGAGGACCCGGACGAGGACATTACCAGCGGCGCCTACGACTCTGACGATTTCGAGGAGGACGACACGGACGAAGACGTCGGCATGGACGACGAGGCCACCAGCAAGCAAACCACCTACGTCCCGCACAGCAACAAACACAAACACACGCACTACTGCCCCCTCAACAGCACCCTCTACAACTGCCCCCGCCACCACCCCCACCGGCACTCCATCCCCGCGCTCGCGTTCGCGGCCACGGCCGCGGCCAACGCCGCAGCGCCCGACCTACCCTCTCTTGGTGACGATGGCGCTGAGTTCGAGTGCGCGCTGCGCAGGGCGTGTTGGCTGGGGCTGAGGGGCGTCGTGAGGGGTGTTGAGGCGGAGGAGGAGGAGGAGGAGGAGGAGGAGGAGGAGGAGAAGGCAGCGGTGTCGCGTAAGCGCAAGCGCGGTGATGGTGATGGGAGGGATGAGGATGGGGAAAGCGATAGGGGGGGCTCGCGGCTGTGTGTATAGAGTAAGCAGATGATGGTCTGGTCTGGTATGGACTGGACTGGACGGGATAGTGGACTGGGTAGGTAGGTAGGTAGGCAGGGAATTGCGCTGCGTTTTTGGGAAGTGATGGGTGCTGTTTGCGTGCGTGCGTGTTTTGCGGGCGTGCTTTGCGAGGAGGAGGGGGGTTGTGGATGGGATGAGGTGGTGATTAAGTGGTTTGGCTTGGGTGCGTTGTACTGCACTGGTGAAATTACCGCGTGATCTGTGTTTTGTGCTTTATGCTGGCCTGGGCTGCGTGCTGTCATATGGCGTAGTATAGAGCGCGTGTACCTAAGTTGGGCTGGATGGATGGGTGGATAGGTACGTTTACGTACTATAGTGTGTGTATGTATATATTCTTAGGCAAGGGCACAAGGAAGCGGAAACTCGATGTTTATTCACGCGTGCGTCGCTTTAAGCTACTACCTAGGTAGTTCTGCTAGAGTTTTGGTCAAGGGGTAGTTATTATATAATGACTACTAAGTAGGAGTTCCCGCTCTCCTCTTACTCTTTATTCTGTCTTTATTCTTTAACGCTCGCTGCTTAGGCTGTTGATGTTGTAGTAGGTTGGGTGAGAGATAATGCAACGGAATGCTATTATCCTATCTATAACCAGGTAAGTATAACTAACTAAGCAATTCCTCTCCCCCCTTACGCCTCCCCTCCTATAGTCCTAGCTCTATAAACCACCACACCCCAGCACCAGCACTCACCACACGGCCAACCAACGCCATTACAAAAGACCACAACAGCAGCCTGAGAAGCAGACAAGGCCATGCCATCGCCTATAAGCAGGGATGCCCATCCAAACAGGCAAGCAAGCAAGCAAGCAAGCAAAGCCAACGCCCTCCCACGCCCTCGACAACCACTACCATGCCCACACCGCACGCACGCACGCACAAAGCAGTCAGACAAGCAAGCACCGCACCACACCACAGCACACCACGCACAACACCAAGCCAACCAGCAGCAGCACCAGCAGCAGCACGCACGCATGCGCATGCACTCATCCGCTTCACTCACCCATGCTTGCATGCACGCACGCACGCACGCACGCACGCACGCATGCACGCAACGTAAGCCCAACCTCCTCTCTCGCCCCTAGTCCGCCCCTCTTTCGCGTCAATGCCTGAACACGCCGGGAGGTACGGCGACGCACAGCATGGCAGAGCTGCGTGCGTACGCGTTGCTTGTTGCACTATGCCTGGCGCTGCGCTACGCCTTGCCACGCCTTGCCACGCGTTGCTGCACGTACGCGGCACTGCCTTGTTGCAGCGATAGACAGGCAGCCAGTGCGGTTGCGAACTAGGCGTGGAGGCGCGGCTGTGTTGGTCGGTGCTGCTGCAGTGATTGATGCTGGTTGCATGGCGAGACGACTGTAGGTGGTGGTAGTAGCGCAGCGACGGCGCGGAACTGGCTGTTGCCGTCTGGATTGGATGCCTTGTCTTGGTTTCCTCGATTGTGGCGTCGTGGTGGGTTAGGGGATGGGCTTGTTTTGTTCTGCCCTGTTCTGCTATGTTTTGTCTGGCTCTGACTTGGACTTGGTTTTGTGAGAGGATTGTGCTGAGGTTGGGGGAGAGAGGGGGGCGAGATGGAGAGAGAGAAAGAGAGGGAGAGGGTTTGGTGAGCTGGGAAGAAGATGCAGAAGGAAGGGAAGGGGAGAGGACACATATACGTGCAAGGGTTAGATGTCCACGTACATACACACACATAGCACGCCCAACCATCACCACGAAACCATCAACCAGTATAGCGCTCGGTACAGTAGATAGTATAATACACAACGGCGCTCACGGCCCGCCCACAAAAGCGCCCGCGCCCTTCTCAATCAAAAGGCCATGCATACGCTTAATCTCGGGCACGATCAAACTCTCAATCTCGACCGTTGGATCAGGAAGCATAGAACCCTCATCGCCCTCGGCGTCTTGCAAGGCGTCAACAGGCTCGCCCTCCTCCGCACCCGCACCCGCACCCGCACCCGCACCCGCCGCCGCCGCCCGCCCCACCAACTCCTGGATGCCCGACGAGCTGCGCGTGCGCCGGTTCCGCGGCACCCGGATCCACTTCTCGCCGTCGAGGCGGCTCACAAACACGACCTCCCACTTGCGCGTCGCCAGCAGGTTGCCAATCACCAGGTGGTGGTGGTAGCGCTTGAGCGCGTACTCGGCCTTGCCGACCAGCATCGCGGGGTCCGTCTCCAGCTTGAAGCTCACGATCATGGCGTCTGGCGCCCAGCCGTCGACCAGGCTCTTCAGGAACTTGGGCACGGGCTCGAGGTCGATGATCAGGGAGCGACCCTCTGTGCGCGCGGCGGGCGGCTTCGCCTTCGCGTCCGCTGCGGCGTTGTTCTTCTGGCTGAACTCCTCTACGGATTGGATCTTGTGCTCCACCATGCGGTCCTTGGGCACGAAGAAATCCGACACGGCTGCCGCAAGGTAGAATAGGGCGCGCGGGCCCAGCGGCTTCATCAGCTGCGCCACCTCGCGCAGCTCCCACAGGTAGTCCGTGATCGTCACAAACGACAGGATGAGCAGCGAGTTCTGCCGCTTGACTTCGGCGTACTCGCGCAGCACCTTGACCATCTTGGCCTGGTGCGGCGAGTCCACCACCACCCGCCCCGTCCCGTCCTCGCTCATAAAGTCCAGGAACGAGCGCGTGTTGTGCGAGTAGTGCCGGCTGTACGGCAGCAGCGAAAACTGCCGGTGCAGGTAAATGACGGCATATCCGTTGGCCAAAAAGTACTCGGCGCTCGTTGCGCCCCGCGTCCCCGCCGAGAAGTTGTCGATGAAGCGCACCGTCTGCTCCTCCAGCGGCACCGTCGTGCCGCCCGACGTCACGAGCGCTACCCGTCGGCCCTCTTCGGCATGCCGTTGAATAAAGGCGCGCGCAAGCGTGATGTGCGCCTGCAACGACGCGGGCGGCGGGTTGACGGTGAAGTAGAGGTTTTCCGGACTGGGACTATCCGACGCCATGGCCAAGGTTGTGTGCTAGTTCTAGTTCGAGGTAAAGTCGAGGGTGCGGTGAGGTTGAGGCCGCGTGGTGCCGAAGAAACCCCACCTCGTATCACCCACGGCCTGAGTCATGCATGCATATCGCCACGTGATCCTTGGGTCGCGACCACACGCCAACGGATGCCCGCGCTTTCACTTGTCGGTGGCGGAAATTTTGGGAAGTACGTCGTCATAGAGCTATAACTATGCTGGCTACTCCCGGAACGTAACGGCGTGCGAGTTGCAACGGCGGAGTGGGCTCCGACTGCAGCCCGTTCGTGATTGGCTGCATTTCCAAGCATACAGGAAAGGAAGAATCGAGACGAAGAGGAAAAAGTATAGAAGAAGAGAAGAAGCTATAGATAAATAGAAGGTAAAAGAATAGAAGGCCTCAGGTAATAATTTGCGGGTTTGAAGGTGAAGAGGGGAGGTGATGTTGAATGATGAGGCAGTGAGTCCTTGTCCACGCAGGGGGATGAGCTGGTGCGGGAATGGGGAAAAAAATAAAGGAGGTCAAATGCCGGCCTTGAAGATGAAAATAAAAAAAAAAAAAAAAAAGTGTATGAAGATGAAGACAAACCAAAAGACCAAAAAATGGTAAGTAAGCGTGCAGGCACAAGAACGAACAAGAAGGATGAAGAAACAGTCAACACCAATGACAGCAACAGCAACAGCAACAGCAACGACGCCGAAAAGCTCCGTCCTTCTGTCTCCGTCTCTCTTCTCCGGAGTCGGTCAAGACTCTAGCGCCAGGCAAATGCACGTCTTGTCCAGAACCTGCATGCGATCTTTAGGCAAACAAAGTCAGGCCCGCCAAAGGGGTGACGAAAACAAAGAGGGGAAAAAAGCAAAAGCAACGTGGAAAAAGATGAGGCGAAACCGGAATGGCGGCAGCAACAACAACGACGAAAACAAGAATTGAAGACGCAAAGCGCAGCGGCCCAAAAGCGAAACACGCATCTGCAAGCAGGCGAGAAGAGACGGGCACGCGCAATTGCCAAAAAAAGAACATGAAGGAACTTAGAAGAAAGACGAAGGGAGGGGGGCCGCGCAAGCCCTGTCTCGCATCGTCTTCCGCGCTCCCCTCGGCCTCTCCCGCCTGGGGATCCGGGGCAGCAAGCGAACAGACGCAAGCAACACCCCGCCAAGCCACCCCAGTCCCAAGCCTCCGAAACGCAAATGCTCCTTCGACGTAATCGGCGGACCCGGCCCATCGGTGCCCCCGCCTTCTACGCTTGCCATTGGTCGCCCTCGCAACGCATCGACGGATAGGGCAACGGGGTACGGTAGGCTGGACAACTACGGACCTGGGCCGTCATCTTTGACCGGTCAGACGATCTATTTTGGCCATAGAGAGAGAGGAGATGGGGATAGCCTGGTAAGCGGGTGACCCGAGCGACGCGTGGCCGCCGTGAGACGGACGCTGATGAGAGAAGCGCGATGTGGCAGGGGGCCAAGCAAGCCGGCGACGACCTAAGAAACACGCGCCGGGAAAAAAGGACGGCGACGAAAGGAAGAAAGGAAAAAGCTGCCAAAAGACCCGGCGGAGCGAAAGAAAAAGGGATGAGATCTTTCTTTGGGAAGGGGACCAAAGCGAGAATCGAAAGTCGAAAGCGGACAATAGCAAAAGACGACGTGTGTCTGATATCGCCGCGGCTGACCGGAGTCCGGGGATAACGTGGAGAAATGGCAACGTGCAGAACAGCTGCGGGAAATGGCAGGACGGAACTGGGCGAAACAAGAATGCAAAGGCCGGTGGTGCAAGCAGGCGCCAGCGGACGGGAAGTGAAAGGATAGAAGAGCAGAACGAGGCGGCGCCTACGCCCGACAGTGCGGGCGACATGCGACGGCAGTTCAGTGCCGGGGGGAAATTTGTCGAGGAGTCTCGGACGAGGGCGCTTGATTCTGCTCGTCCTGCAGCGTGGGTTGCGCATGCGAAACAGCCAACTGCAGTGTGATGAAGCAGTTCGCTGCGGGTCTTGGCGCCTTCCGCAACGCCAATCTCGCTTGGGGGCCCTGCTGCCTTCGCAATGCAATCTCCCCTCCCCTTCCCCGCCGACACCGAAGGGGCGCGCGCTCCCCCAAAAGTCCGAACGAGGGCCAGACCAGACCCCAGCACTGCGCGTGTGAGCGCGAGCTCGCCGAATCGCCCAACGTCAGCGATCCGCGACGGAAAAGCCCCGACATCCCGGACACGCATCTTGGCGCCGCATCTCTCTCTTGCTCCTCTCTCATGCCCGGCTACCAGCCCTGGTCGATTCCCATTTCGGCGGCGTGCTGGGTACTCTTTCACGCTGCCCTTTGTCTGCTGCTGCTGCCCCTCCTGCTCTTCCGTCGCGGTCCTCGCCCTCGTCGTGTCGTCGCTGCTGCTGCTGCTGCTGTTGTTGTTGTTGTTGCTGCTGAGGTTCGTGGCTTGAATACCGCTCGGCGGCGTATCCGGTCAACTCGGCGCCGGTGTGCGTGCCGGCTCGGCTGCGGCCCGCCTGCTGTGGCTGCTCGCCGTGGGCACCCCGCGTCGATTGATCGCTGCGCGTCCGTGCGTGACCGCGACGGCCCGGCGTCGAGGTCGACGAGCCCGAGACGTGAGAGAAGGACGGCGACGTGTATTGCGGTGCCGACGTCGGCGCCGGCGCCGCCTGGTGCGCACCCTGGGCCTTCCGCTTCTTGGGCGAGCTCGTGTAGTCTAGATCCGGTTCGTAAGCTGTCAGACAGTCTGGACGCTTATCTATGGCTTTTACCTGACGGTGTCGCCGGGGGGTTGTTACTCGAACCAGATTGCGTAGTGGGCGGCACCCAATGATGGAAGTAGATTGACGGGGATGACGTCTGTGACTCCTGTGATTGCTGAATCGTGCTCAGGTTGGCCGGAGCCGATGGAGGCGGATTTATTTGCATTTCGTTGGTCGTGAGGCGTGGCAGCTGCGAGGTATGCGGAGGCCTGGGTGCGGCTGGGTAGCCTTGCGCCGTCCGCGATCGACTCGAGGGAGACATGCTTGCTGCTCCGTAAGCCGACGAGCCAAATGCGCCGGCAGCTTGCTGCGCTTGTCCTGGCAGCACTTGTGCGGCGGGCATGACCTGCTGCCCAGCCGGGGCCGCAGCGCCGTAGACATTGGACTGCGGCGGATTGATCAGACGCGTCTCCCTCTGCAGCGACGGCGAGACTTGCGCCTGTGCGAGGGCCTGCTGCTGAGCTTGCAGCTGAGACGCGTACTGCTGTAACCAGTCCAGGCCGATGGAGACCGGGCCTCCCCCGCCAATGCCGGTGAAGATGGTAGGGACGAGGTGCGGAGGAATGCCGCCCTGCATGGATTCGCGGAGCATCGACTGCTCAATCTTGCGCTGTTCCAGGCGCAGCGTTTCCTGACGCGTCTTCTCCTCCTCCTGCTTGCGCTTGTCCTCCTCGGTCTTTGCAGCGAGCCAGTTACGCATCGACTCTTCAGCGCCTTGCCACTGCGGCGGTGGGGCGGGAATCTGGCCCAGCGACGACGGAGGCATTTGTGGCGGGGGCGGAGGTGGCGGCGGGGGTGGCTGGGCGGTCCGGCTGGGGTCGGGGAGCGTCATGGCCGCCGGCGGCGGGAGGCCTCGATGAGGAGTGCTCATGGCGGCGCTTGGAGCACTGGCCGGCAGTGAGGAAGGCGGACCACTGGTCACCTGGGGCGGGGAGTATCTTGCAGTGGAATGGTGCAGAGACGAAGTGTAATCATGGGGATGCTTGAAATTAAACTCCGATCTAGTCGGGGCGGATAGGGTGAGCAACATGGAGGGAGTCGGGAGAGCAGATCAGATCAGGCCAACGACGGACATGGGAGACGAGTAGGAAAGAGTCAAAGAGGAAAAAAGAAAAAGACCCCGGGTAGGCGTGGGAAAGGCGATGGGGAGCTTTACCTTAAGAAGGCGAGAGCTTGAGCGAGCAGTGTTGCAGGAGAGCCCCAAGCGTGCCGATTGACATGGCAGAAATGCTTGCAAGGTACCGGAAGGGTGGGAAATAGGGCTAACGGGGGCGGAGCGAGGCAGGCTGCAACGGCGATCCAGCCCAGTCGGCTCGCGTGAGAGCGACGATCACTGGGAGGGACGTCGCGATGGGAGGCAAAGTGGTAAATGGGCGCGGGATTGCAGGCGCATGGATCGGCATGAGGCAGCGAGGCCTCTTCTGGCGATGGTGGCGTTGAGGGACGACAGAAAGACGTGCATCCGAAGCTAGCGCCCGATGGGTGCGGCCGAGTCGCGAGGGCTGCGACAGGCTTAGAATTAAAGGTGCTTACGATGAAGGGGCGCGTCTACTCGAAACGCGGCGTCGTCAGGGCTGAAGGGCGATGGCGCGATCGGCAATCGATAAGTTTTTGGATCGCCGGGGAGCTGGGAGGGACAACATGGAAGGTACATGGTGGTTGGTGGTGATAGGCAGTGGTGGTTGTTGCATTATTGTTGTTGTGGTGGTCATGGTAAATAGGTGGTGATCGAATGAGGAAGCGGCGGCCAGCCAGGCACCAGGGTACCTTCCTCCATACTACCACGCACTCTCCCCTCGGGCCCCGCTGAAACATTAAGCTCCAGCGCACCTTCCACTCGGCCTGAGCCGCAGCCTCTTCCGGCAGGAGGAGAAAGCGCACATGCCTAGCACCACAAGTCAATTACCATTTCCCAACCATCCCCCCTCCGAGATGACGGACGCTGCGAGATGAACCGCGAGCAAAAAGTAAAAAAGCCCCGCCCCGACCCCATACCGGTCCCCATCATCCCTCATCGCTTGCCCATGTCGTCTGCGCGCTCCACCCGGCGCTCACTGCCCCTCACCCTTCTTCGAATGAAAGCTTCTCGAACTCGCATCAGAAATGCTCCGTCAAACACGCGCGCGCGCCGATCGTGACGCGATAACCGCAAAGGCAACGCCCGTAGCAGCCCTGCCAGGCAAACGGTGCAACTCGAGCCTGACGCACCCCGGCCTTCCGCCTTTTCGCCTCCACAAATGGCGACGCAGGTCTGGACGGGCCCACTCGACGCGCGCCGCCAGACCGACTCGAGTCACTCGACACGCCCGAGTGCCAGGGTGCCGGTGGTGGGGGCCACTGCCCCGGCACGCGATACCGTTGCAAGAAAGCCACATCTCGTCAGATCTGCACCCTGGCTCGCGCCTGGTCGTTTTGGGCCTTTGTCCGCGCCCCACCGCCCAATCGCGTCGGCGCGCCCCGTACGCATCTCCGTGGCCAGCTTGCTTTTTGAATGCTTCTTCATCAAGATCTCTGACCTGTCGTCGACGAGATGGCGTAACGAGTGGTCTGATGATCTACACGTCCGCACCGTTTTCCTGAAATCTACCGAGCCCTGCCGCTGCGGCAAGCGAACGGCCCAACCCTCGCTCCGTGTCGTCGTCGACTTGCCTTTTCACCCAACCTGACCGCGTCGCTTGCTACCTGCCTGCTACCAGAAAAGGCCTGCTGGCGTCTGCGGTCCCGAGCCCCGCGCCCGTTGGGTATTATTAGACTTGGTCGGGTTAGTGTCAGCGAGTCCTGACCGCCAGGCGGCTCCCGATGCGGTCTACGTCCGTAACCACCGACGTCCGCCGTTGGAAAGCTTGCCCTGTCTCCCGGCGCGAGCCAACCAGCACTCCAATCCGCTCGGCTAAGAGACGAACGTGCTAAAATGGACGAAGCATCTTCACCAAGCAGCAGCATCCAAAGAAACACGTCACGAGCCTGCAACTTGCGAAAAAGACGGTGAGCCGCGTTACGCACGAGTGCAAAGTGCTTCGGGGGAACACGTACCTGCCTACGAGTACGAAGTTTGGGCAAGATCCATCTCGCTTCAATTTATTCACTCATCACTGATCACCGTCGCCGTTGCTCATCAACGAAGGAGCATGCACGGTGCTGCAACTTCTTCTCGAACGCAGATCGCTGCCAGGATTTCCAATCACAACGGATCATTCGAGATTCACGTAGATGGAGCACGACACTGGCTTCACCTGCTCGCGGCACTTGCCCGTGCTGATCTAGGAAATACTCAACCCTCCCCTGTCCTCGCCTGGCCATACTTGCGCTACTACCGCCTAATCCCGTCCATTCGTTACGCTTTCTGGAGCCTCGGCATGCGGCCAAGTACCCCGTGTAAACGTGCTCTTTTTCAGTTTCCCCACCGCCGTCTTGCCCATCCTCCGCGCGCAATATCATTTTCGCGATGCGGAAAGACCTACGATCACACGCGAATTCCACCCCCGCCCCTCCTTTCCCATGGACCCATCCCCTCCCGACAAAGAGCGGGCCTTGCCAACCCCTCAGTTCTTTTGCGCGCACTTGGCACCGCGCAGCACTGCGCGGCTCCGCACCGCAATCACGGCAACGCTCATCCACCCCATCCAGGCTTTCTTCCGCCACCGCGCCTCGGTACCTCATCACGTACCTCATTTCCCGCCTCTCTTCTCTCCGATAGAGCCGTGCCTCTCTCTCACTGACACGCTTTTAATATATTTTTTTCCTTCTATCCTGTTCTTTCTCTCGCGCTCTCTCTCTTTCCGTCGGACGCCGAGATGACTCTGGTGCTGGTGGACTGTTTCCTGCCAGGATGCCGCTGCTTGCGGACGCGAAACGGCGCGGCGCGGCGCTTACGGGGGAACGGGAGGCCGGCTGGCCGGCTGGTCGGTGGCGGAGGTGAGCGAAGAGTGGTGGCAAAGCACGGTGAGTCTGCCTGCGATTCTGCCTCGGCCTTCGCCGCTGCTTTCGTCCCTGTGTTTTGCTATTTTCTTTGCTTCTTTTTTTGTCTCGGCCAGGACGCCGGATACGAGGAAATGGTTGGGTGTCGTGTGAGTATGTGCCGCTGTTGCTGCGGCTGCTCTGTGGAGGTGATCACGTGCCACCAACATGGCCGTTTCCATCGCCAACACCACCCCCACGGCAATCGCCAGAGTGCGCAATGGCGATAACACTGGCATCAACGGCACCAACAGCAATGCCGACAATGACCGTACGCTGGTAGCAGCGGTGGCTAGTCTGCAACCGCGGCTACGGACGCGGCCTCCGGCCCGCGATGCTTGGTTATTTCCGCAACGTTGCATCTGAAATGACCACAGCAACTACTACTACAACTAGCAGGATCCCAAAGGGCCGGACAGATGCGGCGCACGCGGCGGGATGCGTACGTGCGCCATGGCTAGTTTGGAGCGGGATGGCCTGCGTTCGTCGCCGCACTCCGCCCGTGGCTCCGCATCTGTGTGTCTGTGTGTTTGGCGACTCTCCTTTTGTTACTGTTCTCGGTTGGCGGACGTTCATGTCGGTTCACGACGGTTCACGACGGTTCACGACGGTTCACGACGGTTCACGACAGCGGTTGCGTCCATATCCTTGTTTGGATTGATTTGCTTTGATTGAGTGATTGATTGAGTTGGTTTCCTTTACTCCGTTGTGACGGAGGAGTGACGGCGGTGTAATCTGGCCTGATGCAAGTCCTACAATTCGATCGAGAGTCGAGTTTATTTCCATCCATCATCATCCAGCCGGACCGTTTTCAAGACCAGAAAAGCACATACACGACAGACACGAGCAGGCGTCGGTATGGCGGCAGCACCGGCCCGGGACAGGAGGTCTCGGCAGCCAGAAAAGTCTAATCCGGCGCTAGGTTGGGTAGGCAGACCCGCTCTCGCGTCCTGAGGTCGACGGACTTGTCGGCCTGGACGGACCTCGTCTGTCACTGTCAGTGAGTAAGTGAGTGAGTGAATGACTGAGCGATTGACAGATGTCGCCTCAGTCAGTAGGTGGCGGGCGCCGACTCGTGACTGACTGACCTCCTGGATCTCTCTCTTCTTCGGTCGTTCGGATCGGATTTGCCTGGTTGCGTGTTTGCCTGTTCGCCTGCTTGCCGGCAGGGCCGGGTTGTCGGGGGGTTAGAGTGCTTCCTGCACAGCACCTTTTTTTGTTTTTGATCGTTCTCTTCTTCGTCTTCTTCTTTGTCGCCTCTCTTGACTCGTCTCTCTTGACTCGACTTCTTGACTCGCTTGCTTGGCGCCGCTACTAACAAATAAACATGAATGTCCATAGGGTAGGTACCCATGCCACAGTGCCAGTAGCACCACAGGCAAACACAACGATAGCGTCAACGACGGTTACAGTGGCGACGGCAGCTGTTGCGGTGGCGGCGGCGCGTGCGTGCGTGCCCCCCGGAGCCCCTGAGGCTGAGGCCTGAGGTGCTAGGACGTCTCACACCACTGCCTCCCTGGCACTGATCGAGGCCTGCTCGGGCGCGGGCGCGGGCGCGGTGGCGAGGACGGGGGCGCAGCTCGTCGCCTCAGAGGAGGGGGTAGGGGAAGGGGGGCTGTGTTGGGTCGGGATGGGTTGTGGTTGGGGCATAGGGGCGAGGTGGTGTGGTTTGCGATTGGGAATTTGGGATTGGGGTTGGTGGTTGGTTTTGGTATTTGGTTTTGGTTGTGAGAGGCGGGGGCTGGTTGTTTGTGCTGTTGTGTTGGTGTTATGTTGGTGAGGATGGGATGGGATAGGATGGGGTTAGTTGGTTGGTTGATTGATGTTCGGGCTTGGATGGTTTTCTCATTTCTTAGGTGTTTACGAGTGAGGTTTATGATGCTTGTTGAGTGCTATTTACTTGTATTTAGGTGGTTGTAGTAAGGTGGCTGTGGTCTAGAGTCGTTGGATAGCTGCGAGTTTATGAGGTAGAGGATGTGGTGATGGTGGTCGTCGTCGTCGTGGTAGTGGTTTTAGGGGTACAAATATATAGACAGGGGAAGAGAAGTACCTTCTATAAAGGTGTATAAGTAGATATAAGTATGCAAATGTATAGAAGGGATAAAGATAAAAGAGTATATAAACATTATAGTCTTTAGTCTTTAATTTATTAGGTATTAGATTAAATACGTAGATAGTATTAGGTAGGTTTTATAATTTATTTCTAGATAGAACTACTAGCGGTAGTAGTAGAGACTTATATTTTAGTACGTGGGCGGTAGTAAAGGGGATAAGAAGCACGCGGAGAGAGAGGTAAGAGTAAAGCTCGTATACTTAAGAGAGGTAGAATTTATTATCTTTCTAAGACGTAAGATTAAAGGTAGAAAAGATTAGTTTAAGAATAAGTAACTATCTATTTAATAACAAGTATACTTGTATGTACTTCTCTAGATACTACCTCGAGAGCCGGCGGTAAAGTACTTATTTTTTTTTTTTCCTCTAGTTCTCACTCACTTAATTATCGACTCTTATCTAACCTAGCCTTAACACTACAACCACACCTCGAACTAAAAGCTACTATCTAACCAATCAACCACGCAACCAACCACGCAACCAACCACGCAACCCACTACGCAGTCAAGCACCCAGGCCCTAGGAGCTTGCGAGCTTATTCTGCGTAGCTAGCTAGCTTAGCATGTCTAGCATGGTTTAGCTTAGGATAACTAGTACTCACTTCCAAAAAGCAAAACTCTCATCCCCCCTCTTACGCCGCCGCAAGAGAGAATAAGCGAGAGAAAGACACGTAATCGGAAAGAGAGCCCCCAAATGCCATGAACCTTTTTATTAGATAACCGAACTTAGTGTGATTACCACTCGGCCAGCGAGCCAGCTCGAGGACGTACAAACAAATACGCTAAAGCTTTTCGCTTCTACAATTCATAAAGAGACAAAGAACCCTTCACGGTTAACACGCACACATTCTTTATAACACTTAACACGTATTCCCGGAAGAAGATATACTTTCGTAACGCCTTTCACTTCGGTGTACCACAACTAAACAAAACGCTACAGCACATACAACACCACACGAAAAGGCAAAAGGCAGACACGTACAGAAGGCAGAGAGGCAGAAGCACGACCAAAGGCTTCCTTACCTACACCCATACATACATAGATTATAGGTATAGGTAAAGAACCACCTACGCATATATATACACACACCTCCACAGCATCAATCAACACGCACCGCACCACACCCCAGCCCATCAAACATCAAACCCCAGCAAACGACGCAATCCAAAACCCCCCAAGGCACAACAAGGCCAGCCAAACCAAACCAAACCATCCAACGCCCCAACCCAACCCCAACCCCCCAGCCCACGCAACCAAACGTAACAACACCAAAAGCAACACCAAACCAGACAAGCCCGGCAAACCGCGCTCCGCGTAGGAGCCAGAGTCAGAGACGGAGACGGAGTACCTAGGTGAGGGGAGGAGAGTGAATGAATGCATGTATGTACCCATGTACCCATCCATCCATCCATCGAGTATTACGCCAACTAGCAGCAAGCACGCAAGCACGCACGCAGCAAGCCATCAAGCACGCGGAAGGAGCTCAAACAAACACGCAGGAAGTACCTTGGTAGGTAACCAACGACAACGACAAAAACCACAACCAGACAAACGAAGCGAACCCGACCGTTAGAGCCAGAAGCAGCAGCAGCACCACCACCATCAGGAGCCAGCAAGTCTCATGACACAACACAAACGCCAGTGACAGCGACAGTAGCGCAACATCGACATCAACATCTCAAGCTCAAGCTCAAATCCATGCTTGATTGCGAGAGTCAGAGAGAGAGAAAGAGGGAAAAAAAAGCCCGCACACGCAAACGCACACGCACACGCAAGCGCAAGTATGTAACACACGAGCAAATCCTATACATTCATTCCCTCGACCCAGCAAGCCAGCAAGCCAGCCCTTTCCCGCCCCGCTCTATAGGTCTTTCGCGCGTCCGCTCCGTCTACGGACACGGACGCGGGCACGAGCATGAGATGCAACGCCAGAAAAACGCAGATGCAGGAACAGGAACAACAACTAGAGCAACAGAGAAAAGGGGAAGGGGGGAAGAGAGAAAGCGGGAAGCAAATAACGGAGACAGAGACAGATAGGCAACGAGAGAGCGAGAGCGAGAGTTTGATACTAAGTAAGAGAGAGAGAGAGAGAGTTCGGTAGTGAATGTGAGAGAGTGATTACGTATGTATGTTTTAGCGAGCGTGTTTGTGTGAGAGAGAGAGTGTGTGTGTATGAGCGAGCGAGTGTGAGAAGCGTCCAAGCCATGCCATGCCAAGCCAAGCCAAGCCAAGCCAAGCCAAGCCAAGCATATCATGCATGCATGCAAGCATGCAAGGATCGACTATCAGTATTAAAAGCTGTAGAAACGGAGCAAACCAACACCCCCAACCCGCTGTTTTCCCTTTTCATGAGGAGCAGAATCAAGAAGTGCAGAAATGCAGGAATGCAGAAATGCAGAAGAAGAAGTGCCATGACGACCGCCTTATTCCAGCGGACCGAACGCATGCATGCAACAAATGGAGACGGAAGAAGAAAGGAGAAGGAGGGAAAACAAAGCAGCAGTAGCAGCAACAATAAAAAGCAAAGCAAAGCAAAAAAACAAGACAAAAGGGTGACGAATGTGTGCGCGAGTCGAGCGTGCGGGTATCGGTATCGGTATCGGTAGCAGGAAGTGGTGAGCAGCAGCAGCCATGTAGCCAACCAGCCAGCCACAAGCAAAGCGAGCTTTTTTTTTTACGAAGTAAGGGCGTCGTCATCATCATCATCATCGACGACGACGACGCAGCGACAGCGGCGGGAAGTAGAGGCGCCGCTGCCAGCAGAATAGGTAGGTAGGTAGGTAGAGTGGGTATTAGGGACGCCCTTGGCAGGCGAAGAGCAGAAAAAGACGAAGAAGAAGCAGAAGAAGCAGAAGTAGCAAGGTCGGACGCCTAGATGGCGTGCATGGGTGGGTGCGTGCGAGGTATTAGGGAAGGCCGCTGGCGCGCACAGAAGCTTGCGCGCGCGACGGGTTTCGTCCAGGATGGGTTGGTGCGGCCGGTCTGAGCCGTAGGAACTGGGCTGGCTAGCTGGGTGGCTGGCTGGCTGGGTTTCTGGCAATGCCGTGCTGCAGGAAGAAAAGAAGCAAGGACCGGACGTGCTGCCATGTAGGCAGCTGGTCTGGTCTGGTTGTTTTTGGTTGTGGGGTCGTCTCGCAAGCGGAAGGGGAGAAAGTGAGTGTTGCGCGAGGCAGCGGACGAAATGGGAGACAGGGGATGCGTGCTTGTGGTGGTGGTGCAGGCTCCGCGCCATGCCTCCTCTCAAAGAGCGAGTCTGTGTGAAGGCAGAAACCACGCCGTGCTAAACGCACAGTCAACCTCTCGCCGCCCCCAATGATTCCGCTGCCAGGAGGGTGCTCGCTCGCGTTAGGTCAATCGATTGATCATCCGTCGAGGTCCGTCTCGGGGTGACTCCCGCAAGCCCTCTAACCCGAAGGCATGCGGCCGCGGCGCTTCCTCTGCTTCCACTCCGCCTTGGCAACGCGCATGAGCAGGTCCTCGTCCTTGACCGGGACCCAGCTCGTCAGCGTCTTCATGGCGACCTCAAAGTCCGAATCAAGCAGAATTTCGCGCGTCGCGTCGATGAGCGCCGCCGACGTCGCGTGCAGTACGTCCAAGTCGGCGTTGAACGATTCCGGCGCGCCAGGGTTGCAGTTCGCTGAGTCGCCCAGCAGCATGAAGACGTCCCAGACGCGCAGCTGCGCCGGGAAGGGAATCGAGTAGTTGAAGAGCGTGAGGTACCAGCGCGTGCCGTAGGCCGTGTAGTGGATGCCTAGTTCCTCCTGTGTTTCGGTTAGGTTTCTGCTGCAAAGGTAAATTCAGTTTCAAGGCTTACCAGCTTCTTGGCAATCTCGCCGCCCGCCAACCAATGCTTCTCGAAGTCCTCCAACGCTTCCATGAGGCCCGTAAAGCCGTGCTGATACAGGCGCTCAAGACCTCTGAGTTTCCACAGGCGCACTAGCATGACAAACGCCGTCTCCTCGTTGTAGTAGCAGAGCAGGGTAGCCGCCAGCGCAGCCATACCTTGCACGTACCCCGTCTCGGGGAGATACAGCGACATGGCATGCAGGACGCGGAACAGCAGGCGCTGTCCACCGCGGTACCGCCGTCTGAACATGATGTGGTGGCTGATGGTGCGCGGCACGTCGACATCGATCTGCACGTCATCGGCGCAGTCCTCGTCCTGCAGCTCGTAGAAGCTAGAGATCAGCTCGTCGTCCGACTCGCTCTCCGGGTTCTTCTTTGCGCTTGCGGACAAGAACGCGTGCCATGCCGTCGCCCGCCAGCGGTCCGGGATCCCCTTCCACGTCCGCTCAATCAGCTTCGGGCTCCTCGTGTCGAATTCGAAAATCATCCCGCCGCTGTTCGGACCCTTGCCTACCAACCGGCCCATCTTCCGCCATTTCTCTTCACGCTGCCATTCTTTCCGCTTCATCAGCATGGCGGCCCGTCCACCTTCTCTCTCCTCAGCAATCGTCGCGAGACCGGGTGGCAGGGTGAGCATGTCACTGGCCTCGTCGACACATCTCCTCTCGCGGTTGTGTGGCAGGCGGTTTGCAGCGTAGCGAAAGGGGTTGGAAGACCGCGCGGAGCTGATGCTCTGCGCAGAATAGACAGATTCTGCCCGGATGGAACGTCTGGAAGAAAGGCGCCTCGGAGGGCTGGCGAAGGTGGAGCGTGAAGATTTGGTGGTGGATCCGGCGCGGTGCATAGTGCGTTTCCGCCTGGGGGCCTCCGAGGCCAACTGCAACTGCGTCGAAACTCGCTGCAGCTTGGGGGCCTCAAACGTGACCAACGAATCGCGCTGGTTGGAGCTGACGGGCTTTGGCACAATGAAGCCGTACCTGTCAATTTCGGCGCCGTCAATGTCCTCCCAGTCTTCAATGCCTCCTGCTACTTCGTTAGGTTCTCTGATGATTGCGCTGCCCGGCCTGCTGATGGTAGCGGTGCTCCAGCTTCTCGGAACTCCGCTCTGCCGTGACCTTTGCACCGACAATACATCTCCATCGAGCGGCATCGGACATTGAAATTCCTCCGTGATGACGCTCTCTGCTCCATCCACGATCCATTCCGCCGCCTTCTCGTCGCCGTGCTCGTACATCGACCGAACCTTCTTGGAAAGCATCGTCTCGTCTGCCGAAAGAACCCTGGTCCCCGGTATGTTTTTCCGTGGCGCAAGCGATCTGGTACTGCCGGGCGGTAACGCGGTGTTCGGCCGAGGAGGCGACGCCTGCGGCGGTGACGATATCCTGCCGGACGGGGCAGAGCTCGAGCTGACAACGCGCGGCTTGCCCTTGGGGCTCTCCGGCAGCCTATCCTTGGGGGTGGCCGGCGGCATGCCCTTGGGGCTGACGGGTTCTTCCATGTCGTCCCTTGACCGCCTCTTGCTCAGGCGCTGACGCAATAGCGCATCCATCTTCTTGCCTCCCAGCATCAAGCTGCCTCTATTGGAGAAGTCCATGTTGGAGACGGAAAGCTCGTCCAGGTTGCCCGAAGGGATGGAGGTTTCGAGGCTGCGGACGCGATCGAGCTCGCTGGCCTGATACGCTGTCGAGGGGCGAGGGGCATCGTCATGCACGACGATAGTGGGCACTCTCGGGACGTGAGGGACGTCGGGCACGGTTCCGTCGTCGGCGCACGAGGGCCGCGCGGTGGTCGAGGGCGCGAAGCCCGAGTCGCGCTTTACGTCGTCATTGGAGAGGACCGAGCTGCGCGTCTTGAAGGGTGAGGGCCGGGGTCCCGGCGAGGTGCGCGGCCGCGCGTGAAACCACGAGCGCGACGACGAGGGCCGCAGCTGCGTGGGTGAACCCGGAGCGTCTGCGACCGGCGGTGCAGCGGGCGCGAAGAAGTGGGAAAACTTGGAAGTCGGACGGGCGCCGCCGTCGGCGACGACCTGGTGGGCTTCATCTCTCATGGTCAAGATGAAACTCGGTTGCGCGGGGTGGGAGATTCCCGGCGGGCGGCAGGAGACCTAGTCGGCGGGGGTGGCGGGCGAGGACATCCAGGTGTTGGTCTATCCGGCGGGAAGCAGATGTAGGTCAGCCAAGAGCATGGTCGAAAAGAACAGAGAACCGGGAAGAGCAAAGTAAAAAGAAAAAAAGGGGGGGCTTGGAAGGGGAGGGGATTGTTACTGGGGAGCTTGGAAGAAGCGGGCTGGGGAAGGTGGTGATCGTGTGCCCTGAATTGCAAGGGTTTTGCGCAAATCGGAGATTGGGTCGCTCTGGGGCTCTGCGCCCTGTGGACTGCGGTGCCTGTGTGCCTGTGTGCCTGTGTGTGTGTGTGTGTCTGTGCCTTGAGTGTGCCTGTGCCTGGGGAGGCTTAGCCCACAGCTTTAAAGGACCCTCTGCCCGCCGCCAAAGGAACAACGACACGTAACGGCGACGACAGGCGGGCTGCTTCCATCAGCTGCAACAGACGTCTCGAGTCCTCATACATAGCACTAGGCTTCCCACTCGCGTCATGCGTCGATCCATGACAGTAATATCCCAACACGAACCATTAATAGACACAGCTGAGACGGCTGCCTTTCTCCAATAGTTATACTGCATGACACGGTCGCACCACTGTCGTTGTCGGCGGCGGCGGAAGCCTTCCGCTCCACCTCCCGCCCACTTGCCGGCGGAGACCCCGCGTCGACGGGTAACGGGGGTGGGGCATACTCAGGACTCAGGTACAAATACTATTAAAGACTCATTCATTGCGCTCTACATACTAGCTATTATAACCCAATGTCTGCTCAGAAAGTCGTCCTCATCACGGCCGGCTCGGCGGGCCTGGGAGCCCAGATTGCGCGCACCTTCGCGCCCGACTTTCGCATCGTGAGTCGTTGCCGAGATAGCCATCGGCCAGCACACTGACCGGGGGCGGGGGGCAGGTAATCAACTACGCCAACAACAGCGAGCGGGCGCAGGCACTGCTGCACGAGCTGGACGCCAGCATCAACAACAACAGCAATAATCCTAAAACGCCGCGCTTCCACGCCGTGCGCGCTGATGTCGGCGACCGCCCCGCCGTGCAGCGCCTGGTCGACGAGACCATCGCGACCATGGGCCGCCTCGACGTCGTCGTCTCCAACGCCGGCTGGACCCGCATGACCAACTTCCTCGACCTGGATGACGGCGCCGTCGACGCCGACTGGGACCGCTGCTTCACGTACAACGTCAAGACGCACGTGTGGCTGGCGCACGCCGCCAAGCCGCATCTCGAGGCAACCGAGGGCGCGCTTATTACCACGGCCAGCGTCGCGGGCGTGAAGCCAAGTGGGAGTTCGCTGGTGAGCTTGTCGTCGTCGTTGTTGTTGTTGCGTGGGGACCGTTACATCCCTAGCTGGATGCTGATTGCTGACTGCGCGCCCGCCGCCTTTCTTCACAGCCGTACGCCGTGACTAAAGCGGCGCAGATCCACCTCGCCAAGTCGCTCGCTGTCATCTGCGCCCCCAAGATCAGAGTCAATTCGGTGGCGCCCGGAATGCTGCTGACGGTGAGTTTAGTTGTTGTTGTGGTGGTGGTGCGGCGGTGCGACGGATAAGCCGCATTCAATCATCTAGTACCTGCCTAACGCAATGCACCACCCTAGGAATGGGGCTTGAAGTTCCCCGAAGCCAAGCGCACGGCGACCATCAATAACACCAAGCTCAAGCGCCTGGCGACCGTCGAGGTAAGCTTCCGAGTACCTAGTATGCACGCATGCAATGTGCTGACACACCCACCAGGACGTTGCGACGAACGTGCGCACGCTTGCGCTCAGCCAGTCGCAGACGGGGCAAAATCTTGTGATTGATAGTGGCACGTCGCTGTAGACGGCCTGGGTTAGGGCAAGGCATGAAGGGACGGAATTGGCAAAGAAGGATGCACGGACGAATCAAATGCAAATTCCTCTTCATGCATGCATAGAACCAATTTCCAAAGCGAGACATTGTTTCCGCTTCCGTTTCACGCGCTAAACCCGTCTACCTGCAAGTACACCACTCTAAAAATCACCTTACCTTACTGCCCCGCCGGCACCGCGTACGGCCCGTACCCCGGCCGTGGGAAAATGGGCGACCCGTCCGCCTCGTTCCACTCAAACTTCTGCGCGCGTATCGTCCTCGCCGCCCATCCCGTCACCGGATTGCGCATGCCATGGTAAACAATCCAGTCCTCGGAGCCGTCGGGGCTCTTGACGAAGCTGGCATGCCCCACGCCGTACGCCTGCTCGCGCGCGTTCTGGTAGAAGACGCAGCCGTCGTTGCGCTTGCGCCAGTCCTGCGGGTTCATGGGGTCGTCGCCGACAAGCTCGAGCTGCCCGAGGCAGTAGTTGCGGTTGTCGGAGCGCGCCGCGCTGTAGATGACGAATTCCTGGCCGGTCGTGGGGTTCGTGAGCTGCTGAGGCGCCTCGTTGCTGCTGAGGCGGTCGTTGAATGGGCGCCCGTACGGCGTCTTCTCCCACGGGTTGTTGGGCACGCTGATGACCTGCCGCTCGGTCAAGTTCGACTCGACGGTCCACGGGTCCGCGAGCTTGGCGATGCAGAGGTTGGCTGGCCACCCGTCGTACACTCGCTGCCAGCAGCTGTAGATGTGGTACAGCCCCGTGCTGTGCCGGAAGTACGTGCCGTCGATGGCGAACTGGTCGTACGTGTTGAGCTGGGCCTTGTACGCGTACGACGCGCCCCAGGGGTCCGCGCTGCCGGTGCCCTCAAGCACGTACATCCGGTGGTGCACCGCGGGGCACGACCACTCACAGTACATGTCGACTTCGGGCGGCGGGCTGTCGCCGTTCGGGTCCGCGGTGAAGATGACGTACCACTGGCCGTCGAACTCGTGCAGCTCGGGCGCCCACAGGTCCGTCGAGTAGTTCTGCCCCGCTGGCGGCGTGAAGATGACTTTCTTCTCGGCATTGTCCCAGTCGGTCAGCCCGGAGCTGCGCAGCAGAGTGATGTCGTTGTTGGTCGTGTAGGTCATATAGTAGTAGTCGCCATGGCGGATGACCCAGCTGGGCACGTGTTAGAGCCTCGTTCGCGCAGCTGGTTGTTTCATGTCTCTGGCTTTGCCGCGACTACTCGATGCCGTGCGCGCGGCTGAATTTACCTTGCAATATAACCTCGGCCCTGAGCATGAACTGGCGGGATTTCAGAAAAAACAATGGACTCACGGGTCGGCACCGACGGTGCTTAGTATTGGATTGGTAAAGGTAGCACCGCTAGTGTTTGTGGACTGACGCGGAGACAGAAAGCCATGTTGATACTGGGCGGCAGCCCAGCTTGCGAGAAGTGGGAGCAAAAGAATGAGAAAGGCCATGACCGCCAGACGGAGCCAAGAGTGACGAGGGGAGTGCGGCGGGGACGACGGCGAAGGCGGCTGAGCCATGCATATTTATGTACGTGCGGACTGTTTACTTGCATGGGTAGAAGAGGAGGGCAAGTGCGGAGAGCCTGCAGGTTAGCTGCACGAGTGCACATCCATCCATCGATTCCGGGTCTGATTTGCGGGGAAACCACCGCCGGCAGAAGCTTGGGCCACACGCCATCGCTGCATCAAACCTCCGCCCAAACTTCGCCGCCTTCACTCCCCCACTAGAGTACACACACACACACACCATGAATAACGACCAGTTCCGCGCGCTACTGCGCACCTCCGACACGCCTCAAAGTGCCTCTAGCGGCACGCCCCGCACCCGCCCGGGCGCCACCCCCGCCGCCGCCTCTCTAGGCTCGCGCCTCCGCTCCAGCATCCCCATGACGCCGTACGTGGCCGCGCGCACTCCCCCGCCCCCTCGCCGAACCAAGGCTAACGATGCGCAGACGTACCGTCCGTGGCAGTGGCGGCGTCGACTTTGCGCGCCAGCTGGCCGAGCAGCGCGCCGGCTCCTCGCAGCCCGCAACCAAAAAGTTTCGCAGCTCGGCCGCGCCCAAGGGCACGCGTCTCGCGGCGGGGTACACCGATCGCGCTGCGGCCCGCGAGGATGACGAGGCTGACGACCGCGCCCAGCGCGTTAATGCGCTCGAGGAGAGCATGAAGTTGGGCCAGATTGACCAGGCGACGTTTGAGGCGCTGCGGGACCAGATTACGGGCGGAGATATTGGCGCGACGCATTTGGTCAAGGGGTTGGATCGGAGGTTGTTGGAGCGCGCGAGGAGAGGCGAGGATGTCTGGAAAAGTGGCAGTGGTGGTGGGGATAAAGAGTCGGCGCAGAAGGAACCGAGCCCGGATGTTGACGAGGAGTTTGACAAGTTGGAGGAGAAGGAAATTGCGCCTGTGGTGCACGAGAAAAGGGAGAAGAAGGGCGAAGTTGCGGCAATGCCGCCGCCAGTAGCTGGCGCGAAGCGCTCGCGAAACGCGATTCTTGCGGAACTTAAGGCGCAGCGAAAGGCGGCGGCAGAGGCAAAGGCCGCAGCGCAGCCGCAGCTAGGAAACAGGTTCAAGCGGATTGGGGAGCAGAAGGAGGTTTTCCCTAGGATTGAGAGGGACGAGAGGGGCCGCGAGGTCTTGATCACGAAGGACGAGGACGGCAACATCAAGAGGAAGGTCAGGAAGATCAAGGCGGGCGCCGAGGGCGAAGCAGCTGCGCTATTAATGCCGGACAAGGACGCAAAGCCGCTGGGCGCAGACGTCGAGGTGCCGGATCTGCCGCCTGCGCCTGCAGAAGAAGACGAAGACGACGACATCTTCGAAGGCGTGGGCGACTCCTACGATCCCCTCGCCGGAATCGGGTCAGACTCGTCCGAATCGGACGAAGAGGGCGAAGAAGGTGAAGTCGAACCCTCTGCGGTGCCGAAATCGCCGCCCTCAAAACCCACGTCTCCCACCTCAGCAGAAGCCGAAGTCTCCCCCGAATCCGCAGCAGCAGCAGCAGCAGATGCCATGCCGCCACCCCCTCAGCCCACAACAGCACAACCTGCAACCACCACCGTCCCCAAAACGAACTACTTCAACGAGCCGTCGAGCAAAACGACCGAGCAGCCCTCGCCCCCGCTCAACCCACTGCAAGACGCAACGATCCTGGCCGCGATCCGCAAAGCGCGGGACATCAAGCCGGACACTCCGTCCTCTGCGGCCGCCAGCGCAGAAGAAGCAGCGCGGCAGAAGCGGCGGGCCGAGATGCTCGCGAGCGCGGACCGCGACTTCGAGGACATGGACATGGGGTTCGGCGAGAGCAGGTTCGGCGACGCAGAGGACATGGAGGAAGGAGGCGCTAAGGTTAAGCTGTCGGAGTGGAAGGGCGTGGGTGCTGATGGTGGTGAGGAGGATGAGGGGCGCGAGGGCAGGGGCGGCCAGAAGAGGAAGCGCGGACCGAAGAAACGGAAGGGTGATAAGGAGAGTGTGGGCGATGTGTTGAGGGTTGTCGAGCAGAGGAGGGGTGGCGGTGCGAAGTGAGTGGGGTAGGTAGGAGAGGGTCCTACGGTCCCGTTTGAGATCTGCGTGCGCTCGGAATGGCTCGTGAGGCTGGAGAGGAAGGCCGGATACATGGACTAGCACGTGCAGAACAAGCATGCCTACACATCAAAACCACACCCACACACCCAACCTCCCTCACTACTACGCGCATATACACACCCCTAGGTACAAACCCACTCACTTACTCAACCCCTTTATCTGCACCACGCACCACCAGCGCCTTGCCAGCACCTGCACAGCACAAGCGCGCGCAGCCTTCCTATACCCACAAGCAACACTCGGCGTCACAGGCACGCATCCTACCACAGCGAGGGCGGACAAGCGGCAAGCCGGCTTGTAGGACAAGAACAAGAACAAGAATAAGCGTACGCTTGGCTGCTTGGTGCAGAGGGCTGCTGGGGGCTGATAGGGTAGAGGGTGGAGGGTGGAGTGCGTGGTTGTGGCTGGGGTGGTGTGTGTGTGTGTGTGTGTGTGTAGTACAGCAAAGATGGTCTGCGCTAGAGTGTGTAGACTGACATGGCCTCGTATTTAATGCCGTAGACATGATATATTACTCTGTCATTTCTTTAAGACGTAGTATATAGGTGGTGTTGAGGCTAGGTTGAAATTGAATGAGAGTGGATGATTGGCACTTAAGAGGGAGAGCTGGGAGCGTGCTTTGTTGCTGACTCTTTACCTAGTGTATAGGCAGTGTAGGGTTCGTAGGTATAGGCGTACTACTACTGTGTTGCTTGGCTGTGCGGGCAGGGAGGGAGAGGTTTGAATGTAGGTTGTGCTTTTTTTGTGGTACTTTCTAACGCTGTAAAGTTTCTGTTCTCTCGTGTTCTACTAGTATTTTTGCATAGATATATCTTTCTTTGGTCGGGAGAATCTTTGAAGTAGAGATTTAGGTGGCTTGTATGCTTTATAATATTCTTAGGGAGCTGATGGGAACTAGTAGTGGTGGTTGGTATACGAATAGCTGCGATGGTGGGAGTTGTCTTGGGTTTTTGATGGTTGGTGGTTTTGTGGGGTTTAGTGGTGGGTGGACGTGGTAGTGTTGATGGCGGTGGATGGTATGGTGACTTAGTGTGTCTAAGTCTATAGCTGGCCGTTATGCGCGAAAGCGAATAATGCGATAGTAGTAGCGGCGGTAAGTAGTAGCCTCGAGAAGAGGAAGAAGAAGAAGAAGAGGAAATAGTAATTTGTAGATTTTTTTTTTTTTTTTAAGGGCAATAGGTGCTTCTCGGGTATATATAGAGAATATTAGTGAAAGTATTAGTTGTTCCTCGCTGCTTGCCCTTTTTTCCAACGATTTGAAGGCTTTACGTAAAGTACTAATATAAAGTATGTCATTCCTTCCTTTAGGATGTTTAATTAGTACATCTAAAAAATCGACTTTCTAATCGAGTTCTCTCTAAGAAAAGATATGATTTTAGACTCCGTATTCTCGTGGCAATAGTATATTAAATAAGTTTCTCTGTTGGCAGTTATCTTGATTTACTAGCTAGTATCTATTATTAGCTTTTGATATCTCCTAATTTTGTGGCCGGATTCAAGGTACATAGTAGAGTGGAACTTTTGAGTAGTATTATTCGTGGAATAAGGCGATGTCCGATAGAAACTCCTCACGCCTGATGCTACTAATATTATGAGCCATCGTAATATGGAAGTTCAGCTTTTTAAATATCCAATCAGGAAATCCGAAGGCGTTTGTTGCGTAACACATTCGTCTAGGCCTGGCGCCACAATATCTTGGCCCGTGGCCGTACATACAAGTCCACAAGGCTGCATTCGGGACGACAGACAGTAACATTCGTTCTTTTTGTTATGCTGCTATCTCTATCAGATACAGTTTTCACTAGATGACAACTCCATTGTCTGGCGACTTGTAAGGAGCCAGAAATCCCGAAATACTAATACTACTGGCTTTTGGACATGGTTCAAAAGTAATAGGCTGTGAATAATCATAAGCATGCTCGTAGCTGAAAATCGGCTGATGGTATGCAGCGCCACGAAAGCCTTCCCGGGCTACGGACTGCCATATAATAAACCCCAAGGCACCCGGGCACAGCCTTTCACTTTTCCTCCTCAAATTTCCTGCGACGTCCGTCTCTACACCCTATAGCAAGCCTCAACATCTATTTTACTTCTTTGAGACTTGATCGCTCAAACACTTTCAGTATACAATGCCTCGCCCTAGATCCTTTAGACTTCCGTCTTACTCGGCCGACTACCACCCCATTGACGACGTGAGCTGTCATAAGTACCTAAATAAAACATTTTTGTTATTTCTAATACCTTCGAATAGAACAAATCAGCTACTTCGATCGATGAAATACGACAAGACCCATCGCACGAAACATCGAACCATGGAGTCGGAAGCCCGCCTTCCGTAACGCCCACATCTTTTTACGGGAGCGAGTCTCCGTTGCGTACTTTTATTCCGTTTGATGGCCCTGATCCCCCAAAAGGGCATCCGCCATTGGACTATAAGCCTTTTGTTCTACGAAGATGGTTTCTCCTTCTCACGACGGTCTTCTTCAGTCTCTCGCAGGAGTACTGACCATCATTATCCTTGACCGGGTAAATCCAAAGGCTTTTCGCATTCACAAAGGATACTACCGTGTCACCATGATATATACTCCAGCTATCGTTGGAAGCATAACATCAATGTGGTGGAAGGCTGTTCACGACGCATACAAAAGAATAACACCTTACATTGCTATGTCGGAAACACCGCCCCAGAGACAGAGTAAAGCTTTCAAACAACATTTCAAGTTCATATATGCGGTTCAGAATCCGTTCGATATTATGACACCATTCATGCAAAGCCATCATTTGACCGGTATCATAACGGTGATCAACCTCACCGTTAACTTTACGATTGTTTCCCTCAAAAACGCTTTCTATGTCCTCAACAAAGACGGAAGTGGTTGGTTTATTTCTCTTTCGAACACCGCCGGCCACCTTCTGGCAATAATGTACGGCACGCTTGTTGCTTGTAGCATTGGTATAACATACAGGCTATGGCCTGCATACACTGGTTTGAAGTGGGATCCGGCACCAGTCGCAGTACAACTTTCCATGGTTCAAGGCTCAAACATCTTTCCAGTGTTCAAGGGACTCGAGTATTCTTACCATCCAAAATTTATAAAGCAGATAGCATCGGAGAGTAAGAAAGCTGGGATACTCCGTCTGGGTTATTGGTCGTCAGCGACGAACTCTCACGACATCATATACAGCCTCAGGTTCATGAAGTCCGAACGAGGTACTTATCTTTTAGTAAACTATAATGTCGCTAACAAATAGCAGAGAACAATTTCATATCTGAGGATGTACCGGATACACAGATAGACACACTCCATGAGCAAAGAGACTGCAGTCATCACATGAGACGTGGATGCTCGCCGGAACTGTACAATCTAAGCGGTATGCCTAGCAGTTTTAAGTCAATGTGCAAAAGAAGTCGAACTGATTCAAGTTTAGAAGCCCCATATGGTCCGGAATCTGACATTGTGTGTTCGCCACAGTTCAGCATGTTCATATCTTCAAATTTAAGCCTGAGCGATTCTGGTATTCTGATTTTCATCATCCTCGGCATAGTTTCTTCTGGATTATGGATTGGTATTGCCACAAGGGCCGGCCATGCAAACACGATCACTGTCAAAGTTCCTTACAACTGGTGGTTCTCCAACTGGGAGAATCTTTTCTACTTCCTCCCGACAATATCCTTGTCTGTGTGGAATCTTGCATGGTTGCGGGCAGCATATTTTTACCGACACGTCCAACCAATAGCATGTATGGACGGATCAAAGCCACCACAGGAGACTGTTTTGCTCGACTATCTCAGTATTAGTCTCTCCGAGGCGATTTATACCGCGATTACCAACAGACATTTCCGTGTGGCAATATCCAGCCTTCTTGCTATGGTTGGCACCATTATCCAAATACTTCCAGGAAAAGTCTTTTTCAACGTTTCTTGGCGAGGTCACCGAGACAAAGTTGAATACATCGCCAGCATCGTGCCATCTTATCTTTATGGCTGCTTGGCTATAACGATTGTATACATCATTCTGTTGGGATTTCTCCGGCCCACACCTCAATATCGGACACCTCGAGCTTGTTACAACATAGTCGACCTTGTCTCCTACTGCTACAATAGCAAAATGCTCGACGATCCTGAATTTGATACTCAAGACCCAACGGACGAAGAGATCCACTTCAAATCAAAGATCCATCTAGCGAAAAGAAAATATCAAATCGGAATGTACCTTGGCAAGGACGGTCACCGACATCTCGGTTTTGATATTGTACCCCAAAAAACCGACGATCCTACTCACCGAGTAAAGGTCGATAAATTTTACCCCGGAAAAGCAATATACTGGATTGGCGTTTACAGAAAATTTATCGAATCTCCAAAGTTGAGACCGACCAATCCGTCCGAAGAGGAAGACCGGATCTCTTCGGAGCAAATCTCACAGGAGGATGGAACTGAGCTCCAAAATTGGCCAACACATTCGGTGCCGGAAGTGAGTGCTCCAGAAAGCCAACACCAAGCAGAGTACAACGAGACACCTACAGCAGCGCTCCACGAGCAAGATGTCAGCCCACTGTACCAATCACACACTCTCCCAGCTCCAGACCCCGAGAATAGGAGCGGACTGGCATAAACTGGTTGGAAGGATCAGGATAAACGGGCAAGGATATTACCAGTGTAAGTCAAAGTTCGACGAAGTCCGTCGTCCGCATCAGAAAGTCTTGCTAAATAAAGAGAAAGTGTTCTGTCAGTGATGACTGAAAGATTTCTTCCGGGGATTGTATTGTAGAAGCTTGGAAATATGAGAGTAAGCTGATACACCAAGGTCAGGATGGTAACTTACCAATATTCTACTTCCAAGCCTGTATAACAGGTCCTCACATAGCATGGTCTATACTGTAGCACTCATCAATCAACGTTCTACGTATAAACGTACGCTTACAAAAAACGATTCTAATGCACCATGCCAAGTCCGCTACCAGTCCTAACCGTCTATCCCAACATGCAGCTCTTTTCACAAAATACGGAGCATAGCACTGCTCTCCATCAAGCCCTAGCAATTCAAACAAAGGGAAAGAACGCAAAGGCCTTCTCCATCTCCATCTACGCCTTCGCAACCGACATGCCCGCCCGATCAGCCGAGCGATCAAACGACCTAAAGAACAGCTCCAGCCACCGCTGCTGCCGCCGACTAAGCGGCTTGCCCGGGTTCTTGAAGCTCTGGTTCACGATCTCCTTGACCCGTGCGCGCAGCGTCTTGACCGCAACAGTCGTCTTCCAGTCCTTGAGCGCGAAGCGCAGTCTGTTGCCATCGACCTGGACAACGCCGGCATGTAGCCTGCTCTCGGCCTCGCCGGCCAGCAGCACGAGCGGTAGGTCGTGCGCGACCGACGTCGAGTGCGCGTTATAGAACTTGGAGCTCGACTGCATGATGTGGTAGTACGAGAGGTACTTGATTTCCTTGGGGTTGGGGGGATGTTTGTTGACGGACGTGGGCGCCAGCGACACCGACTGGTTGTTTGCAATGTTTCGCCAGCCTTTGCCGTCCCGCGTCAGGATCTTGGGGTAGAATGACCACGCAATGACCGCGTTGATCAATATGTCGTTGTTGGTGTTGATGTTGGAAGCTGCTGGCACAGCGACGAAGCTGCGCTGTCGTGAAGAGTACCGATACTTGCTCAGAGCGGCGCGCTCGTCCGCGGAAAGCGTTACAAAACCAGCCTCGACAAGTGAGCCCATGAGCTGCGACTTGAGGTCTTCGATGTTGCTGAGGTTCTGTCGGGACAGGAAGTTTTTCTGGCAAAACTGGAACTCAGATTGGCCTGGCGTGGTGCAAATCTTGCGCCAAGTAGTATACGCGTTGTATGCCGTCAGTAGATCCGAGTCTCCCCGTCTGAATCCGAGGCGTACAGAATCCGCCCGTTGGCGAGCACCCAGCGGAGTGAGAAATGGGTCCTTAGATGAGAGAATGGCCGCGATGGTGATAGCGACGTCAACGCAACCAAATATGCTTGCCAGGAGCGCTAGCTTGCCAAGGTTGGCATCCAGCGGAAGCTTGGCCAACTGTCGTCCCAAAGCAGTGAGCTCTTCGTTAGCTGTTAAAGCATCGACCTCTACCAACGCATCGATTGCTCTACGAATGTTTTTGGTTGAAGGAGGATCCAATGCCTGTGATAGCGTTTGCTCAATGTCGCCCAACTTGCAAATCTTGACACGCATAACCAGGTCTTGCAGCGACAGCCTGAGCATTTCAGGAGTCTGCTGCTCGGCCATAAGTTCATCATGTCGGCACTTTGTGAAGAGATGGAAGCAGAGACCTTCCTGGACACGGCCAGCTCTTCCTCTCCGCTGCTTAGCATTGGCACGGGAGATGAAAGATTGAATGAGTCGGGACAGCTGCTTCCGCTCGTCGAATCTCATTTCCTTGTGTTTGCCAGTGTCAACGACACAGGTAATGTCGGGAATGGTGATACCCGTCTCGGCAATGTTAGTAGCGAGGACGATCTTGCGTACGCCAGGAGGAGGAACGAGGAAAGCAGCTTGCTGGTCCTCACTAGCAATGGTCGAATGCAGAGGGAAAATCTGCCAATCCCGGTTGAAGGACTGATGACCGACCAGCATGTCGTTGAGCTGCCGGATCTCCGCAATACCGGGTAAGAAGACAAGGATTGCCTTACTATAGATGCTATAGTCTTGGTCATAAGCGACGCGTTCAATCAATCGAATGATGAGTTCGTAGTCGATTCTGTATTCATCATATTCCTTGAGCACGTTGCGTGTTTGGTTGCTGTAACCTTGAAGGTTGCCCCGAACTCCAGACGGCGTACCACCATCAGGCATGTCGTCCTCGGCATCATCGACGGCATCGTCAACACCGTATGAGCCCTTGTTGTTGGCGCTGTAATGCGTGAGCTCAATTGCATCTTCCAAGAACTTTGTTTGAACCGGGAATGTGCGTCCAGGCACCGTCACAATCGGAGCACCATCGAGGTATTTCGAAAAGCGGTCCGCGTCAACGGTTGCACTCATCAGGATAACCTTCAATTCGGGACGGCGAATCATCAAGGAACGGAGAACAATGAGCAAAAAGTCGGTGTCGATGCTGTCAGCGGTTAGTTTTTCAAATTTGATCTTTTGTTTAAGGTGGAAGATCTTACCTTCGCTCGTGAACCTCGTCGATGACCAAATGAGTGACGTCGTCCAAGCCCTTCGAAGATTCAAGCATTCGAAGGACAATACCAACAGTTGCATAGACCAAACGTGTCGACGCTGCGATATGGGACTCCAGACGAATAGCGTATCCAACCAAAGATCTTGCTGTTCCAACGGCATTCTTGTCTTCACCTAATTCCTCGCTAACACGTTGAGCTAAAGAGATGGCCGAGATACGTCTCGGTTCGGTGCAATAGATCTTGCAAGGTTTCCCATTTGCCAGCTCATGCTCCAAGATAAATGCTGGAAGCTGTGTACTCTTACCGCATCCAGTCTCACCACATAAAATAGTGACCTGGTTGCGTTCAATGGCGGATAATGCGGCTTCCCGGAACCGCGCCATTGGCAGTTGCTCCCTTGACGTAAGCATGCGTTGGTATGCTGGCGAAGAGGACTTCGCGTTCCACAAAGCCTTCAACTGCTCTGATACATCATTCGGCGTATCACTCGACCGCATCGGTAATTCCGAGCCTCTTGATTCAATCCGCGGCGTTCCTCCGCGCTTTTTGAAACCATTCATCAGCACCACGCCATCTTCCTCTTCTCGCTCTACCTGTTCTTGAATCATGGTACGAAGCTCCTTGATCGTTTCGCGGTCGTTCGTATCCGTGATGTCTTTCTGCGCCTCTGCAAACTCGGCCCATAAGTCTCGCCAAGCCGGGGGCAGTCTCATATAAACTTTTTCTTCCCTAGGTGAAGTGGAAAATACTAGAAAAAGGGCGGCGACGGAAACATATGCCTCGCTTTGCTGCGTTCCTGGAGTCGCAATGCCTTTCATGGTGAAACTCATCGATCTAGCCCGTAGCTCGCATGTAACCGAAGGAACAGCAGAGACGCTAATAAGATCTTGGTCTTTCGACCAGTATATCGTAACAGAGTGGCGGCTGGAGTAAGTTGTAGGAGAGACGTGTTTGAACGTAAGACGTACACCCGAGTCCCTAGACATACGTGATTAGAATACAGTCGTACTGCGTTGAATATTAGGCACACACCTTGCACGACAAGCTTCTTCTAACACTCGTCGAGGACTCATTCCCACGGTCTTGCCAAAATCGCGAATTGTGACCGGTGTGGTGTCTCCGTCCCCACCATTGGGTGCAGCTTGGCCTGGTTCCCCAGGTTCTGCCAAGAACATTTCACCCAGCATCCCTCCGTCTTCATCGGACTCTTGGGCAAGAGCATCCCCGGCCAGGCCAGCTTCCCGCATGATGTCATCGACAGCACTGGATGTTTCTGGCTGGGATTCTTCTACTTCAACCGGCTTTTCCTTTGGAGATTCTTGGCGTTTTTGGCGAGATCGTGCCGGCACTTCTCTGAGTAAATCATTACGCTTAGAGGCCCACTGTTCGTCTGCTTCCCGCTGATCAAACAACACATCGGACTCTATTTTCTGAAGTTTTTGTTGAAGTTTAAGCGCACCCGGTGACAGAGAAATACTTTGCTTAGAATTCTTAGACTTTTTGCCTTTCGAACTTTTACTCGGCGCTGCAACCAGCTCAGGGTTGATATGGAATAACCGTGACTTTACATCCAGGTAAGTGGACAGAAGCTGATCTGGCTCCATGTCGCTATCGAGATCGCTGACGTCTACATCGTCCTCCGGAGCGGATTCCTTAGCCTGTGCCTGATTCGAAGCCGGTGATTGTTTGACAGGATTCCGGTCAGACGCTGGTGAGTCTGTAGCTGGATGACGTTTTGACGGAGAGTCTGGGAAATGCTTTGTTAGTCATACATACCGCCTAAAACATGGTAGGGAGGAAAGTGTTATAGTGTGATTGGAACAAGCATGAACCTGCGACTATGAAGTCTGCGAGTAGTGTTGCTTAGGGGTCCTTGATGGTATCGAGCATGTGTTTTGGCCAAAGGTGAAGCTCTCGGGAAAATTCCTGCAATCCTTGGGATGCTCATGTAAGGTGTGACCGGACTTTTCTTGTACTAGTCGAATAGTATAGGCAAATGGCCGTATCCATGACTTCCAAGTCTTTTCGGATCCAGTGGCCCGAACGCAAAGGTGGAAAGATGTATAGGTAGAGCCAAAGAGACCAGACTTACTAGATCTTGATGAATTCGTGGTATCCGTGAGTGGTTGACTAGGTTGTGCTTCATACGGCGGGAGCTCGTCGACTGGACAATTGACCGCAAGCCAGTCAAGACTTTCCTGGAGGCCCCATACGGTCTGAGTGTTTCCGTCCACGGGCGGCGGGTTCCGGCCAATAAGAACGAGCATCTGTTTAACCCTTTCCCTGGAGAAGCCCAAATCCACTAGGGTCTGACTGAGGGTCCAGAAGCGGGCAATGGCATCTTCTTCGGAGAGATTGCGAATGGAGTATTTGTGCTCGGGAGATTGAAAGTCATCGTTCATTTCATCCTTCACCAGGTCCAGGATCTGAGACATCAAGTCCTCGGGGAGCCATTCTCTCGTGGGCAGATACTGAGACTGGGTGCGAAGGACGCGGCGATCCGTTTGGAGCCTGGTGAGGTGACGGGCGGACTCTTTGCGCACCTTTTGCGCATGCTTCTCGACCAGGAGTTGCAGTTCACCGCGCTCAAGTTGCAGCTCGAGCTCCTCGGGGGTGAGCTGGTGCAGCTCCTTGGGGGCCTGGATCGAGCCGGGCGCAGGGGAGGCAACGGGGTCATCGGAAATGGCGGGCGTCGGGGCAGCGGGCGCACTGCCAGCGTCAGAGGCATCGGCAGAGTCAAGTTTCTTGTCAATCTTGGGCTTGCTTGCTATGGAAGTGGTGGCAACGGCGCGGGCCGGGTTGGCCGCGGGCTTCTTCTTCTTTTTCTGGACCATGGTTGCGGGGAGATGCAAAGGGAACTCGTCGAGTGGGAGGAGAGGTCACAGGACGAGGCGCGGTGGAAAATTCGGGCAAGACGGTGTTCAACGGTGTCTGGGTTGGTGGATGGTCCCTAGTTTGCCCGCCTGCAGATGCTGTCATAGGCCGGTGCCCCATGCGCAGCTTTAGTCATGCGCGTAAAACTGCCAGCCCGCGCATCTCGCAAATCACCAGAGCCAGCCCGCGCTTCGCCCGTCCAATTCGTGCTGTCAAATATGGCGGAGGTCAAGGCAAATAGTGCTCCGGGTATTGACCACGTCGAGCTGCGCAGAGACGTCCTGTCCAGCTCTACCAAGCGCAGAATCGCCAAGCTGCGTCACGTAGAGCAGCTCTTCCACGACAACGGTGAGTGCGCCCAAGCTGGCTGATCGGGTCACCCGCCCGCTGACATCTGCCCCTCAGAGCTTCCTTCTGCCGACGCAAAATCCATCCTCCTCGTCCTCTTCGATACCTACCCGCTATACATAGACCGCGAGTCGCGCCGAGCTGTCCATCAATGCCTTCGAGCCGTTGCCGCCAGCCCGCTCGCCGACGAGCTGCTGCCCGGCACGGTCAAATTCCTCCAGAATGAGTCCGCCAAATCGAGCGTTGCGCCCGCCAGCTTCTTCAGCCTCTCGGAGTGGTGTTCTGTCTTGCTGCAGGAGTTTGGAGCAAAGGACAGCCTTTGGAGTAAATACGGAATCCAAGTCGTGACCGCGGATGCTGCCATCCTGGCCACCTGCCTGGGTTCGGCGAGTCGTGAGGGTTTGAAGCACTCGGCACTGGTTGTCACACGGCGAGCTCTGCGGCGTGTCTTCAAAAATGAGGCCATTGGCAAGGATGCCATCCATAAGTCTGTGGCCACTCTGACCACCAAAGGTCCCTCTCCCACCGCCAGAAACGCTGTATTCTTGGGCATTATCGCTGGTGTCTGCTCGCGGCTCCCCGCCTCTGAGCCTGTCTTGGCGGAGAAGAAGAGTGACTACTACGCATTCTACGTGCGGGAGCTTATTGGATCTCGAACCGTACTACCGAAGCATATCACCAGTGGCCTTCATGATTTCTTCAGCGCATTTACCACTCTGGAGGATCTGCAAAAGGAAATCATTCCTTCAGTGGAGAAGGCATTGTTGAGAGCGCCGGAAGTCGTTCTCAATGAGCTCATCGCTCCCATGTTCCGCTCGCTTCCTCCTACCATAGATCTGTCGGAGGTGCTCCAGAAAAACCTTTTAAAGCCGCTTCTGTCTAGTATTAAGTCGACAAACGCAACAATTAGGACCGGAGCTCTTACTACATTTGAAGCACTTGCCGCTCGGTCTGCCAATGACGATGTCCTGGATAAGGTTGCGGATGAGGTTCTCAACCCTCTTAAGCAGAACAAGGTCACGGTTGCAGAGCAAAAGTCCATTCATGCTCAGATGCTAGCTTCTTTGAAGCCCTCGGAGGCTCTCGCTAAGAAAATCCCTGCTGGTCTCGCGCCAGTGGCATTAAAGGAACCTAATGAGGCCGCTATTGCCGCGGAGACCCGTGCTATCTCGAAGCATCTTGAACACACGCTTGTGGGCGGAGCCACTGTTGAACCTACAGTTGCAGACGCTTTCGTGAAGGGTCTCGCTGATAAGAGGTTGTCAGTCCGCAAAGTATGGGCTTTGCGTATCGGCGAGCTTCTTTGGAGCCTAAGTGATGAACAGACGCGCCAGCCATCTGTAATTTCCTTTGTACAAGCGTTTCTGCAGAAACTGCTGGACATATGGCAAGAAGTTGTCGCGAACCCTATTCCGGCAGTCCAGAGTGGCTTGGTGACTGTAGCGTACATTGCTACAGCATTCGGGCTCTCGAAGTGGGCTAGTTTCGAAGATGACAAGATCAATGCGGCCTTGAAGAAGGCTTCTATTGCGAAGAACGCTTTGGTCGCTGACCCTAAGCCTTCGTTCTTGCTCAACCATAGGGTCTACTCCAAGTTGGCTGGAGAAGAAGACCTTACATGGGGACTCCGTGCTCTCGCATCGGTCACTTCTAACATTGCAGAATCCACTGACATGGCTGCCGTAGAGGATGCCTGGTCACAGGCTTTCTTGTACTTCATTACGGCGTCGGGTGTTCCTGCAAGTGTACGGCAAGAGGCAACACAAACTCTTTCCCAAGCCTACGCGCGCTACCCGGCACGGATCGCTCACATTATAGTTAATGGCCTTTGGAGATGGCGCCGTGATGTCGAAGTAAACGAAAAAGACGTCGCCGCGACGGTTGCCAAGACGGGGAACAATGAGCTTTACCTTGCTTTAAGGGCCATATGCCTCACTCCCGCGGAAATGAGCAAGCTCGAGGGAACTGTGGACGATTCTGTCATCCACACGCAACTCATTGACCTTCTCGTTTTGGCTCGCCCAATGATGTTACCACGCGTGTCATGGATCGATACTTGTTTGAGGACAGGCACAGACCCTGGAAGCTTGGTAGCAAAGGAACTCGACAGATGCTTCCAATCAATCATCAGTGCTACAGAGGTATGAAAACTACAAACATCAAGTTTGTCCAAAGCTAACGTCAATAACAGGGGACCTCATCGATCCACACACCAACAGTGAGGCAAGCTGCTTATAACGCTGCGGCTGAACTTGCGTTCGTTGCTCCTGATCAAGCAATACCGAGGTTGGTGGAACAGGTCAAGGGGGATCTCGACCCTCAGTTGCTTAGTGATGTCGGTCCCACTGAAGCGGCTATCTTCCGTACGCCTGAGGGCCAAGTTTTCCTTGACCCGCTTGCAAAGAAGCAGAACCAAGTTCCAGACAAGGGTAGCAAAGACTACGACACCTGGAAATGGGAGCAGGAGCTTCGTGACCAACTCGCCCAGAAGAAGGGACAGACGAAGAAGCTCACCCCCGAGGAACAAGGCAAAGTCAAAGCACAGCTTGAAAAAGAATCGAAGATCCGCCAGCAAGTCACCGCAGTCGAAGCAAAACTTCAGCGCGGCGTGGGTATCGTCAAAGCCCTGGCTACTGGGCCACCCACTGAGGCAAACTTGTGGCTCGGCCCTACCATTGATGCTCTTCTGCAAGCTATGGATGCTGGAGCGGGTCTGGTCATAGCGGAAGCCCCGACTTCCACTTACATTGCCATCGCTGAGCGTATCTCGACAAGACTGGGTGTTCACAGGCCCTTCTTTGGAGTTGCTACCCTTCGTGCTATGGGCATGCCATTTTTGCCTGCTGGTCTTGACGAGGAGCCGCTCGGCGATCTCGTTACGAGGTTGCTGTATCGCCTTAGATTCTTGTGTGAACAGCGCCCACTGGACAGCGTCTCGCTGACATATATTCTACCTCTCGCTTTCTTGGTGCTTGAAAAGGGAGCTATTGACAAGAAGGAAGAAGAAGAAATTGACGAACAAATCGTCCTTGCATTGGAATTTATCTCATTCCATACCACTTCTTGTTCCGACAAGACACTGCCACGCCGCAAGCTCTTCTCCGTCCTTGTCTCGGCTATGCAGAGATTCACGCAGCACTTCAAGCTGATCAGAGATTGCTTGATGGATCTCTGCAGGGGCATTGGATCTGACCTTACCGAACAGGAAACCTTGGCTCTGGCCAAGGGAGCTATTGTTCCGCAGGTCGCCGTCAGGACATCCGTCCTCCAAGCCATTGACGAAGAGGTTGATATCATAGATATCGACTTCTCCGAGGAGATTTGGCTTGCGTGCCATGATGATGTGGATGAGAACGTCGAGCTCGCCAAATCCATTTGGGAAGCGAACGCCCTTGAATTGACCGCAGATGCTGCTTTCAAAATGCTTCCATACGTCGAATCTGTCGACAAGCAACTGCGCAGGGCTGCTGCTCGCTCCATTGCTGAGTGTATTAGTGTCAAGCCTGAAATCTTTGATGAGATTATTAGTCAGTTGCAAGGCACTTACAAGGAAAAGGCCAAGCCGAGGGTTCCCGAGCGGGATGAGTACGGAATGCCTAAGAAGATGGATCTGACCGACCCGTGGGAGGCCAGGAACGGCATTGCTCTGGTTTTCCGTGAGCTTGCTAGCCAGTTCAAGGCTGAAGACCTGGAGCAGTTCATGGCCTTCCTTATCGAAAACGGTCCCCTTGGAGACAGGAGCGCTAGCGTCCGTGATGAGATGATCGAAGCTGCTATCGCAATTATTGCTGCCCGTGGTCAGCTGAAGGTCGAAGAGCTCATGGGCGTCTTCGAGCGTACCCTTGAAGCTCCTGACCAAGGCTCCGAGACCTATGACAAGATCAACGAGGCTGTCATTATCCTTTACGGCGCGTTGGCCCGCCATCTTAAGCCCGGCGACGACCGTATCCCCAAGGTCGTACAACGGCTTCTTCAGACTCTGAGTACACCATCCGAGTCTGTCCAGTATGCGGTCGCCGAGTGCCTTCCCCCTCTGGTCCAAGTGCTGGGCGGAGAGGTCAAGGACTTTGTTCAGCAGATCATGGATGAATTGCTCCAATCCAAGAAGTACGCTGCTCGTAGAGGTGCTGCCTACGGTTTGGCCGGTATCGTCCGCGGAAAGGGCCTGGCTGTACTGCGCGAGTACCGCATCATGTCTACGTTGACCGGTGCGGCTGAAAACAAGAAGGATACGAACCAGAGGCAGGGTGCGTTCCTTGCGTACGAGCTTCTCTCTCTCATTCTCGGTCGCATCTTCGAGCCGTACGTCATTCAGATTGTGCCGCAATTGCTCGCTGGCTTCGGCGATACCAGCGCAGATGTCAGAGAAGCCTGTCTGGATGCTGCGAAGGTCTGCTTCGGTAACTTGAGCTCTTATGGTGTCCAACAGATCCTTCCTACGCTTCTTGAAGGATTGGATGAGCAGCAATGGCGTAGCAAGAGGGGTGCTTGTGACTCCTTGGGTGCCATGGCCTATTTGGCTCCGCAACAGCTGGCTCTTAGTCTGCCTGAAATTATTCCTCCTTTGACCACCGTCCTGAACGATTCTCACAAGGAGGTCCGGGCTTCAGCCAAGCGGAGCTTGCAACGCTTCGGTGAAGTCATCAGCAACCCTGAGATCAAGAGCGTTGTCGACATTCTCCTCAAGGCTCTCAGTGACCCTACGAAGTACACGGACGACGCTCTCGATTCTCTCATCAAGGTTTCGTTCGTGCACTACCTGGACGCACCGTCTTTGGCTCTCGTCGTCCGTATTCTCGAACGTGGTTTGGGCGACAGGTCCGCGACCAAGCGCAAGGCCGCACAGATCATTGGCAGCTTGGCTCATCTCACGGAGCGCAAGGATCTTGTCGCTCATCTGCCAATTCTTGTTGCTGGTCTAAGGGTTGCGATTATCGATCCTGTTCCTACCACTCGTGCCACCGCCTCCAAGGCACTTGGTTCGACTGTGGAGAAGCTGGGCGAGGATGCTCTTCCCGACCTCATTCCCAGCCTCATGTCTACTCTCAAGTCAGACACCGGCGCTGGCGACAGATTGGGTTCCGCCCAGGCTCTTTCCGAAGTCCTGGCGGGTCTGGGTACTTCTCGTCTGGAGGAGACTCTGCCCACCATTCTTCAGAACGTGGCCAGCTCCAAGCCCTCCGTTCGCGAAGGTTTCATGTCTCTGTTCATTTTCTTGCCTGCTTGCTTCGGTAACAGCTTTGCAAACTATCTCGCCAAGATTATCCCGCCAATCCTTGCAGGTCTGGCAGATGATGTGGAATCTATCCGCGAGACCGCTCTCCGTGCCGGTCGCCTCTTGGTCAAGAACTTCGCGACCCGTGCCATCGACCTGCTTCTTCCTGAGCTTGAGCGTGGTCTTGCCGATGACAGCTACCGCATTCGTCTCAGTTCCGTCGAATTGGTCGGTGACTTGCTGTTCAACCTTACGGGTATTTCCGGTAAGGAGCAAGAAGAGGCCGAAGAGGGCGCCAGGGAAGCAGGCCAATCGCTACTCGAAGTTCTTGGCGAAGATAGGCGCAATAAGGTGCTTTCCTCGCTGTACATCTGCCGCTGCGATACCTCCGGCCTTGTCCGTACTGCTGCCATCAACGTCTGGAAGGCTCTTGTGGCTAGCCCGCGTACCCTTCGCGATCTCATCCCGACTCTTACACAAATCATCATCCGCCGCCTTGCCAGCTCCAACATGGAACACAAGGTCATTGCTAGCAATTCTTTGGGAGAACTTATCCGCAAGGCTGGTGAAGGCGTTCTCTCCACCCTCCTTCCCACGCTTGAAGAAGGATTGCAGACGTCCACGGATAGTGACGCCAGACAGGGTATCTGTATTGCCCTCCGCGAGCTCATCTCGTCGGCTGCTCCGGATTCTCTCGAGGATCACGAGAAGACGCTCATCTCTGTGGTACGCACTGCACTGGTTGATTCTGATGAGGAGGTTCGTGAGGCTGCTGCCGAGGCTTTCGACACACTCCAGCGCATTCTTGGCAAGCGGGCAGTCGACCAAGTGTTGCCCTTCCTCCTCAACCTCCTTCGTTCCGAGGACGAGGCCGCAAATGCGTTGTCTGCTCTTCTTACGCTTCTCACCGAAGAGACCAGATCGAACATCATCTTGCCAAACTTGTTGCCTACGCTTATCACCTCGCCTATCTCTGCGTTCAATGCTCGCGCCATCGCTTCTCTTGCCCAGGTGGCTAGCAGGGCTATGTCTCGCAAGCTCCCGCATATTCTCAACGCGCTTATGGACAACATTGTCACCTGCAAGGACGATGAATTGCGTGCAGAGCTCGACTCGTCTTTCGATACCGTCTTGGTTTCTGTCGATGAGTACGATGGTCTGAACACTGCCATGAGCGTCATGTTGGCTCTCGCGAAGAACGATGACCACAAGAAACGCCAGACGGCCGACATTCACCTTGCTACCTTCTTCGCCAAGGCTCAGGTGGACATGTCTCGCTACTACCCCGATCTTATCCGTGCTCTGCTTGTCGCCTTTGCTGACAGCGATCCGGCGGTTGTCAAGGCGGCTTGGTCTGCTTTGAGTGCGTTGACCGCTCGTCTGAGGAAGGAGGAGATGGAGTCGCTCGTTATCTCTACGCGCCAGGTACTCCAACAGGTTGGCGTTGCTGGCTCGAACTTGCCCGGCTTCAATCTGCCAAAGGGCATCAACGCCATCCTGCCGATTTTCCTGCAAGGTTTGATGAACGGTACGCCCGAACAGCGCACCCAGGCTGCTTTGGCGATATCGGACATCATCGATCGCACAAGCGCAGAGGCTCTGCGTCCTTCTGTGACACAAATCACCGGTCCTTTGATTCGTGTCGTTTCGGAGCGTTCAGTCGACGTCAAGGGTAAGTTATACGAAAATCAAAGTCTTCAACAGAAAAATGCTCACATAACTTACAGCTGCCATCTTGTACACCTTGAACAACCTGCTTGAGAAGATTCCCACGTTCCTCAAGCCTTTCTTGCCACAGCTGCAGAGAACCTTTGCCAAGTCTTTGGCCGACACCACGAGCGAGATTTTGCGTATCCGTGCCGCCAAGGCTCTCGGAACTCTCATCACGCTTACTCCCCGTATTGATCCTCTGATCGCTGAGCTGGTTACTGGATCAAAGACTTCGGATCACGGTGTGAAGACTGCAATGACAAAGGCTTTGTACGAGGTTGTCAGCAAGGCCGGTAAGAGCATGAACGAGGCTTCGAGAAACGCCATTCTAGGCCTGATTGATGCCGATGTGTCTGAGGCCGACGATGCCATGCAAATCCAGAACGCGCGTCTGCTGGGCGCATTGGTCAAGGTTTTGCCTGCGGAGACTGCGGAAAGCTTGATCAAGAACCGTGTCTTGGCCCCCACCTTCAGCAAGTCGTCGGTGCTGGCTATCAACTCCATTCTTCTCGAGTCTCCTGAGACCTTGACTGTGGCGCATGGAGAACAGACCGTGGAAGTTATCGCGAAGGGCATCCGCGAGCCGCAGCCCGTCATTGCCGACAACTGCGTGCTGGCTGCCGGTAAGTACTTCCTGACCGAGTCGAGCAACAAATCTTTCGACGCAACGAAGGAGATCTTCGAGTCTTTGGCGGCCGTCATCCCGCCTGGCAATCCTTCGGATACGCGCCGCTTGGCGCTCGTCGTCATCCGCACCGTTAGCCGCGAGCATAACGAACTCGTTCGCCCGCATCTGGCGCTGCTTGCGCAACCAGTCTTCGCCAGCGTGCGAGACATGGTTATTCCTGTCAAGCTGGCGGCCGAGGCTGCGTTCCTGGCTATTTTCGACGTCGTCATGGAGGAGGGCGCAGTGTTTGAGAAGTACATGGCTGGCCCTGGCGCCAGCCTTGCAGCTGGCCCGAAGAGGAGCATGCAAGAGTACTTCAAGAGAATTGCGATGAGACTGGCCGCGCAGGCCAAGGAGAGGAAGGAGGCCGAGGGCGGACAGGGTGGACTGGGACTGAGCAGTGATGAGGTGGAGGATGAGAGAGAGGTTTGGTCGGTCGGAAAGGTTGATCTGGGCGAGGGCGGGCTTGAAGATTAGTGGAAAGTGTATATGAGCTTCAGCGCAATGTCATACGATGTTCAGTTGTTACATATATAGATGCCGGGTCGCGGTTGGGAGGGCGGTCGTGGCCAAGAAAGTCTAAGCCAACCTCCACCTCCGCGACTCGCCGCAGACAGAGCAGCGCATCAACGTCACGACGCGCCGGCATCAGATCCAGCATCGCATACCCGCTATCCCACCTGAGCTGGCTCCGACATCACTTGCGCCCCCTCGCAGGAGGGCATTATCGCGACGCTCGGCGGATGCGACACGACGACACCCACCCCCCTCCTCCGTGATCGTCTGCCTGCCATGGCGTCCTTTACGCGCTCCGAGTCGGCGGCCGAGCCCGCATCCACACCCACGCTCTCGAACAAGACCCTGTCCATCAATGGCGCCGCGCTGCAGCCGCAGAAGGCGGGCCAGCTACTCACGCGATCTCCGCGCATCGACATCGAGCCGCTGTACACAGCCCTGAAGGCACAGATCGGGGAGCATTGGGGAGCTTACAAGGAAGCTGTCAGCCTGTTCGTGCTAGGTATGTCGCCTGGCGCCTGAAGATAACCCACTCTGGCGCACCGCCGTCGCGAACAGTGCCCAAGTTGACCAGACATTGTCCAGGCCGCCTGAACCAGGCCGAGCTCGCGCGCCGCATAGACTGGTTCGTGAGCAACGACCCCACGCGCGAACACCTCCACAACCAGCTACTATCCGCCATATATGCGAACACGTTGCGCGACAGCCCTGAGCCTGGTGTTGCGAGCTGGGTCTCCGCCAATGATAAGCCCAGCGCGACAAGCAAGCCGAGCAGCGGAGATGCGGCGGAGCTACGGCTCAAGACCGAGGTCAAGGAGCTGCAGGGCCGCGAGCGGAAGAGGTTGAAAGCTATACCAGACGTGAGTTCTAGGAGATGTGGTAAAGGTGTAGACTTTAAAAGCTGGTTGACTAATACAAGTTGTGATTGCAGGATACCTTTGACTATTTCACTCGCGAGATGCAGGAGTATCATATGGCGAAGCAGATTTCGTTGCCGGATACAGGTCCTGCTTCTGCCGGTGGTTTTAATAAGACGAGTCAGTACCCGCCGGAGTCTATCACCACACGGATAACAGCAGTTAACCTTACATGCAGATTGGGACCTTGAAATCCGGAAACGCTACGCTCAACCCCTCTGCACAGAAACCTTTGAATTTCCCGACACAGCTGCGATTGAAGCTCGCATGACACCAATATGTTATGAGGAAGGCATCGCATCAGGCGCGAGTGCCGATTGCGCAACATTTATGAATGTTGCAACAGAAACCTTTATAAAGGAAGTGTTAACTAACATTATGGGCCGGGTCCGAAGCAACGGAGACGACTACATCAAGACAGCAGCATACAAACGACAATACGAGCGCGAGGAGGAAGGTTGGCTACACGGTCAGGTGCAACGCAATGCAGCAGGCCTATTACCATGCGAGGTTGAAGAAGCAAAGAGCCGGAAACCACTGGACCTGCACGACCTACAGCTCGCTCTGGAGCTGGGCGACAGCTATCTTGGCCAGGTGCCACTGATTACGGCCAACATCATGAACGCAACGGATGAATACGACGAGCTCGAGGACTACGACATGGCCGGCACCGACAACCACTTCATCGGCGGGCGCGTAGGCGGCAACTACGCTGTCAACGGCGTCAACGGCGTGCATGGGGCCGGCCACGAGGACGAGATGATGATAGATGAAAACGACTGGGGCTGGCAGGGCGCGACGGCCAAGGATCGGGATGCCGTCAACTCGGTCTTGGACGACATTTTGGCCACCGGGCAATAAATGCTCCTTGTCCTCGTCGGGCGACGAGCTTATCGGCATTTTCAAAATATCCGCATTGTTCTTTCTTCTTCACATCACACCTTTGTGTCCTTTTTCTTCCCTTCCATATATTCCCCGCTTAGATCACCTTGGTTTTCTTTTCTATCCGAGCCGTTAAGCCAGCCAGCCCTCTGTATCCAATGCGCGCTTCCTCTCCAAAACTTTACACGCGCGTTCACGCGCTCTCTCTTATATACACACACACACACACACTCTCTCTCTCTCTCTCTCTCTCTCTCTCTCTCTCTTGCAAAACACTCAACTACAACATCAACTTGCATGCATCATAAGTACGGCGTTAGGGGGCATATTTCCCCGGGGCAAAGCGGGGCGGGGCGGGGCGGAATCACACTAGCGGCGCAAAACACGGGACGTATGGGGAACTTTTGCGATAGGCGGTGGGCAGGGCGCTGTTGCAGCAGCCAGCATTATCGAGAAAATCAAAAGAGAAAGTAGTTAGTTGGCTTGACGCTGGAGGGTGGTGGTTCTGCGTAGGTATGTAATACAAGGGAAAATGGGCGCGTGCGGGGCACGCTTCTTCAGCTTCGGTGTTTTTTTGGCACTTTTTTGCGTTTGTATGCTTGTTTCTTTGTCTGCTTACTTGCTTGCTTGCTCGCTCGCTGTCTCGCTTGCTTGCTTGCTTGTTTGGTTGGTTGGTTTGTCCTTTGTTGCTTCTTCTGATCTTTCTCGGCCTTGCTGCGGGTGCTGGTGTTGCTGCTCCTGCTGCAAGCGAGACAGTGATGCACGCCAGTTCTTGATTATACCCACGGAGGGAGGGCAGCTGAGGCGTGTCCGGTGCAGCGATTGTGAGTGTGAGTGAGTGACTGCGAGTGTTGTTAAGATGAGAGACGAGAGATGGGAGCGGGCGACGAGAGCAGCGGGCGTTGTGTCTCTACAATTTCTTTCTTCCATGGTTTGCGGGTGTGTATGCTTGGTGTGAGGAAAGGAGTTATCTCACTGATTGTTTGTTTGTCTGGCTGGTTGTTAGCTGGGTTTGTATGTTGAAGAGAGAAAGAGTAGGAGAGTGTTTTGAAAGGCTTTGTTCAGCGTGTTCCTTGGTTGGACTAGGCAGTTCTGCTGACACTATGCGTACTTGGATGGTGTGGCACGGTCTTTGCTGATGATGGGTCTGGGCTGATTGGCTTTGGTCAGAGTGTACTCGAAGATCCTAAAAATAAAATACGGAAGCTGATGGTGTCCGCGTTGCTTTGAGGGAAGTGTCAACGTGTCGAGGCGCGCTCGAGTTTGTCATAGCCGTTTGCAGCTAGTACAAAGCAAACCTACCGTTTCGAGGTTGGCTTAAGATATTTCTTATAGGATGATATTGTTCTACCATCCCTTTAACACAGCTCTAGCCTGTCGATGACTTGTCAACTAACATCGACGTAAAAGATTGACCCGAAGATAAAGGGCGGAAAGTACCTTTCGGCTTGACTGAGCACTGAACTTGAGCTGACATGCACACAGGTCGCTTGTACTATTTCCGCTTTGCAACGATGGGGAAAAAACTCAGAAGCTACTGTCTGCTCGGAGACAAGTGCCAGTACGACCTGCTGACGCTGGAAAAGGCGCGTGTCTTCACGTGCATCTTGAGATGCGACCCCGACCATGAGCAGCGAGCTTGGTGGTTGCAAGGCCTGCTCGATCTACGCCAGGTCCAACTTCTGGTGGCATGAAAGGCAACGAACACGCCAGGTGGAAGATCCTGGTGCGGCTGGACGGCACGATGGTAACCTCCAGCATTGTATCACAATGCCGACTGACAACAGCGCTCCGAGAAGCCATCGGTCGTCAGTAAGAGGCAATGTCTATATGCAACACTGTCCGGCAGCGATGACCATTGACATCGGTAAATTGTCCACCGTTAGCAGCAGCCCGACACTAAGACTGCTGTAAAAGTTTCGTGGCTTAATGAACTGTGTTTTCCAGAGCAGCAGGCTCAGATATTTGCGGTGGTATCTCGCTGTCTGGCCATTCGATCGATGTTCGTTGTAAGGTCTGAATTAACTAGATATGGCTTCATGCTAGAGCTTATATTACTAAATCGGGCATGCCTCATCCCAGAACTTCCAATCATTTTGGGTCACGCAAGACCTGAACCCTTCGATAAGCTTCATTCTCTGCATGAGTGAAACTCCATCAGTTACGATGAACCAAAAGAGTTTTGTGCTCGACAACTTTGCGTGATCATATACTGCAGCTGACCTCCTTCAGCGATCTATTGTGATAGGCGTACCGAAACCATAAGATTGCGAGGACACAGAATGAAGCCCAAACAAGCTGATGGGCAAAATGCTTCAGGCAGCAATGAAACAGCGCATAGCTAAAAGCAAGCGGGGAGATATCACACTGCTCAGCCTCAGCTGAACGGAAAACGTGCCACAAAAACTATATACAACCGAAAAACAGACAGCAGCCCCAGATGCTACATTGCACAAAGCTCGCCACCTTCCCTACAGCCCAGCACAGCTAGCGCACTAGCCTGTTCGTATCGGGTAACACTTGCTTACTCCCTAACGCGTGTAAGACACAGCTTGTACACGCATCGTGCCACCTGTTTTTCTTTTTCCTGGCAATGAAGCTGGACGCAAATCCGACAACAATCGCAAGCTTAACCTCAGCACCCGCTACGACTGATATCTGCTGTATAACTGTACTGGTCTCGGCAGCATGCGGGATCTGAGCTTCTTTGTGAAGGATGCGGTCAGCACGGCCTTATATCGATGCTTCAAGAAGGCGACACCCCATTAGAGAGGTCTTAGGATTTTCGGGATGTACTGGCAACAACTTACGGTTCTTTCATGAGGCATCTTGATGATGGAAGCCGCCGGCCTTGCAGTGTCTGCTTACAAGGGCGTGTATCTTGTATCGAGATTCTTGTACAAGACGGCAATATCTGCAAAGCACTACAATGGAGAGCAGAAAGATCTGCTTCTCGAGTTTCTGATTGGGTTTCTTCGCTTCAGAGCTTTGTGGAAGGTCTTGGTCGATAATGATGGAGAGTTTGTAGAGGGTAAAGACTTCCAGCAGGTTCGTCTTGTTCAAACATATAGGACGGGTAGCAGATATGGATGTTGAGTCCAACTAACGAGACCTCAGGAGTGGTTGAGCATCTTCAGTGGAATATTGGAGGAAATCTGCGTGTGTTTTCTGGACTACGCCAAAATCGTAGACGATTTCGATGAGGAGTACCAGAAGTACTCATCGTACTGAAGAGTAGAAATTGCCCTTGATTAACAAGGAGAAAACGGAAAAGCCTCTGCGCACGTTCGTGAAGTGGAACAAAAAACCGAGAGAGATGATACCCGTCTTGCTGCCCAGCAACACCTACATCAAACAACCAAACATTCTGTCAATGTTAATTAAGTAAGAGCGATGCCAGCATCGAAGTCTTCCAGTCCCACGTCAGGATGCAAATGCTCGCCGAAACCGAAGAGAAGATGACAGAAGAAATAGATACGTACATCCAAACAGCGAGGCCGGGGTTCGATACTATGAGCAGAAAGCTTACCTTTTCACGAGCACAGCCCTCATGAATAGACAGACTATCCACCATCGACAGACCGAACATGGGTTGAATGTAAAGCCTACGCCGCACCGCCTGAAGCACCACCAACCACTACCGGCAGCGTCGCCAACACGCAATAACACCAACACTCGCTTCCGTCAAGGTATCGAAAACCAAATGGAGCAGCTGGAAAGTCTGCTACAGACATCCGGCCAACACCAATTTCACACGCTGCCCCTGGAAGGTTGGTTCAGGAGAGTGGTCAGGAATTTGGTTGTTGGTATGATGTCGGCTGAGTGCTTTGACTGTGCTGAAATGTACCGGCGAGTTTTCTTGAACACGTTTTGCTTTGGTTTGAACTTTTCTCTTGTAAACTTGATCAGCATGAGCTACTCTGGGCAACATGGCCGTGCTCTCTACTGCCAAATATAGTTTCGTCTCGAAGTAACAACTGTCCACATCTCTGTGCCATACTTAGTATGAGCATCGAAATGTGGATCTAAATTGACCTTGACTTTGGTATTTAACCCGTCATCACATTTCCTCATCGCCCACCAGATCCTGCATCTTGACGTTTCGCCAAGCCTTGGCAAACACATCGCGCTCGCCATCTCTCCAACCCCACGCAACGCAGTAGTGTTGCGCAAGCAACACCCACTCCTCCATCTCATCGAGCATCTCCAACCGGCCGACCCGCTCCTTCTCCGCATCGCTGACCCACTGCTCCCATATGTAGTTCACGTCGGAAGCGCCCTGGCCGCTCGCGAACCCCGAGCGCTTCAGCCGCTCGCGTTGCCGGAAGAGCGAGGAGTATTTCTTCAGCGTCTGCAGCACGATGCCCCGCGTCGCGAGGTTGGATATCATGACCTTGCCGAAGGAATCGTGCGGCCGGATTGGCTCGTACAGGATGAGGGAGAGCGGGGTCGGGGCGGGAATCAGCTTGGTCGTGAGGGTGTGCAGGATGCCGTCAGCGTCGCCAGGAGGAAGGTATATGAGGCAGCATTCGGAGAGTAGAAGCGTTGGCGTGGTTGGGGAGAGGTGGGGTAGCGTGGGTAGATCAGGTGTGGAGCCGGTTAAGGCGCGGAGGTCGAGAGAATGGACGTTGTAAATGGGAGAGTGGAGGGACGTTCCATCAGCAGAGATAGCGAGATCGGCATGGTTTGCGAGGTGGGAGGTTATGATGGAGAGAAGGGCTGGTGCGCGTTTAATGGCTGCGATCTTTTGGCTCGTGTTGGTGGGGAAATCGATCTCATGGTATATCAGAGGTAGAGAGGTGCGCTTGGAGAGGATGCGGAAGAAGCGGGTATCACTACCGGCCCCTAACGAAACAATCTGCTTGGGCTGGTCCGGGTCCGTGGCCAAGAATCGGTCGACGAGCTGGTCTATGGCGGTGGTGCGAACATAGGTGCCTGCTCTATGTCAATGGCGGAGAGAGCTAGATAGCGAGGATGACTAATACCCCTGTGGATGATTGGATATCTTCTGGAGACTTGCTCGGTAATAAAGGCTCTGGCGAATGGGTCGTCCAAATAACCCGACTCCACCGCGCTCATGCGGGAACCAGAGGCATCATTGTCTGTGTTCTGGACAATCTTGTCCTGATGTTCAGCACTAGCATCGGCGCCGGGTTGACCTCGACCTCTGCCTCGGGCGCGAAGGCCACCTCTCCCCGAACGCAGGGAGTTGAGGTTGGGGATCTGGGGAGCAGCCATAGCTTTGGTGTTGACGTCGTGCCGTTTGAGCGGGCGGGAGCCAGGCGCGCGGGAGGCCAAAGGCGGTGAGGAGTGCGCGAACCGACTTTGAGCCGCCTCGATTTCTTTGTACGTGGGAACCTTTGCTCCAGCGCGCATCGCAACCCCCATCCACCGAAACCACCCCTGCCATTCCGCCAGAATGTCGGACGACGCGACTACGGACAGCCAGCGCGAGACCTCCCGTCTGTGGCGCGTCTGGCGCACCGCGCACGAGCTGGTTGCCGACAGGGTATGAGCATGGGCGCATGCGCCTGCTACTCGTAGAGCTCACCATGGCTGACTGACGCCGATCGTCCAGGGCTACGAAATGCCAGAGGAGTCGTACAAGCTCTCTCTTGAAGAATTCAGGTCTAGGTTCGGGGACGCCTCCGGCAACGTTGAGTATGTCCACGCCGCCCATCTTTTCCGCGACATGGCCTGATTGTTAACGCAACTGTAGTCGCAAGCAGCTCGCTTTCTCGGCCAAGCCCAGCGACGAAATGAAGGCGAAGCACTACAACCCGCGCAAGCCCAATGAAGAGGTCGGCCAGATCTGGATCGAGTTCAACGGCGAAGCGAACGTCGGCGTCAAGCAACTGCGCGCCTTCAGCCACCACCTCATCGAGAACTCTTTCACCACCGGCATCTTGGTCACGTCCGTCGTCGTCACCCCGTCCGCTCGCAAGGTCATCCCGTCCATCCTGCCCATCATCATGGAGCTCTTCGAAGAGCAAGAGCTCCTCGTCAACATCACCCACCACGACCTCGTCCCCAAGCACATCTTGCTCTCTGCCGACGAGAAGGCCGCTCTGCTGCAGCGCTACCGTCTGAAAGAGAGCCAGCTGCCTCGTATCCAGCAGTTCGACCCCGTTGCGAGATACCTAGGATTGAAGAGAGGTCAGGTCGTCAAAATCATCCGGAAGTCCGAAACGGCAGGCAGATACGCGAGTTACAGATGGGTCATCTGAGCGGTCGTCGTGGCAGGGGGAATGGCGTTTTGGGAACTGTTTGTGTGGACACTTGAAGAGCATGCATCTTGCGGGGCCTGGTGCAGCGGAGTTTATCTGGGAGTTACCATACTAAAAAAGATCGAGTATGCTTGAATTTGTGGTCGCAATGACAGCAATCAGGGCAGAAGAGGAAGAATATCGAAGTCACCAAGATAATGGGTCCAGAGCTGCGTGAGGATCTCGCGTGAGAATCTTGGATTTTTATGCTCTAACTTTTTGAACTAGTTTTCATCTGGGACGTCAGCGGCCAGTGGCCTAAGATCTTGTGAAACAAGCATCTTGTTTCTGTATGACCCTGAGTAAATGGACTGATTATCTGTGGCCAAGGAAGAATTGTTACACTTTGCTTGACAACATCTTCAAAAAGACTTTCTACAAACATCATTTAAAAGTGCCATTTCTTTATATCTTGGAATTTCCCGCCATCTTGTCAATCTGTGCCCACTGGAAGAGCTGTTTGTCCATGACGGTGTTCATTTGAAGGTTTTATACGAACAAACAATCCAATAATTGGGTGGTTCACCATGAGGGAGCACACTTGAATGCCGGTGGCATGCTCCTTTATGCTTGGCGCGTTCCGGATGTCAAAAGCCGCAAGGACTTCAGGGTTCCATGCGCCTTTATCACCTCGAAGGCAGGGTTTTCGTGTATGAGTGAATTCCTTCTTAGCTGGACGAAACTTTTGGGGAGCAGCTTCAAGCATTTGATCTGAAACTCTTTATTAAGACAACCCGTCGAGACTCCTTCAACTTACAGTTAGTCTGGACATAGTGAATGCCTAGCCTGTTGCCGAATACTTATAACCCGTCTCGTTTTGACTATTCGGGATTTTCCTTTGCCTCTATAGTGGGAGTACTCTTTCCTTCTTGTTAAATGGCATATATAGAAAGAGATCGGACTTGTCGATGTCACTGTTGGAATAGGTGCATGTACATATGCGTAGGAGCTGACCGGAAACTCAAAAAATAACAAAGGAAACATACTGGGCATGTCAGGACTTTACCAGTACAAAACAAATCAGAACGCGAAACAAAGGAACAAAAAAGACTCGGGCCCTGCATCAACCGGCGGCTAACAAAGAAACAGCCTGAAGAACCCACTTACGCCGGTGCGGGACGGAGAAAAGAGTTGTGCAGCTCAATAGCCTAAACGTCCTGCTTAGTAGATTTGTGATTATGGAGAGGAATGGGCAACGATTTCCGAACAGGCAGAGATTGGCAGGTGATTCCGAAGTCGGAGAGAATGGTTCTGAAGAGTGAAGAGCTACGAGTCGTTTCAAGTGCCGCGACGTCGTGGAAAGTCCTAACGTCCGGGCAGATCTCTGAGCTTTATCCCTACGCCAGGCCGTAGTCTTACGTGGGAGAGGTCGAACCAATTAAGACAATGACTGATAACCGCGTTGCAGCATGGTAGGTACATACATCTGCATCGACGTTCAGGATACCTAGGTCGACCTGTCGTCCACAAGCAACAACCTTTGCAATATTCCGATCTGCAAAAGACGGTGGAGGTCTCAACGCGAATGAGCACCTGAATGTCCCTGCGGCCAAGGACGGAAATACTCGCGTCCGAGACACGGCCGCGGGCCGCTGTCTGACGCCATTGCGCCGATGTTTTCTAAGCAACACCACGCAATCCTCACCCAAACCATCCACATCTCTCCGCCACAGCCTCGAGCAATCGTCTCCAGATCACGCAAAATGGCTTCCTACGTGTCTCGTGCAGCTCCCAGAGCTTTCAACGCCTCTCTCCGCGCCGCGGTGCGCCCGCAGGCCGTTCTCCAGCGTGCCCAGCGCCCCGCTCAGCCGCTGTTCCGGCGCTTCATCCAGGTGCCCGCCGAGCAGCCACGCCTGCGGCTGGGCTCAGTCGGTAAGCACTCTCGACAACCGAGGTGGGGGGGGGGGGGGGGGGGGGGGGGGGGGAGGGGGCAAGGGCAAAAGCCAACTCCATGATCGCAAACAACTAACGTGGCGTCCACGCATGCAGCACCGAACTTCAAGGCCAAGACGACGGGCGGCGAGCTCGACTTCCACCAATGGATCGGCAACAGCTGGGCGGTGCTGTTCTCGCACCCGGCCGACTTCACGCCCGTGTGCACGACGGAACTGGGCGCCTTTGCGAAGCTCAAGAACGAGTTCGACGCGCGCGGCGTCAAGATGATCGGGCTGAGCGCCAACGACCTCGGCTCCCATGACCAGTGGGTCGCCGATATCAACGAGGTCTGCAGCACCAACGTCCAGTTCCCCATCATCGCCGACGCCGACCGCAAGGTCGCTTTCCTCTACGACATGGTCACCGAGGATGACATGAAGAACATTGAGTCCAAGGGCCTGCCCTTTACTATTCGCTCCGTCTTCGTCATCGACCCCTCCAAGAAGATCCGTCTCATGATGATCTACCCGGCTTCCACCGGCCGTAACACTTCCGAGGTCTTGCGTGTCATTGACTCGCTGCAGCTGGGCGACAAGAAGGGCGTTGTTACGCCCATTGACTGGCAGGCCGGCGAGGACGTCATCGTTCCTCCCAGCGTCAGCACCGCCGATGCGAAGAAGAAGTTCGGCGAGGTCAGGGAGCTCAAGCCCTACCTCCGCTACACCAACGTTGGCAAATAAAGGAAGACCAAGCTTGGGTCTTGCTTGCTAGCCAGAGGTGATGCAAAAATGTGAATACGACCGTAAAACTTAATGTAGAATACAAAAATAGACGAGTGTGAGAAGCGTTTTGCTTGGCTGGTGATCCTTCAGTGTCCATAGATGTTCACGAGTAGCAACAGTGAAACTGTAAACTGTCCTTTTGGTCTGTTCTGCATTGGTACCGTACAAGGATGATATCCTACTTCCTTTACTGCATCGCCTAGCCAAATCGCTGCCAACCACTCACCACGCGGCCGCTCGTCACTCGGCACCGCCTCCAGACTACTGTTCCCAGGCCCAGACGTCCGACGGGCGTCCTCATTTCTGTAATCCGTATTCCGTGCATGGACGGCAAAGCATGAACCCCCGAGCCTTCAGCCGCCCTTCTTCGGGGCAATCGGAGTGACGACGCCAGGCCTGTTGCCGCCCTGCTGCGCGGCCTTCTTGCGCGCGAAGAAGCTGTCCATGATCTTCCTGATCTGCTCGACGTTGCGCTCCTTGCCCTGCTCGGCCTTGAGGTCGTTGATCGTGTAGGGCGGGCCGAGGATGACGGCATCGTTGATGACGATCGATTGTTCGTGCCAGCGCGTAGGCAGCCTATAGGACGTGTATATGTTGTCAGCAGAGTGGTCTCTCCACAGCGGGTTATGGTGGTGGTGGTAGTGCATGGCCGCACGCGGGAGAGTGGACTAACGTTCTGTTGATGGCGTCGAAGATCTCCTGTGCCTCCTTGGGCACGCCCTTGCCCCTCGTCGCCTCCTTCTCCATCAGCTTGCGCACCTGGGCCTCCTCCCTCGCCTTCAATGCGCCCAAGTCCAGCGGAGCAATGGGAGGGAGCGCGGTATCGAAGCCGGTCGCGCTGGGGTCCGCTGCGCCATCGTCGGTGACAATCTTGAAGTCTTGGATGTGCGGGATCGAGATGACGGTGTAATTGCCCGGCTGCTGGCTGGCGTGAGGCGCCGCGGCCACCGTGTTGACCGCTATCGTGTTGCTGATGGGATCAGCTACGAAGAGCGTGCCTTCGACGACATTGTTCGCGATCGACGTGCTGACTTTGACTCTGCCATATGGTCACGCCTTGTCAGCGTCTTGTGCGTTCGGAATTTCCCTCGACATGGCCGTCGCGCGCTTCCTGGGTCTCGCCGCCCCGTCCCACTACGTGTGACATGGATGGCCAGGGAGCTCCTCCTAAAAGCCCGCCCGCCGATTGCCCCGACTTCCACACTCTCGACCGGGCGCTCCACTTACCTCTTGCCAATAGCCTTGACCAGGTGCGAGTCGTTGAGAATGGACTGGTCTCCGACCTTCGGCGTCGCGACTTTCCCGGCGGTAGACAGGCGCTTGCCGTCTGCCATTGCGCGCAAAAGGTGGTATCCCGCTACGCTGCGTGCTCCCTCAGTGCCGTTGCTGAGGCGTGCAACCGCATGAAATGAAGAAAAGGAGCGACGGGGAAAGAGAAGCGCGCGCCAAGGCAAGTCAGAGCAGCGGTGCCAAAGGGTGTGAGTTGAGCTTGTGAGGCTCACACGAAGTCGTCCGGGGTGACGAGTCGGCGCTGATGCTGCCCGCCGGCTCGGCTGAGCGTCCAGGGTCGAGGATTCCAACAACCCGCTTTACTGTCCAATTCCAGCACCCAGACACGCAGATCACGCACAACAAACACACCAAGAGCGTCATTCAAGCATGCAGATTGTCATTGTCATGTCAATTCGTTTATTCAATTTATGTGCCATGTACGCGTGGCAAGCTTTGAGTATCGTTCAACCAAAAAGAACACGCGCCATGTGCCATTCTAAAATCCATGCTCACTCCCGAACCCCCATGCTCACACTCTAAGCGGTGTAGGTAGAGGCGGAGACGTTGCCACCGCGGCCGGTCCAGTTGACGTGGATGTTCTCGCCCTCGGGGTACTTGGCGCTGGCGTGCTCGGGCTTGATGCGGAAGGTGTGGGCACCGAAGTAGTCACGCTGGGCCTGGAGCAGGTTGGCGGGCAGGTCCTTGGTGCGGTAACCGTCGAAGAAGCCCAAAGCGGTGCTGAAGGCAGGGGTGGGGATACCCCAGAGAGCACCCTTGGAAACGACGTTCCTCCAGCCGGGCTGGGCCTTGGTGATGGCCGTCTTGAAGAAGTCGTCGAAGAGCAGGTTCTCAAGGTCGGGGTTGTTGCGGTAGGCGTTGGTGATGTCCTTAAGGAAGACGGAGCGGATGATGCAGCCACCACGCCACATGAGCGCGATCTCGGGCTTCTGGAGCTTCCAGCCGTACTCCTTGGCGGCGTTCTGCATCAGCATGAAGCCCTGAGCGTAGGAGATGATCTTGGAGGCGTAGAGGGCCTGCTCAAGGTCGTCAATGAAGGCCTGCTTGTCACCCTCGAACTTGGGCTCGGGGCCAGAGAGGATCTGGGCAGCACGGCCACGCTCGGCCTTGAGGGAGGACAGGCAGCGGGAGAAGACAGCCTCGCCGATGAGAGTGACGGGCATGCCGAGGTCAAGAGCGTTGATGGCAGTCCACTTGCCGGTACCCTTCTGGCCAGCAGAGTCGAGGATCTTCTCCAGCAGAGGGGTGTTGTCATCGTCGTTGTAGTACATGATGTCGCGAGTGATCTCGACAAGGAAAGAGTCGAGGACACCCTTGTTCCACTTGGCGAAGACATCGCCCATCTCCTTGTTGGAGAGGCCGAGACCACGCTTCATGATGTCGTAGGCCTCGGAAATGAGCTGCATGTCACCGTACTCAATACCGTTGTGGACCTAAGCTGCGTAAGTCAGGTGTTTTTTAAGCTTGTAGTCTTGTAAACTGACCATCTTGACGTAGTGACCAGCACCCTCGTCACCAACCCACTGGCAGCAGGGCTCGTTGTCGCTCTTGGCGGAGATGCTCTGGAGAACATCCTTGATGTAGGGCCAAGCCTCGTCGTTACCACCGGGCATGATGGAGGGGCCGTAGCGGGCACCCTCCTCACCACCGGAGACACCGCAGCCAACGTAGCGGATGCCCTTCTCGGCGAGGTACTTGGTGCGGCGGTTGGTGTCGGGGTAGTGAGAGTTACCACCGTCGATGATGATGTCACCGGCTAAAATTCCGCATTAGCAACTGACTCGATTGTATGGTGGGGAATTGTGTGACTTACGCTCAGCACCGGCCTCGAGGAGCTGCTCAATGAAGTCTAGATCCAGTTATTATCTCTTGTCTTTTTTCGTCCTGCGGATCCGCATACCATCAACGGGCTTGCCGGCCATGACGAGCATCATCATGCGGCGGGGCTTCTTGAGCTTGGAGACGAACTCCTTGACGGAGTGGGCGCCTATTTTGAGTCGTCAACATTATGTCCACTGACAAACCAGTAGCTTTACTTGTACGAACCAACAATGGGCTTGCCCTTGGCCTCGTTCTCAAGGAAGCGGTCAACCTTGGAGGTGGTACGGTTGTAGGCAACGACAGTGAAGCCGTGGTCGGCGGCGTTCAGGATCAGGTTCTGGCCCATGACGGCCTGGAGAGGGTGTTAGCGGAGTAGATACAAGGCGCATTTGGAATTTGCTACTTACCAGACCGATGAGGCCCCAGTCTCCACTAGCAGAAACGCGCGCAGGTCCTCCCACATCAATGTGGGAGAGACGCGCGCTGAAGTCAGAACATTTGCCTTGTCAATTGGAGGGATAGGGCAGGGTTGAAGCGGGCAGCGGGGTCCGAAATCGTCGGACTCAGAAGGTCCGGCGGGGCAGGGCGGCAGGGAGCGGGAGGAAAGCAAGTCGAGAGTACTCACACAGCGGTTTCGGCAGACATTGTGCTGGAAGTGTGTATGGAAGATCTGGAGAGCGGGTATCAGGAGAAGGTGGGAGGAGAAAAGGTTGTTGAGGTGGGATGGAGGGGTCCGATACGCCCGAGGCCAGCACGAGGCTTTATAAGACAGGCGGCCACTACGTAGGGAACGGGCGGAGGATGGGTCTCAGAGCAGGGGTCCTACCACTTAGGTAATTCCAAAGATACAGCAGAGCAGGCACGGTGGAAGGCGGATGAGAGGCGGAAATGCGTAAGGTTTTGATTATTTGCTACGCTGCCCCGCCAGCGGGGCCTTTTTCTGGCGCACTACGCCGTCATGGCAACAAGTTCCGTCAGTTTCCTCGGAGAATCTTTCGCCAAAGATGCACCGCCGCTGCCTCCGATCACAGCTTTGATCTGCCAAGGTCCAGCTCAACAGCGTCAAAGTCGCAAACGGCCCGAGCCAAGAAGGCCCACGCACCTGCCCGCCTTGCCTTGCCGCCGACACGTCCAGACACCATCACGCCTGCACTACACCATGACTGCTTCGTCAGCATTACTGCGGTAAGCTGGTAATCACGCACAGCTAGGTATTGCTTGCTCTTCCCTCACCTCTCCCACGCGCGCCCTGCAACCCCCGTGTGCGCTGGGCACGTCAAAACTAGAACTTGGTACCACCTACGTATCTCGACACACAGACAGCTCTCTGCTACCGCCCTGCCCGCAGAGCACGGCCCGCGTCGCTTGTTGCATCAGCCTAGCAAGCCTAACGTTTTGCTACCGGCATCGGACAAGAGCCCGTAAGTCAGTCTTTGACGCAGTCATCATGTCCTATCCTCCGCCGCCAGGTTACAAGTCCAAACCTCCGACGCCTCAACCTCACACTTCGCTCCTTACCCGTCCACCACCTCCGGCGCAACCCCCGGCGTTCAAACCGCGATCGGTAGCCAGGGCATCGAGTCAGGCATGGCAACCGCAGCACGCGACTATCTCCGCTGGACCACAACCTCCAGCATACCCACTCGCTCAGACTAGCTACTTAGGCGCTGTGTACCCGGCGACGGCCTATCAGCAAACTTCATACTACCCGCAACTCAGCAACGACCTGTACGCGAACTCACATCGGATCCGGAATCCCTTCCCAGTACCTGGACAAACGCAAGGTAGAGGTCATGATTCTAACAGCGCCTACGACCCAGCGCACAGAGCGCAAATAGCGCAATGGCAGAGCGCATATGTTAACAAAGATGATACGAATGCGAGAGCTGCTCGTAATGCTCGTGTTGACGCTGGAAACGCAAATAACACACCTCTAGGAGTAGTAGCTAAATCGAACGTATCCACGCCCATTAGCAACGCTGAAATGCATTCGGCGGCCAATTCTAACACTGGAGTAGCGGCTGTTGTTGCCGGTACAGACGGGAAGCAAAAAACAGTGGTGAGAAGTGGTGGAGGGCAGACTTGGCAAGATCCGAGTTTGCTTGAATGGGATCCCACCCATTTCCGCTTGTTCGTCGGAAACTTAGCTGGGGAAGTTACTGACGAAATGCTACACAAAGCCTTTTCGCGTTTCCCGTCAATCCAGAAGGCACGGGTAGTTAGAGAAAAGCACACAACTAAGAGTAGGGGATACGGCTTTGTGAGCTTCAGCACTGGCGACGACTACTTCCAGGCCGCGAGAGAGATGCACGGCAAATACATCGGCAGCCACCCAATCAAGGTTGAGCGTAGCACTACTGAAATCAAGGCGGTAACATCTCATGATAAGCGGAAAAACAAAAACAACAAGAGCGGCAAGGGAGCAAATGGCGGTGATCATGCCAACACTGGAGCCGGCGTACAGAAGAAGCCAAACAGGAAGAAGCGGGGTTTGAAGATTTTAGGCTGAGGTCTACGAAAGAGTGTTCAAGCAGACATCCGACACCCTCGCTGGACCCGCGGGGTTGATTTGAAAGCGTAGGTCAATGAGCGGCGTGCAATATCGCGTCGACAAGCTTAAGTACACTGTCTTTTCGGTCAATTGCTTCGGAGAGCTTTGGAAAGGTCACGGAATCACTGGAAAATCAAAAAGCAAATTGGTGGCTTTCGGGCATGAACAGTATGGTGGCAGCACTTACGCGCTTTCTGTGCTTCAGCGATCGCCGGCTAAGGGGTTACCATCCGTCCACCAACAACGCTCCATTCGCTCTACACATCACACACGATCTCTCACAAGCACTCTCACGAAGTCTTTTCAGGTTTCTGCGACACGGTTTACGACTCTTTCTATTGATTTTTATTCTTCTTTGATACCCAGTCCGCCTACTCATGCTTTTCACTGGAGTAAAGGACGGGACTGCTTTTATTGCGAACTGCGGAAGTGTGAACTCACCGGAAGAATAGGAGTCTCAATGACAGTGGGCTTGATCGAGCGTAGATTAAAGTAACTGTAGACAATCCTAATTCCACGTCTGACTCAGCAATGTCGTGTTTGAGCGGTTGTGTTTGGTTATGTGGTAGTATACGTGGTATCCATGCCTGCATGTCACGTGATCGGGATCGACTTTCGCCGACTTGCCTGGCCCGTCCGCCCCAAGCTCTCCGAAACGACGGGCAGGACGGTGCACCTGAACGCGTCGACGCGATACTGCATCTCGCTCATTGACCAACACTTTCAACTCTGTCACTATTGTCGCCTCGGCGTTCCGAGTCTGCGCGCGTCAATAAGATGCAGGACCCAAGTGAGGGCGTGCCGCACTTCCTGGTAAGATGCGCACTCCCCCAGCATCGCGACATCGACTACCATGCTCGAGCCTGGACTGACATTCACCGATGGGTAGATTCCACACGTGCACCTTATCTCGTCATGTCGCTACCCAGTTACCGCGACGCTGCCCCCCGAGTCCGTGGTCGACCATCTTCTGCAAGCGCCCAAGATCGTGAAAGATGTAGCGCCGATGTACTGGCATTATTTTTCCAGCCCTCCTCCGGATGGAACTGTGTTACTCGAATGGCAACCCCCGACGGGCCAGAAGGGGCTTAAGTTCGCGAGTGACGGATATTTGTGGGCTGATCCAGAGACCACCTTCACATATCAGTCCCCGCGAGGATATGTGAGTGGTAACTTTCACGTATATACCGACCATGGCTGATCTCCCCAGACCATAGAAATCCTGATACACCGGAGCGGATACCATCCAGGCTTTGAGCAAGTCACTGTACACCAAAGAAGCCGCTATCGCATAGTCAACAAGCATCCCTCTTCCAACGGCCCAATCTTCGATCAATCCTTGTGGATCGTTCATTATTCTCAATCGGAGCCTCAAGCACGTGTGCCGGTTGCTCGCATCCCCATCAACGCCGAAATGCAGCGGACGATGACTGAAAGGCGCTTCCTCGAAAGCCAGGGACAATTGATACGGAAGGAATTCATGCTGCACGACCGGCACAAATGGCCAAACATCAGCTTCCCGGGGATTCAGCCCGGCCATGCCCAGCCAGGAGCCATGTACGCTGCTCAGCCCATGCAACAGGCTGCTGGATTCAGACAGCCACCGTTCTATCCGCAGGGCCAGGGCGCGGTAATAGGGCCTTCGCCTGCTAAGCGGCCTCGCCAGATTCCACCAACGCAGATGCCTGGTACTGTACCAGGAATGCCTCCGACAGGGGCGGGTTTGGCACATGATACTAGCATTGAAGATGAGGAAAACACCGCCATCGGTGACTTGTTGGATCATCTCACCCCGCGTGACATCAGCACAATGAGATACACCCAACATCATGAATGGATGGAGGAGATATTTTCGTCGCCATATGCTGCGGGCCAGATCATGCCAGTGGACTTGGGCTTAGGTCTGATGGGCGAGCTCTCCCAGCTCACGGAGGGCCTGTTCGACTCACCTGGTGCTCAATCTGTTACTAATCCCAAGAAGGTCGGTGCTTCCGCAAAGCCGTATCAGAAGCTGGGCCCCGAAAAGTACAAGGAATTCGAAACCCGGGTTAACAACTTCATGAAAGACGGGGAGGCAGAGCTTGAAAGGATGAAGGCAGAGCACGCGAAGAAGATGGAGGATTTGACAAGGAGCAAAACGTACATTGAGGCCGAGCGCCGTTTGAGGGAAGCTTTATTGGACGATTCTCGAGGTGCTCGGAAATCGTCAAAGGATCAAGAGATTGAAGCGACTGCGACCTCTACTGAACCAGTGGATTCCAAGGTCGATGGTGTGGCCAGAGACGTCGAGAAGGCCTTGGAGATAGTAATTGCACCCCGGAAAAATGTGAATTGCCTCGAAAAGGGCGGGCTTATGGAGGAAAGCCCTCAAGCACAGGCTCAGGCAAACAACTCCGAAGCCAATGGGGCGGACGCTTTCACCAACAGTGGAGAAGCCAATGGGGGTTTGGATGATACGAGTATGGATGGGGACAACACTGTGGCAGGTCTTCTGGAGCAGTACACTTCGAACTCGTTGGTATCCACCCCGGGTGGCAGCTCACTACAAATGCCGTCTGCATCTCAGCCAGAAATCTCAGGGCAGTCTGCAACTGCAGCGTCCAGTGGTACGGCAGCCCAGCCGTCCCAAGCCACCACACTCCAAGGACAAGGTGTGTCGCAGGGGCAGACTGACCTTTCAGGTGCTGATAGCGGCATGGACCTTATTGAAGGCATTGACTTGGACGTTGACATGACTGGCATGGGCGGCGACCTCGGAAACGACAGGACCGGAGATGAATGGGTTATGGTGGACCAGAACAACCACACAAGCTCCGGTACTGAGGCCCAGCAAAAAACCGATGTCGCCACTGGTGGAGTAAGTGGCAACAACGATAATAATGCGCCGACCACGTCTTCTGCCAACCAAGAGGGCAACGTGACATCGGCCTCGGCCTCGGCTCCGCAAACGGAAACTACACCTGGCATGTTCGATACGACGGACTTCAGCGCCTTCGACACTGCCGGCGATGCATTGGCCGACTATACTGGAGGAGATGACTTGGATTTGGGTTTGGAGGGAGATGCTTTTGGAGACGCCTTTCACGGGACGGAGACGAGAGATCACGATGACGACGGTACTAATACCTGATCGCGGTTGCGGCTCGTAGTCGACTCGGTGTATGGTTCTATATCCCCATTTAAAACTCGGCGTTCGAGAGGCGAGGGGCTGGGTTGACGGGCCAAAGTCTCCCAGTGTGGTTCTGACGGGCCTGACGGATATGCTGGTTTCTGGTTTAGTTCCACGAAGTGAATTTGAGCGGTCTTCTATCTTAGGCCCTTTCTGGAATCAATGAAGATGCGTATTCAAGGGTGGGTTTGCCTTCGACAATTGGAAATGCTGCCGCGGAGACCTATCGTCACCGATTTGTCATTTGATCCACGGTCTCAGGTAAGGATGCTTGCCGCATAATTCAGTCATCCGTTTCGAATAGATTCAATCGGTGTGTGATGCCGACTAATCATTGTAGGCGGTTGTCCTATTTGGTTCCTATTTGGTTGATGCCTCTCAAGTCTTAGGCCGCCTATACCAGGTCCAAAAATAAAAATCAGCAACTAGTTGTTCGACAGATCTGGAAACCGGCACAAATATCCGCATCCTAAAATATATTTCTCATTCCATTTGGTGGCTGGTTGTGAAGTGTTGCATCCCTAAGGTTTGGTCTTCACTGACGTATAGAGAGATTAGCTTTGGCTCTATGTGGTTCTTTATCCAAAGCCGTCAACTGGCGGAACCGAAATCTCAATCAACTCTATGGATGGGTTTATTCTTCTAAAATTCGCTATATCGACGTAAGTTAAGTCTTGTCTATCCAGCCCAGCATAGTCAAGACTGACATAACTGCTCTCGATAAAGACATAGGGCGCCGTATCAGCGGTTGCACATTGCCAGCCACATTCCGGTGGCTTCGAAGAACATTTTAGGGGCGCATCACACAGAGTTTTTGGTGTTGCAATTGCTACATTATGTCTTTCTCTGATGGCGAGCTTGTATAGGCCGCGCCTGTGCGCGTGCTGCGCCATCACTGTTTGATACGTATCCTCGCAAGTCTACAAAGTCAGTTTTACTTTGTGTGACAGTGTGTCAGAGAGGCGCAGGAGCCAGATAAACCACGAGAGAGATTGCTCGGGTGCTACCCTAGTCGAGTGCCGTGCGGTGCCGAGATACAAGCCGATTCGTTACCCGGGTCCGCGTGGTTTGTTCATCTTTGATTGCTCTCCTATGTCAATACTCCTGCCTTCAAGCGTGAAGCTGCAGTCACGAAGGAGCAGCAAGGGATTTGCAACTGCACGCTCTCTCGCCACATGCAAGCATACTTGACGATTAAGGCGCATCAAAAGGCAACCAGCCGCCTTAGCAGCGCATAAGTCGCGAAGGAAAGAAAGACAGTGGTTCCTGCTGTGCAAGTTTCACGGCTCGAGTTGCGAATGGTTCCAGGGGGTGGGTCTGGTATCCCTTGCGCCGAGGTCGCAGGCGAGGACATTCTTGTACCGCAACAACGTCTGGAAGAACGGGTCTCGGTGGGCAGCCCAGGACACAACTCAGGACACCGAAGATAAGCTTACTCATACGGCCGGGTGAAGGAAGAGATGCAATGGATGCTACAAACGGCAAACGCGTTCGCCGTCAGTCGCGACGGTGTTCAGCCACGCAGCAAGCCCAGGTTGCGCAAGTTGATACTTGATTTCATCCACGTCCTCCATGCCAGCGTCCTGAAATATTGCCGTCTCGACAAGCATCCACCGATCACAATTACCCTGCAGGACCCTGGGTCGTTGTGTCCGCTGTGTACCTCGCAAGAATGACACCGCGCGGGAAGGGTATGTTTTAAGTAACCTTCATCCTGCGGGGCATGATATCGCTACCAGTCCAGCTCTGTATCTGAGACCACTGCCTCAACTCACTGCTTAAAAGAGGGCCGCTCTCTGCCACAATCTCGGCCACATAGCGCCTCCTCCACTCGTTCGTCGCTCACTCTTCCGTCTGCGATACTATTTCTCAGCCACTTCCTCCCGTCCCTTCCTAAATCGCTCGTCTTCTCACGACGTTAAGCCTTATTTCGGGCAGCCACCACGCCACATCCCAGGCAGAAGGGCAAAAGAGAAGCCATTGCGTCTTCGGATTCACGTCGAGTGGAAATACCCAACCCACGCCACAATGTCCGCATCTCCAGGAGCCCGTATGCTCCTGATAGTGCTTTGTGCCACATTGATATCGAGCGTATCAGGCACACAAATCCCAAACCCGCTTCGTTTCTTCAGGAGGGAACTTGCCGCTCGCAAGCCTCAGAACGCGCAACCGGCTGCACCGGCGAACACTCCTTTTGCGATTACCGGAGTCAAAGACGCAATTGGTAGCGTCCACCCTCGGTTGGAGCTCCGTACCTTGCAGAACAACAAGGACCTATGGAATCTTTACCTGTTGGGGTTGGTCAGAATGCAAGCTGTTCCGCAGGATGATAAGCTTTCCTGGTATCAGATCGGGAGTAAGTGGCAACTCTTAGCATATTGAGGCCTGTGGCGGAACCAACTAACTCTGTATTGTAGGTATACACGGCATGCCATTCACTCCCTGGGACGGAGTGGAATCTATCGCATATCATGAAACCGGGTACTGTGTGCATAGCTCAAATCTCTTCCTGTCATGGCACAGGCCGTACGTTGCTCTCTACGAGGTATGACTTCCACCTAGTTTTTTTTTTTTTTTTTTTTTTTTTTTTTTTTTTTTTTGCGTTGAGCTAATGCAAGTACAGCAAGTCCTACAAAGCCATGTTCTTGCTGCTGCCAGGGACTGGCCACCTGGGCCAGACCGCGACAGATACGTTGCTGCGGCGCAGACTTTCAGGGCGCCCTACTGGGACTGGGCAATATATCCCCCAAGCGGCCAGAACAACACTCCTCCATTCATGACGGACGAGACAATCAAAGTGGTCCGGCCCAACGGCAGTGCAGAGATCCCAAACCCCCTCTACTCGTACACTTTCCATCCGTTCGATGGAGCCATCCTAAATGACAGTGTAAGTCACGCTCAAATTTTGTAATTGAAAGATTAGCTAACTCCGTGAAGAGAGTACATCAGTTCGCCGAATACCGGAGCACGATGCGGTATCCCACAGACCTTACGGCAAAAGCGTCCAGCCAAAACACAGGTGTGCAAAAGAACATGCGAGATCTTCGCATCCAGCTACGTAACGCGCTGTACGACATCTTCATAAACTACGACAATCTCACGCTCGTCGGCAACATGGCCTCCTACCACCCGGACAAATACCAAAGTATCGAGGCTATCCACGGCTGGGTCCACAACTATGTCGGAGGCAAATTCGGAAATATGCTGAACGTTCCCTGGTCTGCGTATGATCCGTCGTTCATGCTTCACCATGTGTTAGTTCCCCGTGCTATCGTAACAAGAGTCATTGCTAACTGTGCATCAGGATGGTCGACAGGATATTCGCCATGTGGCAGATGCTGTATCCGAACAGCTACGTCGTGCCAGAGAAGCAGGACTACGCCACCTATATGATCCAGCAAGGCTCGATACAAGATAAGAATTCACGTACGACATCCCCAAACACCAAACACAACGCAAACACTGACATATCCTAGCCCTGGCGCCCTTCCACTCCAACACCAAAGGCGACTTCTGGACGTCCGAGGGCGTGCGGAACGTCAGTTCGCTATTCTACACCTACCCGGAGCTGCAACTGCGGGATATCTGGGCTCTCAAGACGCGGATAAACGCGCTCTACGGGGCGCCCACAATCGGGCACCACACGAAGCGGGACACGGGGGCGGACGAGGAGCTCAACACGACAGCGACGACAACAACAACGACGGTGCTCGGCGTCGAGACATTCATGCCCGTGCAGCCCGGCCAGGTCGACCCCGTCGCCGCGCAGCAGAACCTGCCGCGCTTCGAGTACGTCGTCAACTTCAAGCTGGACAGGACGGCGCTCGACGGCTCCGGCTCGCTGTACTTCTTCCTTGGCAACCATAGCGAGAACCCCGATGACTGGAAGCAGGAGCCCAATCTTGCGGGCGTCGCGGGGCTGTTTGTTGGTGCTAAGGCGTTGCCGGGTGATGTTGGTTCGAGCATCTATGGCTCCGTGCCGCTGACGAGCGTCATTGAGGAGCGAGTGGCCAACCACGCCTTGAGCTGCATGTATCCTTACGAGGTTGACCCGTTCTTGACCAAGAGCCTTACCTGGGCCATGACGAGGGTGAGTCCGGCATTGCCTTGTTGTGGTGGCTAAAAGCTGACAACAATCACAGGCTGATGGCACTGCTATCGCTCCTGAGGACGTTGCCGGGCTCGAGGTCTCTGTTGCTGCTGTCCAGTACAGATCCGCGCTGTCCGAATGCGAGTTCCCAGAGCGCGTCAGCCCGTACATGACGCTCCGAGCCGTGACGAACGGCAAGCCCGGCGGGCTCAGCACCGACGAGGCCGTGTAAACGCCTCATCTGCTGAACCCATTTTTTCCTCAGCACACCTTGCTCTTTTCAGCTCGGCTTTGAACACGCGCGTTTCTTGAGTTCCACTATCGACTGAAAGCTTCCGTTCAAACATATTACCGCGAGACTGTGTCCGTGGCCTTATTCGTGCTCAGACAAGTCGCTCGCTTCCAGTTCTGCGGATGCGGTTTAGGGGTATTTGGTATCGCTGATGGTGCCTCCACGCTTTTTTTTTTTTTTTCTTCTCGAATATTTGTAATTGTTGCCTGGATATCGTAACCTCTTATAGTGCAGTTCGTGCTGCCATCTCTTCGAATGCGAGGCATATATCACCCTTCTCTTTGAACGATTGAGCTTGTGTGAATCAGTAGCATCTGGCTCGTCTATAGAAGTGAATAGTGATCAACCAATCGAACAGACTTACCCATTCCGCCCGCACGACAAGCCTCGCTCCATCCGACGTGCAGACTAAGCATCACTCATTCATCCAAGTGGGTGGAGCATCACCACCAACCGGCAACCGCGTCCGCAGCCCTAGAGCCCACACCACACGCGTCCCACCAAGCTCACACACACCCGCACGCGAGCACCCACTCACGCACTCCGCTCCACGCGTCGCAGCAGCGTGCGGCGTGCCCCTCGACTCCACCTCCCCACCGGAGTCCAGACCCCCAAGACCAACAGCCCACCCCCCAGCGTCTCATCCCTCCCTCTGCCTCATCATCTGCCCACGGTCCACCCCCGTCGGAAGCCACGGACGTCTGAGCGAGACTGACACACACACACTCTCTCTCTGCGCACACCAACCCACCCGCGCCCCCCGCCCCGCTCCACTAATTACCCTACTACCCACCTTACCCACCCACCCACGCGACAGCCCCCACCTTGCACCTACCGCGCACGCAAGCACGGCAAGTCGCAAGCGCAGACGCCATCGTCAAGGGCCAAAACGGTCGACTAGTACTCCGTAGCCAGCGGCCAGCCGGGCCAACGGTCAAGCGGCCCAACGCCAACAACGGTCGCAACCCCCAATGCCGCGCCCCACCGGCCCGTCCAGCAGGTCAACATGACAAAGCAGCTCTTAGCTCTTGAGTAGGTATGTTGGACTGCGTTACTAACACACACCCCCCACCACCAGTCATGGTCATGGACAATGTCGTGGTCTAGGTAGGAGCGGGCTTGCCTCGGGCTTGCCTCGCGGCGCGTGGCTCGTAACGAGTCCCTAGCGAATGGATGGCCAGAACCAGAGCAAATACAATACGTAGTAAATGAGGATGGGGCGCGGTGCGGTGGGATCGGTATTGGAGACGGGCGGGCGGGAGGGTGGAGGGACGGCGAGTCAGAGTGGGCGAGAGCGGAATGAGTGGGAGGGAGGTGTGTGTGGAAGGAAAGCCAAAGAGGAAACGAACGGTAAACGGTGTTGGGGAGGCAGGCGCGACAACAGCAGCGCCTTCGCCTGCAAACGCACCAAAAAAAAAAAAAACCGCCAACCAACCAGCAGCCACACGACCACAGCACCGCACCCAGCGCGCAAAAACGCAGCCCACGACCCGCCCATGCACTTGCAAACACCAAAAGCAGAGGGAATATAAAAAAAAAGAAAAAAGAAAGGAAGCCCCACGCGGGATTCGAACCCGCAGCCTCCAGATTCACGTCTGGCACGATAAATTGTACCAATTTAGAAGTCTGGCGCGCTACCATTGCCTATTTTTCTGTTAGAAATCGTGTTGCGGGTGTGACTTGAACGAGTGTCAACTTACGCCAGCAGGGCCTGTACAGGTTGTTGTGGGAGTTCGTTTCCATACTGCGTCTATGTACCGTGCTGGTTTTTTAGCCGATGTTGCGCCGGTGTGCGCTTTTCTAAGTTTGCAAGCGAATGAGCGAGTGTCGCGTCTTGGGCTGTGGGCTTGGGGTGTGTGGTGGTTGGCGTCGGTTTTGATTTGTGAGTCTCTACGAGGATGTGCCTACGCTACCTCTTCAGCCATGTTCAGGCCACGTGCGATTAGGCATCGCTGCTTCGACTGCACGACATTTTTCGTTATTTCAGCTTTTCTTTCGTGGCTATGAGGTTTTACACAGACTGGACGAAACCTCAAAGTCATGCGACTTCAGTTATACGCATCTACTTTAAAGTGGCACTCAAAAGGCATCACAGCCTTTGGTTGCATATATGGCCAGAAAATATGTCCAAAAGAGTCCATGAGCCAAGACTGTATACTTTGCTGTAGAAGTTCGGTACAGGCGATGCCTATTTACTGTCGTTTAGTTGATTGCGGCCGTTCATCATGAAATCATACGCTAACACCACAGAACTATGTACACTCCCCTACGCCTTTAAAGGCGGGCAGCTTTGTCTTTCCGCGTCCCCCCGTTGCGGGTCTGCACTCTCCGCCAGAGGATGCCAAGTAAGGTTCACAACGTAATATTCAATCGTATTCGTGGGGTTCGCAGGCGTATAATGCGGTTGCCATTTCACGCCATCCAGATCCGCGCGACCCGTCCAATTCCAGCGCTTAACCAGCTCAGGTTTATTCACAAAGACCCTGTCATCAGGGCCCATGAAGCGCCAATTAACAACGTCTTGCAATATACCATCGAGCTGGTTCTTCTTCCTCGTCAGCGTCTCAAACTCCATGACGAGCTCGGTCAGACTGGGCGGCGGCCTGAACGCAGCGACCCAGCCGTCTCGGATGCGCAGCGGGCTGTCGCTCTCCCAGAACCACCAGTCCGAGTGGCGGATGGTGATGGTCAGCTTCTTCGGGCGGAACGTCGGCAACCGCGTGTACCCGGACAGCGACTCCGTGTTTTCGAGCCAGAACAGCTGCGTGAACAGGTGCACGTGCGTCAGGCCTTCGGCGTTCTTGGCCGTCAGCGCTGCAAAGGGCCATGCGTACGGCGGTCTGGGGCCGCGTCCGTGCCAGACGGTGATGGTTGCGGATCTCAGCGGGATGGGACTCGTTTCCCAGTATGCGAGGCGGCAGGTCAGGAGGAGGTCTATACAGACGCGGGGGGCGTGCGTATAGCCCGGTCGGTAATGGTAGCTGTTTTCCTCATACGGACGTGTGTGGTCGGGGTGCTGAGAGACGGCGAGCCGGAATATCTCGTTGCGGATCTCGGCAGGAAGTTTGCTCCAGAGCGGGGACTGTCTTTGCAAGTTTGCGATATTGGAGGGGTTGATGGCGTTGAGGCCGCGGCGGATCTCTCGTGTGGCAAGCCGGCGTTCGCGGCAGGCGTTGCTCTCTGAACGCATGATGGATTTCAGGAGCGTGGTTGGGCGACTACGAATGGTGAATACCTATTCGAAGAGGACTGCGGCGCGTCTGGTGTTTTCATGGGAATGAGAGAGATGCGATTACCTTGACCGGTCATGAGATGAGGGCGCCTGACTTATGGTGGTTAGACATTGACCCATTTTGTTTTGTTGTAGGCAGCAGCCATCGAGACGGGAGACATTGCATGGTTAAGTATATGGATGGGTTGCGGGGGCATCTCCGCATCACCAGCATTCGTGACCGGCCATCCATATCATAACAAACAAACAAACAAACAAACAAGCAGCATACCTACCCGCTATATATAGGGAGAGTAGGGAATGTTGGTTCGTGGTGGAGTGGTTGCCTGTTCGCTGGGCGCAAACCACAACACCACGCGCTTGCCGCATCGGGCACGTGGCGTGGACGAGCGCACCTACCTGCGATGCCCAAGACGTGTGTGGTCGACAGGCAATTCGCTCTCCCCGCACGCCGTGTTCGCTGTTTGTCCTGTGCGCCACTCTATCGTGACTGTCCGTTGACATCCCTTGAGCCTTCCTCTGTCGCTCACGAAATAGACGCTACCTCTCTATAGTACCTATTCACTAACAAGTCCTCCGAGATCGTTAGGCTTCGATGCCGCTTCTCGTCCGAATACTCAAACGCACCGACACGTGCGCTGCCTCATCCTGTTCATCTTCTGTCTACAAGCCTTTTCCGGCTTCGTCGTCCAGACTCACCTACGGATCCCTTTTAAAAGCGTCCACAGCTCACCTTAAACCTCGCAGTAGTTCACGAGCAATCAGTACCAAGGCCACTCGCAACCCGGTGCTTTCTCGCTCCATTTCTCCCAACAACACTTCCCCCTGGCCGTCCAGCATGGCGACCACAAACATTTCCTCCGAGGACTCGACCTCTTGCTCTTCGCCTATCTTCACTCGCCTCCCGACCCGAGAGTCGCCCTTTACCACCCCCGAGGCCTCTGTTTTTGATGTCAAGGACGTCGATGATGCGCTTGTCGATGCTCTTACCAAGGAACTCGACCTCGAGGAGATTTGTCAGATACTGACCGACGTCGCCCATAAGGCAGGCGACATGATCTTAGCTGCGGATCCCTCAGTAGACGATTCTGACACGAAGAACAACACGAGCGATCGCGTGACGGCCACCGACAAGGCCGTCGAGGCCATGGTCTATAGCACCTTGACGGCAGCCTATCCCGAATTCGACTTCCTCGGCGAAGAGACATCCAAGGAGGGACAGAAGCTCACTGATGCACCAACTTTCGTGTGCGATCCCATCGATGGCACGCTCAACTTCATCCATGGCTTCCCGAACGTCGCCGTCTCACTGGCGCTGACAGTGGCACGCCAGCCCGTCATCGGCGTCGTATTCAATCCATTCCGTCGCGACCTCTTCACTGCCATCAGGGGTCGCGGTGCGCACTTCACCCGTTTCGACGGCCGCCGTGTAGCACTGCCAGTGAAGCAGCGCCCATCATCGCTCGGCTCGCTCAACGACTGCCTCGTCGCCGTCGAATGGGGAAACCAGCGCAACGGGCCCAACTGGGAGCTCCGCTCTTCCGTGCACAAGAAAATGTTGTCAGCGCGCGATGAAGGCGGCGCGATGGTGCACAGTGTGCGAAGCTCGGGCTCCGCGGCCCTCGACTTCTGCTACGTCGCGGCTGGCTGGGTCGACGTATTTTGGGAAGCGGGCGTGTGGATCTGGGACATCTGCGCCGGCTGGATCATCCTACGCGAAGCAGGCGGCATCGTCGCGTCCGCAAACCCCGGCGGCTGGAACCCCGAGCTCGAAGGCCGGCTGTACCTGGCCGTTCGGGGCGCGCCCGCGGGCCAGAAGGAAGTGGTGGAGGAGCTGTGGGGACTCATGGAGGGCAAGAAGTTTAAGTTCCCGACGAAGAAGTAAGGCGGACCCATCGCTCTCTTTCCTTTTTCGGCCGAGTTTCCTATTCCCGCATGCTCCTCCGTCTGATCCGGCACCTTGCACGGCCTTGAGCCCAATCGATCAGAGCCGGACCAGGGGGTTTCCTCACTCTTCTGGCCCCACCTTGCATTTCACGGCCCTGTCATCCGACATGGAAGCGGCATCGCATAAAAAGAAAAAACTAGCATGGCATTTTCGGCGAACAGGCGTTTCCAGGACCAGCTACTCGGCGAGGCGCGACTCATGTTGCCCCATTTCACTTGTCCAAAGCGAGAAGTTGCTGCTTTGATTTCTTTCCTTTTGCATTTGTAGTCACATTATATGCGTCTAGATCCAAATCTAGCTACGCACGCAGCTAGCAGCAGCGTCGTGCCCCAGTTCAGTGTCTGTCCACTAAGGACGAAAGTGGGAGTGGGAGTCGGTGCTGGGTGGTGGGTGGTGGAGATGGCGGCGGCAGTGGCTCCAATGCGACCTACCGGACGACCTACCAGGCCATTCAATCCTCGCATGCAGACCCCGGTCCTCCGTACGTATGTAGCTGCGCAACAGAAAATCTAAACAGGCAGCGCGAGCTCCATAAATCACTAGGTAGTTGGTTGTTGAACCTGAGTCTCTGTGCCTGCGTCCCCCACTTGCTCTCTCTCTCTCTCGCTCGCTCGCTCTTCCGCCGCCTGTGTCTCTGCACCCGACCCGACGCTTATGATATGATATGCAGCAGATCCACACGGCCAGACATGCGCAGCTACCTAAATTGGTAGGTAGTGATTACTAACCCCGCACCCTCCCCCCATCCCCCACACATGCACTCACTCATCCACTCGCACATCCACTTACTCATTCACTCATTCCCTTCCCGCCTGCCTGCCGACCTGCTTAGGCACGAAGATTGCTTACTCCGTACTGACGATCTGATTCTGCCTGCCCATCCGCATTCCAACCCAACCCAACCCAACCAAAACCGACCTGTCGCGCCCGCCGATCCCAATGTCGTGCCTACAATACGAACTGAACCGAACTGCACTGCACTGCGCCGCAGCAGCAGCCGCCCCACTCGACGCTGCGCGGTGTGCGTGGCGTAGCGGCAGCGTAGCAGTAGCAGTAGCGTAGCGAGCGATTCGAGAACGAGCGACTCGAGAACGCAAGAACGCGAGAAGGCGAGAGCGTGCGTGCGCGCGTGCGTTCGCTGACCGCCGCCGGACCGGACTTGACGCGCGCCTGCTGGGCCGGACCGGGCGGGCGAGCAAGCGAGCGTGATGCGCAATGTGCGATGTGCGATGTACGCAATGTGCGCGAGGCGAGGTGAGGCGAGGTGAGGTGAGAGCGTCGCCCGTTGAATGATGGACGACGACGTGGGGTTTGTGTGTTGTGTGTTGGGTGCTGGACTGGGGAGGGAGGTAGGTAATCAATCGATCAATCCATTTCGCCATGTTACGTGTGTATGTGTATGTGTGTGTGCGATATGCTATGCCATGATAGCAACACAGCACAACACAGTCCATTGCAGCAGTACCAGTAGAAGAAGACTCGTGATACCAACAAGCAGAAAAAAGAGGATGAGCAGGACGAGAAAAAGAAAAGAAAAGAAAAGAAAAGAAAAAAGAAAAAGCGACAGCGAACAGAAGTGAAAACCAATCAATCAATCAATCCGTCAGTCAGATTCGCTCGCATCCATTACAACCCAATCCAAGCCTAACCCAGCCATTTCCTGCCCAGTCCAGTCCAGTACCGTGATCGCCAGCCCTGTACGCCGGCGGTGCGCGCTCTCTCTGTCTCGATTCCGAGTCTTTCCTTGCTTGCTTGCCTGCTTGCATGCCTTTCTGTCTATCCATCATTGGTATATCCATTTATCGTTTCTTCCCCGTCACTACTACCTTCCCCCCCTCCTCCTCCTCCCCACGCCTTCCAGCATCACCGCCACCGCCGCCGCCGGCGCCAGCGCCGCGTCACCCGCAAGGCCGACCCAAACCAGCCGCCAGCTAGCTAGCTAGGCAGGCAGGCAGGCACCTAGGCAGGCAAGCAGGCAGACAGGTAGGCCCACCCGCGCGCCCGTACGCACACACACAGAGTCTACGCGACGAACGGCCTCGAAGCGAACTTGCCGCCGCTGCTACCGACGGGGCTACCGCTACTAGTGCTAGTGCTCTCAGTGGGCGCATTGGCATCAGCATCGGCGTCGGTAGTGACACTGTCTTCGCTGCCGCTCTGGGAGCTGCGCTTGGCGAAGCCGCCGCCAAAATTGTTGCCGAAGCCGCCGCCGCCGAAGCCGCCCGCGTTGTTGTTGGCAAAGCCGTTGCCGAAGCCGCCGAAGCCGCCGAAGCCGCTGCCGGGGGTGGGCGTGCTGTCGCTGCCGCTGCTGGTGCCTGAGGAGCCCTGCGTGGTGGTGGGGTTAGCGGCGTGTTTTGGGTGGGGGTGGGGGTGGGGTGTTGTTGTTGTTGTTGTGTGAGGAGGGGAAGAAAGGGAGGGTGGGGTGGGAGTATTGGATGGGGTGAGGGAGTGGGGTGCGTACCTGGCCAACAGTGAACTTGGTGCAGTCGTCCTGAGCGCCACGCTGAGCGACGGGCATGAGGACGGGCTGGTGGTTCGACGACGAGGACATCGTGCAGATGCGGTACGTGCCGGCGGGAAGACCGCCGTCGACGTCGGCCGAGAGCAGGCCCTGGCCGTTGCCTTCGTCGTTGATACCCTTGAAGAAGGCGAAGTCGGTGGGGTCGAGCGGCTGGTCGGGCGTCATGCTGCCGCCCATGTCCTGGATTGTGATGTGCGTGTGGCCGATCACTTGCCCGCTGCTGTCAAGCTGCTGCGGCGCAGCATAGTACGTGTTGTCCGGGTTCGTGAACGTGCCGGGCGACAGTCCCGACATTTGCACGTTGACGGTGAAGCCTTCGTTTTCGTTGAGGTCCTGGCCTGGCTGCGGGTCGAGGATGATCGAGGAGACCATTTTGTCTTCGGCGGGAATCTGACCCATGACTGTATTGATTCGTTAGCTGATGCTTACTGTGACCCTCTCTACTGGTCTATCACTTACCAACACCATTGCAAGAACCCTCCTTTACCTGTTGTCCGTTGGTCAAAGTTTGGCCGTTACAGAAGTTGATAAAGTTCGCGGAGTCACTAATAATGTTAGAAACTGTACGTATAGCTTGAATGAACGGGGAACTTACGTGAGGGAAGGAGCCTGCCCATCTTCACCACCGTCCTCCTGGCCATCCGACTGGCTGCCAGATTGAACGAGGTTTTGGGACAGAGAAAGGGAATCACCACCTCCTCCACTGAAGTCGTTGTTGTTGCTTCCGCCGCCGCCAAAGCCATTGCCGCCAAAGCCATTGCCACCGAAGCCACCACCACCAAACCCACCGCCGCCGAACCCTCCGCCGCCAAAGCCGCCGCCACCAAACTGGGGCTTGGCTAGGCCGAGCCTGGCATAGGTAAGGAGGGCAACAAAAAGGGTGGTGCTGTCAACGTGCATGATTGCTGAGGTTTTTTGAAAGAGTTCGGTCGAAAATAGAGAAGTTGGAGTTTAAAGGTTCAACGGTCGTAGAAATGTAAAGAGCGTACTCCGACTAGCGGGACTGACAATGGAGAATGGAAATACAGACACGTTCAACGTAGTCTGTGATGTGATGGAGGCGTCAAGGAAAAAGAACGTAACCCCAAAATAGAGTCTTCTTCCAGATCACTAGTGGCGAGAGGATGATGAAGAGGATGCAGCAAGTCGAACGACGAGGAGAAGACCTTAAGTGTCCCTTGGCGGGTCTGCATAGCAAACTTGTTGGCCGCAGCGATACCTGAATCGCTATACCGCGGCGCGAGCATAGGGAGGTGAAACCCGCGATGAGGGCGAGCATGTCTCACCAAGCACTGTATACAAGTGTCCCGGACAGAGGGCGCATCTGGGAATGTGAAGGCATCTTTCTTACTGTTGTGAAGCACGGGACCGGCGGCAAAGGCAGGCGCGAAGCATCGGGAAGCCGCACAGAAACCGATAGCGTCAGAGATTGTCGTTGTGGTGGAGACACTTTGAGACCGAAGCGGTTTTGAAGCCGGTTAGTCAGCGGCCTCTTTCCCGCCCAACGTCGCGATTTACGGATGAACGGTGAAGCGCGGAGAAGGATCGCCCATTAGCTGTCTCGCAGTACCGTGAACCTTAAATTAACCATATCGAACCTCCAATGCGGGCGGCTGGAGAGAGATCTGTTGGTGTCGCGAGCACTGGACTCTGTCGCTTGCTACGGATCAATGCCCACCTTTCTACAGGCCTGTCACAACTTCACATGCAGTGCCCTCTCTCATTTGATGAAGTGCATATGCATATGCATATGCCGGTACCTGCAGCTCCGGTCCACGGCTGCGTGACCTGCAAAAAAAAGATGAAAAAAAAACAAAGATCGCACTCACCTTTTATTTTTTGTTATTATTATTCTTTTTTTATTTTTTTATTTTTTTTTAGCTGACATGTCGATTAACTTAGTGCGATGGAGAGTTGGCGTCGTCGTCGCTTTACCTGCTGCGGCTAAAAGAGGCAAGCTTGCAAGCGCCTGCAGGGCATCGGGCTAGGAAAGGGAGGCGGGGTCAAGGGTCCAAGCGCAAGTGGGGGATGCTCGCGCCGTCGACAACCAAGAACATGGATTCTGGCGTTCTGTCTACCTCCGCGGCCGAAACTCGCCGACAGAGCCCTAGGTTCCTCAGCCTCAATTCCTGCCATCACGCTCTGGTGGCGAGACTCGACATCACGAGCTGAGGGGCGGGGGCGGGCGGGGACTGCGCCACACGCAGCGGTCCGACTGTTCACCTTGTGTCCTTGTCGTCTAAGGTGGCAATCTGCGTTGGGATTCCCGGTCTCGAGAGTCCATGCATGGCTTCTGTGTCGCAATGTCCTCCCGCCATTGACGACGGCATTCGATATAGTTTGCAGTAGTGTCATCGAACATGATGAAAGAAGATTCCTATAGCCGTGCGTCTGACGCAAACTCACCTTTGGAACTTGGACAAAATGCACACTGAGAGCTGGTGTGGATCCAATGCACCACCGAAGGACGCGCCTATTCGTATTGTGTAGTTTCGGCCAAAACTACAACCTTAATCATAGAGCTACGCTGCCCTCCATCACCTGTACAGCGCTCCCGGAAAGTAGGACCGTCTCGATTCCTTCGTCTTGGCCCAAGGTGATCTCTACCCCTATATCGCTCTTTCGGCCCAGCTCCACTCCCTGGGTGATGGCGTATTTGAGCGTTTGACCAGGGACATCTTCTTGCAGCGAAAGGTAACTAGCGAGGCCGCTAGCAGCACTACCCGTCGCCGGATCCTCCAGAGACCCCTCTACCATGCGCGTCCTTAGATTCCGCGTGCCGTCGGCCGAATCTGGCAAGCACACGAAGAAGTAGAGCGCCACGAACGACTGGTCCCAGTCCTTGTCTAGCGTGACGTCGACCCTGAAAGACCCTGTGGTGGCGCTTCCGAGAGCCTCAATGCTGTCTAACTGGACAAGAGCAAAGGTCATGCCCCTGACAATGGAGACGACCGGGGACGCAGCTGGCAGCTGCGAGGCGTAGGGTGCGAGAGTGGGCTGCATTTCAAGCAGCCGAGCCTGCGACAGTGCGTTCTGATGGGCATGGACGTCGTGAGGGATGGAAGCCTTGGCAAGCTGCTCGGACCTGGAGTACTCGAGCTCTATGCGGCCCGCTTTCGTGATAAAGGCGCCTTTGACGACATCATCCCTTGCCTCGAGCTGAGAAAGCACATGGCAGGCAGTGCCGATAGTGGGATGGCCGGCAAAAGGCACTTCGGCCGTTGTCAGGAAGATATCAATTGGCCAGCAGGCGTTCTCAGCTCGCTCCAGCCGTTCGTGGAGGAATACGGTCTCGGAATAGTTGAACTCCCTCGCGATAATTTGTTTCTGGTCTTGGCTCAGCTGGAGAGCCGGTGGGACGCTGACGACGGCCAATGGGTTGCCGGCGAAGCTTGTGCGAGTGAAGACGTCCAAGGTAGCGTAGCGCAGGGTGAGATTGGATGTTTCGGCCATCTCGTTTGGAGGCGTGCAGACGGTTGCTGCACGGAGCCGCCGAATGTTCAGGTGGTGGTCGGTGTGATGGTGAGTTGCAGGTACGTATGTAGGTACGGAGGAGTATCCGTGCTGATGTGTCACGCAGCAGTGGTGGGGTGGGGGAGGGGGAGGAGCAAGGAAGGGTGTGACTCGACAATGGACATGTCGGATTCCGCAGCCACGTGCGAGCATCATCGCGTGTGGCTCAACCAGTCGTTCATAGCGCCAAGCACGGTGGGCCCCTGAACGAATTATCGTCGTGGCGTTCGAGTCGCACAACGGCGCCTGTTGCTCGTGATATGTGCGTCGCGATATAGGAATTTCCGACAGGCAAGACAGAGGTGCAGCCACGGGGCGCATGAGGTTATCGAAAGCTAGGTAGCTTACACCCGACTGGACTAGGTGGACGCGCGATAACACAGGAATAACGTGCGCGCGGGTGCAATTTACCACTATCACACGTGCCGGCGGCGGAGAGAGAGAAGGGGACTCGGAGTGCGGGCGGGGACGTCCGCACCGGTGAGGTCGTCTGCCCGCATGCGTGTCATTGTGCATGACATCAACGGCGATATATTGAGACGCGCAACTTGGGCTTCTGGCGACCGTGGCACCCTGTTACCACGCGGATCAGCGAAGGTCTGGGTGCGGGTCCCCTGAGCGGCGAGCGGAGAAAGAGAGGAGCACAAAGAGTCAGTGGCCGTTTGACGATCGTAAAGTCGAGACTCTGGCGCGCCGTGCGTGATTTTTTAGCCCTCCCTCGTCCGCGACCGTTGGGAAATGGTCCCGCGCGTGCAGCTGGGAACTAAGGAATGGCTCGCATCGCTTATCGGGAAACGGGTTATGGGGGCTGCATGAGGGAGCAATTCCATCGTCCCTGTACGGAGTAGGTCCCGACGACAAGGAAAGCAGTAATGGATCGACTGGCGACATAGCACACACATGGGGGCTGGCGCAAGGCCGCGAGATTCGCCCCACGGCCTCCATTGGCCAGACCGGCGCTCTCATCACACTTTTGGCGTGGGGACGTGCAGCAAAGCAACATCCGGCCGACAGGGGTGCGCAGGTTTGCAACAATTAATCTTTTTTTTTTTTTTCTTTCTTTATTTTTTTGCAGCAGGTAGAGAGAGGTTCGGCTGTTGGGGGAGATGTGGAAGAGAGGGGGCGGCCCACATACATGCGCATACCTGCCCCCACCACTACCATCACCATCACCACCTAAACATATCCCAACACCAACATGACATGCAGCAGTCAGTTTATTCTGGGTCAATCCGTATGGTATTGTAGTTGGGTTTCAAACGAAACGACACGCGGCTCCTGGGGCGGGCACCGGGCAGCGAGGCGACCCGGCGCTTCGATGGTGCGAGTGAGGCGCGGATTCCAAGCCGGCGGTAGCGGGCTCGGAGGATTGCCTCAAAGGCTTGGGGCGCAGGCGCTAGGCTCGTCGGAACAGCCAGAGTTTCCTCTTTTCCGGGTCGCGCACCCCTGCCGGAAGCTGTCGAACAACTTCCGCCGCCCGCTGATCCCTTTAATCGGGCAGACGCCGCCTTTCAAAAGCCACCCTCCTCCCCGCGCCCTCAGTCCTGGCTGCCCGTTTCGCCGTCCAGTCACTCCTTGACCTTCACCTAGCCTACGCCTCGAGCCGCGCCGGCGCCCACCCTCCTTGACCAGCATCATCCCTTTGCCGCAGGAACAGGTGAGCTAGACATGATCCCATCACGCCCTATGCACGCTACCAACCGAGCCTGGACGCCTGCAAGGGCTGCCGCCCCGCCGTCGATATATCCCCGACGCCCGCCAGCCCACCCTCCTCGAGTGTGTCCCTACCTACTAACACCCACCCTCTCTCTTCCACAGCTACTACTACACCTAACCTGCACACTCGCTCCCTCCTACGTCATGGCGCATCGCACCAATCCGTCGCAGTCGGATGCGACTCTACAACAACACATTCGCAGCGCCTCCGAGGCCTCGCAAGAACACCGCAGGAATCAGGAACGCCTGATGGAGACGATTCACTCCCACACCAACGGCAAGGACCTGCCGCTCCGGACCATGTACATTCTTAACTGCGCCTCGCGCGGCCAGGCGACGTCGCAGCCCAAGCCCGCCGACCGCGCCCACGAGCAAAACTTTACCAGCATTCTTCAGCAGGAAATGTCCCAGTTGCCACTCCAAAGAACGTCGCTGCCGCTCGTCTTCGTCCGCAAGTTTGTGCGCGACACCTTCTGCCAAGACCAGCTCAGCCGCGTCAACTTTTCGCAAGCCCTCACTGCACTTGATTACTTCAAGGATTTGGAGATGCGGAGGATCAACACGGTTCAGGAGATGTGGCACAGACTGGGCGTTGACGTGCGCGCCACCCCAGGGGGCAGTCTCGGCGAGCTGGCCCACCTTATTGACCTCAAGGAGCGCTACCTGACCGAGATGTATGCTTGGCTGTACGTCTATCTTCGCCAGTGGATTCTCATCCACGAGATCAAGATGCAACCCTTTGACAAGCACAACTGTCTTGCCATGCTCAACACCCTGTGGCCGCCCATCCCCACGTCAATCCCCGAGGGAATCCCGCCCGCGGTGGTCCAGTCGCAGCGCAAGGACTTTTTCAAGGCAATCAATTCCATTCCTGGCCGGGGCACGGTTGAGCTCCAGCGCCTCATCACCCAGGATGCAAAGGAGGGTGAGCCCGATGGCTGGCCGGAGACTGCTCGCATGATGGACATCTACATCGAGAAGGTCGACGAAATCATCGAGTTTAGCGAGAAGATGCGGAACACCGCCGACGTCGACCTCCACGTTGCTCCTCCCTCTGCTTCGCTCAACGGCTACGCCATCAACAGGGAGCCCGTCTTGGCGCCTCTCTATGACCTCAGCGCTCCTGACACATGCAAGGAAGAGTACACGGTATCGCGCAAGGGCCGCAAGGTCGATTCGGGTATTAGCTTCGGCTCTGCATTCAGCAAGCGTCCCTCGACCAGTGGCAGCACCAGCTCGGCTGGCAGCGTGACGAGGCAGGATTCCACGACTCCGGAAGTCGTCGAGAACAAGCGCAACAGCCAGAGCAAGATGGGCCGGGTCCTCAACAAGCTCCACCGCAAGAAGACGACGCCTGACCTCAAGCTGCCCGACGAGCCGGAGCAACAACCCGAGGAGAAGAGGGGGTCGCTTCGCAAGATGCGCTCTTTCGGCGCCCTTGCCTCCGACTTCAAGCACAGAAGCTCGAGCCGGTCGGGTATGGGCTCGCGCCAGGGCAGTGCCTGCGAACCCTTCGACGCTGAGGAGATGAAGCGTCATCGCATGGCTTACGAGGCCAAGACGGGCAAATTCCTCACCGTGAGCGAGCCCTTCTAAGGTGATGCGCGACGTCATCCACCACCACCACTCCTCATCTCGTAACACCACTGAAGGTGCGAGATACTTTTACGATTTTTACGAACTGCAATGATTCCCCCCATCGATTGTCCCTTGGCGCGACATCTGTTTCCTTATACCGTCTTCCTGCATTCACTCCAGCATTTCCTTTTCCGATCCTGTTTGCGACGGCGTTCGTAAGGAGAAACAGGAAGAAAAGCCACCTCCTCTCTTAGGACTACACGGCTTGTTTTGCCACACTACCTATTTCCTTTTTTCTGTCTCGTCTTTTTAGGTTCGGCGCTCGGTAAAAAAAAGGGGGGCCCTCACGAGGCACAAAAAAATCCCTTGGTGTTACCGGCATGTCCAAAAAAGCTGCTTTTGCGCAGCTACTGGCTTTCCAATCTTTTTTCCTCCCTCTTTTTCCTCTCTCTCATGTCTGTTCATATCTCTCTCGACTGCACGCGGATCCAAGCGCACACGGATCCACACTTTTGGTTTTTTTT